TGTGTGGGTGTGTGGGTGTGTGTGTGAGTGTTTGTGTGTACGTGCGGTATCTTTTCAAGGTGTTAATACTTAGTAATTGCATAGGTGGTCCGATTAATGATTTAGTGTAAATATACTTTCTGTGTTCTTTAAATGCATTTCCACTTAGGTACTGCATAAACAAAATATTACATTAACATTACAAATTTAAAGATTTTAACCTACAGAATAATTCTCACTAATGGGTGTTTTGTGGTTAATGTTGAACAACTCAGAGAAACAAACTCCGTATGATGGTTAACAGTTGGCACCCACCTTACCCTATTCACGACCTGTGACACCTCTTCATACCTGTCACGTGCATAGCTGACCTACATTGACGAACGTTGACCTTTATGACCCAACACTGCCGCTGTTACAGGTCATTGGCTCCCTCCCTCTGCAAGCACTCTGCGTTCTGCTGTTTATTTTGTTGACAGTTACATATACAGATTCTTTAATACAAATGCATAAAATCGGTGATTTACAATGTGATTGAGTTGTCTGACAAAACATCCACTTGCACAGTTTGAGATCGATTGGGTCGTTGGATGAAGAGATATTTACAAAAAAAACGGGTACACATGCATTTCATGCCAAACTATAGTTGCGGGTACAGCAACGTGCAGTGAACTTGGACAAAGTACTGTGACTATGTGTCCCAGTCCACCCAGCTGTAAATGGGTACCTCGTTAGGATGAGACAGCCACAATAACTCGGTGTGCCTAGTGGCTGAAAGAGTTGTATACTCCCAAGGGAGTTGAGATTGATAATATGATGAGCCGTTGAGATTGACATCCAATGATCGAGGGAAAACATACCAGCGCCTTGAGCATGCACTAGTTGCCTGGATATGCGCGCTATATAAATATCCTTTAATAATAATAATAATAATAATAATAATAAGGCATGGCTCGTTGCTTTTACTACCGTCTCCGACATGCCTGTGGCTTTGACTCCGAGGTCCATTCATGGTACGACCCTGAACATGTCCAGGGCGTCATGGAAAATGATACTTTCAAACTTCTCTGGAATAGGCCCATATACAGCCTCAGAAGAATTCCAGCCAACAAACCTGATATTGTCCTTTTTGATAAAGCCAATGAATATATTTATATCATTTAATTTTCTGTCCCTTTTTGACACCAATGTGATTGGCAAGATTCAGGAAAAGCATGATAAATATGCGGACCTCGCCTTTGAAATGTCTCGCTGGCATCCAAAGTACACTGTCGCCAGGCTCCCCATTGTTCTCGGTGCCCTTGGTTTGGTACCTCCTGATCTCTTGGCGCAGATCAGGAGAGTGCCCGGGTTCTCCACCAGGAGTACAGCCCTTCTGACACTCTGGGTAATGCAGAAGGCTGCAGTGTTGGGGAGCCTTCATATTCTCCGGAAAGTTCTTGGTGGGTTCGACTAGGCAGCGTTTCCTGGGAGAAGTCCCATTCGCTGTCTGGGCTGCGTGTAGAGGGGGGCAAGGGCCCTGAGCTGATGATGAGCCTTACCAGCCTGACTGTGCCAGGATCACCCGAACCCTCTCTGCTGCATACAATCTTTAATCTGTAAAACATAATAATAAACCCCCTCTGCTGCATATTATCTTTAATCTGTAAAACATAATAAATAATTATATAATCACCCGAACCCTCTCTGCTGCATACTATCTTTAATCTGTAAAACATATATAATTATATAAATATAATAACAGCGAAATAACTGAAAAAGCCAGTATCCTTGCTACCAAGGAGATCAGGTTTCAGAAACTTACCTGTAATCCTGGAGAGTGAACAAGTTACAAAGGGATGTTTGCTGGAAGTATATAAATGTAATAACAGCGAAACAATTGAAAACGCCAGGTGTTGCTGTGTCAGGTTTAACAGTCGGGTTTTCGTTGGCGTCCATTCGTGTTGTGTTCTTTAAAATGGAACATTCTAATTTCCCACTCACTCACTCAACCACTCAACCACTCAACCATTCAACCACTGACTCAACTATTAAAATACTTAACCAACGACTCTATATCACTAGCAGCCGACCGCCTCCGGGGTGTAGTGGTTAGAGCGTCCGCCTGGAGAGCGGAAGGTCGCGGGTTCGATCCTCGACCGCGTCATACCAAAAGACGTTAAAATATGGTACTTGTTGGTCCCTGTCTGGCGCTTGGCATTAATGGGTACAACAAGGACTGGTCGGCTCGGAGTCAGTATAATGTGTCTAAGTGGGGTATTCATGCTTCACTGCGGCATGGTATCTCAGTGGGCTGGCACTATAAAACCAGCTTCAGTCTGGGTTAGTACAAGCAGCCGCACCTACACATACACACGCATGCAAGTCGTCATATGAGCGAAATATTCTCCAGCACGACGTTAAGCCCAATTTCACCTCACCTCACCTCACCTCACTAACAGCCGGTACGTTATGTTTCTCCATTTGGTTCCTATATTGCTTGCGTATATACATACACGTGTTATATAACTTGCGTCAGTATATGAAATAGTGTTTTTGAATGTTTTTTGTTATATTGTTTACTCTCCAGACTACATATACTCTCTAAACGGTAAAGTCCTCACAAACCCATTGAAGGAGCATATGCACTGCCTACGTAAGTGTGGATAAAGGATCACCTTTTTACACTTCACAGAGGTCAAGTTGCTCTGAACCATAAATAAACTGACGACCAAAAGAAACAATAACATTGAAATATTGCATTTCGAAACACTTACGAGACATAAGTTCAAGCTGATTCAGTGTAAACACATTGATTAAACACAGCGATGCTCTATACAGAGAGTGATACACGTCCACAACACGTTTGTATCTTTCAAAAAATACGAAAACGTGAAACATGTGAAAACGTGAAAAAGGCGAAAACGTGAAAAATGTGAAAATGTGAAAACGTGAAAAAGGCGAACACGTGAAAGACATGGGCCTCTTCTACAGTCAAAACTGCACGTACAATCAGGATATATGAATGGTACAGGCATGTACGACACTCACTATGATAAAAAAAACTGCAAAAAAGCCAGAACTGACACCCTAATAACGCGAGCGGACCCTGGGTATAATACAAACACCTGATTCAAACCGGGAAAACAGTAGGCAGGCCAGGAACAGGCAGACCCAGGGCAGCTATTCTCAATCATTAGTGGTATATGTGCATCTCCAAAATATATTTCTGACTGTGACGTCAGGGGCAGATAGTCGACAGACAGTGACCAGGCAACCCATTACTCGAAGAATTAAAGCTTACACGCCTTACAGAGGAAAGTTATTGACAGCGCAACATTGTTTTCAGAGACTGCGATGTGCCAAACTGTTGTGTTGGCAGCGACGTGACTGACAGAGGGTCGTCTTCACGGAGGATGATAACAGAGCTGTTTAGGGCTAGTGGAAGACAGTGTGTTCACCGTCAAAAGGGAGAACAACCGGAGGCATGTTGTGGTCAGGAGGTCCTGTCGTATAATGGAGGGGGTGTTATGGTGTGGGGAGGAGTTTGTGGGCAGGAAAGAGCACCACTGGTTATAGTTAACGGACATTGGTCAGCGCAGCGTGACATGTATGCCATTCCTCGTTCAGCTCTCCAATGATTACTACACCAACTGCCACGCATCTTCTAAAATGCCAATCAAACACTTAAATGCTATTGACATAGTGTCTTTGAGCTATTTTAGATGTGTGCCCATTGTCCATAATGTTGAACATTTGTTTATAACTATCCCACCTGAATTTAGGCAACTCTCATGTAAATATCGATTTTGATTGACTGTCATTTTAGGTTTTGATTTCGTTGAGATTTTGCCCCTTTCAATACATTCTACTTCATACATCTGTCTTTTCTTTGTTTTAACTAAAGTGATTTTTGCCGTCATTTTATTCATTATTTCCAATATTCACAGTATTACCTTAGGTCTCTGACGGCAACATGGTCTCTTGACTCTCATCTTACACGTAGTCTATTATCCAGCATTGAGGAGTGAGTGGGTATTGTTTTACGCCACTTTTCGACGTATTCTTGCAATGGCGCAGCGGGGACACGAGAAACGGGCTTTTTACATCGTAACCATATGGGGAACAGAACCCGGGTTTTTGGTGTGACGAGTGGACGCTTTAATCATTTTACTCCCTACTGCTACCATAATCATCTGTGATTGTTCGCATATTCCTAGATTTTTGAGAGTATATGATGGACAATGCTGTGGTTACGATAAACCTCTCATAAAACATGATGCGATTAACATGCCAATGAGTTCATCTAAATACATTAAGGCTGAGATAACATTGTATGATAAGGATTGAGAGGATTTCATTGAAGATGAATGTCACGTTTTACTGCAATGTCCAGTCAGCCTTCCTCCGGTAGTTACACCAACCACACTGGAGATGGGACTTGCCCCAGGGGAAGGCACAGAACCCGACCAAGAATATCTTAGTCAAACCACCTTAAAACCACACTACTTGAGTGTGCGAGAGCGACAGGATGGCCTGAAAAACTCCAATATGTCATATTGAACGTGTAAATCTTTCTAACAGGTTTAACCAATTGATTTTATGTCCTTTAGCGAATACAGAAATGTTAGTTTTATACTGTCATAACCTTAACTGTCCTTTTTAACTGTCACAACCTGCGATCATATTTTAAGGAAAGTACTGGCAGTTAGTCTATTTCTGTTTATTATATATTTAAATGTATACAGTTTTATCTAACATCCTTTGTTAAAATTACTTTGTTTATAGTTTGTTTCATGCCACATGGACTCTCGTAATTCCGTGTGTACTAACTCAACCTTGTAAAGAATGTATGCTTGAGGAAAGATTTTAAGAACGTATCTGTCTGTCATGCTCACCACGTGTGGTGTTGGTAGTTTCTAATCAACAATATATCTTAAGGAATAAAAGTATACAATATATATTCCACCCTTTAAAGGTTCGGATAAGACAATTTGTACTACCGCTATATTATTCATGGTGTCTACAATGCAAAACGTGGGTTGATAATCAATTTTATTGTTATTTCTCTATTCATTTACATTATACAATAACCGAATTGCTTGTTATTTTCATAACCCAGTGGGTATTTCGCCCGTATATGAAATGAGACAATATACGCGCCTCTTCAACAGCGCTGAGCATTTATAACAAAAACCTAATTATAATCAGAGCTTCACAAAATGTCTCAGTTTTTCACTGTCCATCACACATAGGGATCCCTCCAGCGTCTTCTGGCGGCTTTGCCGATGCAGACTACCACTACCAGAAGGACGATGACGCCGACCACTCCTGCCGCTATCAGGGCGAAGTCAAAGGATGGACTTCTATCAGCTACGGGTGACGTTGAATTCAGGGCTGGAATGTGAAAGGAAACAAATTTGTAGGTGAGGTGAAATTGGGTTTAACATCGTACTTAAGAATATTTCGCTCATATGACGACGTGGTTGCTTGTACTAGACCAGACTTAAGCTAGTTTTATAGTGCCAGCTCACTGAGATACCACGCCACATTTAAGCATGGATTCCCCATTCCGACACATTATACTGGCTCCGAGCCGACCAGTCATTGTTGTACCCATTAATGCCAAGCGCCAGGCAGGGACCAACAAGTACCATATTTTAACGTCTTTTGGTATGACGCGGTCAAACAAATTTGTAACAACAATCCTTTTCAATCATTTGTATACTTATCAAACATGTAACAGGACTCAGTATTATTACATCATTCATATTTATCGAAAAGAATCTAATATAAGGTCTAATATAAAGTATTATTCTTCAGACTGTTGTAAAATTGAAATAACACAATAATACTTTGTTGCTGGTTGTTTTTCTCTTTCTTTAAAACCCCAACAAATAGCTTTCTTTGAAATGCAACTGATCTTGCACCCGTAGCTGTAAACATTATCTTGTCTCTATTCAAATCCTCAAAACCCCTCAAATTCTGCATCACTTTCGGCATGAAATGTGAACTGAGTGAAAAACCCAGTGTTGGAAGTTGGCTTAATATCCCTCAGTAACGTCTCCAGGGGTCAGAATCAATGTCCTTCGAAAATATTGTATCATATCACCAGTGGTAAATTCGCCATTCAAGTCTGTGAGTAGAAACAACTCAACAATTTCTCAAGCAGGGTCACATGTCAACTCAATGTATAAGACATCATACGGAATATTACTGCATAAATGCAACTGATTTTGCATCTGAAGTGGTATTAACGATCTCTAAATAATATTGATTCTCACGATAGTGACTGGGCATCCGCCCTGCCGATGAAATAGCGGATGCTCTCCGATCGTGCACATACTCCCCCACTATAGCGCGAACAATGCAATCGTCGAAATCACCAGAACGTCGAATTTAGCTCGCTTTGGGATATATTACAAAAGTGTTATAAGGAGTAATATACTCAGCAGCAAAGGAAACGCCTTAGATAGGCACTGTAAAGAAATCATTACAGAAATGGACATAATAAGCGGATCAATGAATAATTCAGCACAATTTGAAGACATTACGTGAACGATTGCAGTCCATTCAGACCCTTGACTTCAGTATCAAGTGTGACCATCACGAGCGGCAATAACTGCAGCACAGCGTCTATGCATGGAGTGCACCAATCGATTGATGAAGGCCATTGGCACCTGGAACCACACTCTGAGAAAGGCCTGGCGCAATAAATCGGCTGTGTTCGGCCTTGGTATGACATTATTCTGTATACACCTGAATTTCATCCCAAAGATGTTCAATTGGGTTTAAATCGGGACTAAGGGCTGGCCACTGCATAATGTTGACACGTACTGCTGTAGGAAGTCCCGTGTAGCTCTGGCAGTATGGGCCCGGGCGTTATCATGCTGGAAAATGTTGTTCCAGTGACGTGCGAAATGTGGTATGACTTGGGGTCTGAGAGCTTGGTAGATGTAGCGCACCGCTGTGATGCCGCCTCCTCTCCCTGGACCAAGGTTCTGGAACACCACAGGACCCACTCTCTGGTTCAGGCCAATTCCACCCCATACTATGATGCTTGTACCTCCCCATGAGTCTCTTTCCATAACACATTGGTCTGAGTAACGCTGGCCACGTCGTCGCCATATTCTTATTCTGCCATATCTGCAGTTGATACGCAGTACCGACTCTCATCTGTGAACAGAACAGTTCTCTATTGCCTGTATCGCCAGTTTTGGTGTTGTAGGGCAAACTGTAGACGTTCACGCCGATGACGAGGGGTGAGGATAGGTCCACAGTAAGGTCTACGGCAATGGAGGTTCCCGCTGTTAAGACGTCGGCGTACTGGCGGTCTTGTGGTCACCCTTGGTGTGCCAGTACAGGGACGATCATTTGTGGTGTTGGTGGCCCCGAAACGTTGCTGCAGCCAGTAGATGGTCCGAACGTTGACCTGGAAGTGATTGGCAACGGCTTGTGCAGTGTGGCCAGCTATAAATCTTCCTAGCGCCTGGTTCTTCTGAGCTGTCGTGAGTTGCGGCATCCTGCTGTAAAGTGAATGTTTAAACCAGGTTTGGGGTTGAATTTTATAGGGCTGGTCCTTGTGAACAGCACGTGCAGCATGAGTTGCATGAAAAACATAGAGAACACCGTACCATCTCCGAGATCAGGTTGCGTTTTTTGAGACCATTTCCTGTGTTCCATTCTGAGTTTGGGAAGGAATGTCTTTGCTCAGGTAGAGTTGGAGATATTGTCAAAAATATACAATCAAAACATTAAATGAGTTTACAGTTATCCGTTTTTTGCGAAGGAAAATTCCAAACTGACGTTTCGTTTGCTGCTAAGTATATATTTTAGGAAATAGCATCATTTGTAGATTTTGTGAAGATGATGTTGATAAAGCCAGAAGTCTGGGTGCCGTTGTTAGAAGAGAAACATTCTTCCCTTGTTCGTATGTCTTTCTAAACAATACCCAACCAAATCAACCTCTAGCTAAGTTGTTAAATTTGAGTTTGATTTCCAGTCAAATTTTCTGAATTACATTCTTTGCATCAGAAGTAATTGTCAATAAAATAGTATCTGTTTCATTGGTTACATTTGGGATTACACATTCTTATTAAAGTACAGATTGTAGTACTTTTTGGGTTGAGTCCCATCCGGGATTCGAACCCACACCCTCAGAATCAGGCACCTAATCCCAAGCACACAAAGTCAGACGCCTAGACCGCTCAGCTACCGCGACTTCCACAAAATGGTAGTCGGACAACTGATAATTGTTAATTGGCACGGCTCCTACGGCCGAAAGCTATGGAATACACAATGTATTTACTAAGAAAGTGTAATCCCAAATATAACATACGTTACATTTGATCACTTTCTAAAATTACATTGTGTATTTCATAGTATCTGTTTCGACCGAAACAACATGGCATATACAGTTCGGCGCAGTGATGATATAGCATAACATCACTGCCTCAGGCTAATTTGCATATCACGTGACCCTACTTTTTTTTTATTGTGAACAAACACGCATATTTGTAAACCAGAAGAGACTGCCTTTATGCAAGCTTTTCCGTGCGCTCTTAACACTGTTTGACATTGTTATGTAGATATGTTTCTACAACAGAGGCAGTCAGGTTTATAACAATACATATCTATACAATACAGTGCTCTCTATAGGGCTTCCATGTCAGCATGGGAACTGCTCTACCTATGTAAACAAAGGATCGCTACGCAAATCGAAATAGTGTTAACGTTTTTTGGAAATTTTCTCACTGATGGTAAACAATTCTATCAAGAAAGTTTAATCAGATGTGGTGACTCGTAAAAAACTAAAGAAATATAGAATGCCGATTTCCGAAAATTAATCTGGATTTTTATAGCCAGGCAGTGCATGCTCTCTGCTGCACAATTTCAACTGGAAGGTGATTTCTGTTGCGTTGTGGCGATGCCTTTTCAATCCTCATAAGAAATCAAATCAAAATCAACATTTTCAGGTAAGGTCGATTTTTTACTTTTGCAATTCTGTAAAATCATGTTATCAACACTTTTGTTACATATTTTGACGATTGTTTGATCACAATAAGTAATTAATAGATTTTTAAAAATACAAATCGCTTATGCGTTTCTTTTTATAAGTATACTTCAAACTGTGTTTGAAACTTTGGATATGTATTTCCTAACTTGTAATTATCCTGCACATAAATTAAAATAATGGTAGATGTGTTTCGGGGACTGTAGACCCATGAATATAACAGTACTTTAGCAGACGGTTATTGATTGTATTTATTACCATAACGACTTGTTTCATATATGACGACTTCAGGTGGTCCTGCGTCCGCCCGGAGAGCGGAAGGTCGCGGGTTCGATCCCAAACCGCGTCATACCCAAAAGACGTTAAAATATGGTACTTGTTGGTCCCTGCCTGGCGCTCGGCATGAATGGGTACGAAAAGGACTGGTCGGCTCGGAGTCAGTATAATGTGTCTGAGTGGGGTATTCATGCTGCACTGCGGCATGGTAGCTAAGTGGGCTGGCACTATAAAACCAGCTTAAGTCTGGGCTAATACAAGCAGCCGCACATACACCTACACATGCATGCACGTCGTCATATGAGCGAAATATTCTCAAGCACGACGTAAAACCCAATTTCACCTCACCTCACCTCAGGTGGTCCTACACTGAAATTCTACGATAGGGGGAATACAGTACATTATTGTTACTGTAGATCAATATATATTTGTATTAAATAGACAGATATCACAGTAAATACGTTTATAACTTCATACTAATTCTATAAGAAAGCTTGACAGGAAAAACGTATAAAGAATGTTGCATAATATTTTAACCTGATGATAATGCATGTATTACTGAGTGAAGAAATTAAATAGGTTCAATTTATATAATATATAAATATGTCTTTAGGTAGGTACCAATATATACCAATGTTAATGGGGAAATATGTAGTGTCGAATAAACTTGGGTTGATGGGAAGTCGAAGTGAGGAGGTAACACTTTGATTCGGGACAGCAAAATATTCGATACAGATTTGCATCCTGTAAATAGGAAAGTGTTTAGATTTTAGAATTTATTTTTCAAATTAAGGATCACATTCTAGATTGGGAATGACTGTCACGCCCTTTGACGTTGTCTATCTTTACGATTCTTGGCTTGTAGGGCAAGCCTCACTCACCTCTTTTAGTTGGCTTGGTCGTCATGGGTGCCTTTGTTTTATTGTCAGAGGGAGGTAACTCTGTCTGTACTGTTGATTGAGTTGACGTTGACGTTGAACTTTCCGCTGACGATTCTGACGAGATGGTCGTCGATGTAGCCATGTTTGTCTTTGTTGTCAGTGATGGTTTTGTAGTCATGGGTGTTGTGAATGTTGTGGATGATGTGGTCGAGGTTGACGCGATCGTCGTAGTAGTCACAGTAGTTGTTGGACCAGTTGAAGTTGTCATGGTCGTTGAAGTAACCGTTGTTGAAACTGTCAGAGTGAAAATGTACATTTCAAACATAAAGGTTCTCACTGGGATCTCTTTCGATATCAACTTTATCAATACAAGTCGATAAAAGCTTGTAAATCATAGGTTGGTCGACGTGTTTTAACATACTAAATATCAACAGACACAAAGCCTGAGATTCACTCTTTCACCCAATATCATTTGTCCGACTTATTTTTGTTTCTGAACAGTAATAACCTGTGTCATAAGCGTAACATTTACAGCTGGTCAGTTTTAGTGGCAGAATGAATATTAAGCCAGACGTCATAGTAATCAATGACGTTACAATGAAATGGAAACGGCCAACTGCAAAACCAAAATTATCCCGACCAAATCTACGAAATTCGCGATTCAGGTCTCATGACACTAATACAGACTGCCCTACTATTCTTGATGTGTGGGTTTCGGGGTGGGGATGGGGTGGGGGTGGGGTGGGGTGGGGTTATGGTTTGTTGTGTGTGAAGGGAGCTCAACGCCGAAGACCCGGGTTATATTCCCTACATGGATACATTGTATGAAGCCCATTTCTGGTGTCCCCCGCCGTGATATTGCTGGAATATTGCTAAACACGGCGTTAAACCTAACTCACTCACTCAAGGATTGTCTCATCACGCCCAATTTAGAACTCCTACTTATTGCACCACCACACGGTCAATTGGGGCACACATGCTTCCACCCACTTGCATCTGGCACATCAAACTTATGTAGACAGTGTTTATACATTACCCAAAGGCAGATCTCCAACCACCAAGATTACCGAGTTGCTGTCTTCCCCTCTGACCCGACACGTCCACGATGACGCGTGATCCGCTTCCGTCACAGAAGCTAGGGTCACGTTGTACTGTTTACCTGGATTTATGCTGTACACGATTCGATCCTTCAAGTTCTCAAAGTCATCATTTGTTTTGGCCAAACCTGTATCTGGGCCCATGCCAAAGATATCCTTGGCATTCCTCTTCCAGTTGATATACCATATATATTTTTCTGTCGTCGTGCAGATCAAGGTGACTGTCGAATGTTCCTCAATCCTTGAAGGGTCAATAGTCAAAAACGGTCTATCAGCTTGAAAAAAGATATAAAACACGTAGTTATATAGTCTTGTTAATTATGAGGATATGGGGCTTTTATTACGAGTGTGTGACTATTTTTACTTTATATGACATGTCTGCTTTTTCATTTGACAAAAAAATCTACAAATTTAAAGAAACAATATTTTTTACTATGATCTGACTTACACTCTCAACTGTAAAACCATATGTTACAGAACTGTTCAGTGTGGCAAGGGGTCGGTTAACTCATTTGTTGTGACTTAACATGAGTGCGCATACTGCTTCAAAACACTGGTTGTTATATACGAAACGAATGTTGTGCATGCTACATTTATCCTTGACATCCAGCATAAAGTATTAATTGTCCTTCAATACACAAATAAACATTCTCAGTATTTCAGAAAAAGAGTCATCGCCCTTTGAATATCAAACGGTCTCCAAGGACTAAATCCAACCATTTATGCACTTACCTTTTTGTGAGAATCGTCAGTACACTCCATACAATAATTGGTGTTGTAATGGTCATGGTGGTTATATAGTGAACGACGCGGGTCTACACAGGCTCCTTGCTTGACGCCATGTTTCAAACAAATCTATGTAGATCCGGAACTAAAATAACAGTTGGTTTCATGAGACCAATGCACATGCTTTCCGAAGACATCCCCAGTGCGCTAGGCCCACCGATCTACATCAGCAGCAATAATAACATTTTGCTTCTTCTTCAGCGAAGCTTGTTATAAAACAAATTTGTATGATCATGTTTGCCATGCGCCTACGCTTGTCTGTGTAAACATATGCTGTGATGTTTTGTCCCGATTTCTATGAACGCTACATAAAATTGTGTCCCGTGTTGACGGATTCTGATTGAGATGTCGTTATCAAACATATACACCTTGCGATGTGTCATCCGTACGAAGGTGAACTCCAATACCTTGACGTTACTTTAACTTTTACATTCTTAATGAATGGAAATAATATTTACAGAAGGTAAGCGGGACACATCGTACTATCACTTAGACGGTGGTTCAGTGTTATGTAAGGCTGCGAGCACTGTGCAAACATTAATCTTGAATCTTGTTTAGCATTCATTTGAGAAGTGCGTTTACACATTCACATAATATGAAATGCAGAAAGCTTGCGCTTTACGTCCTCATTCCAAGGTAACGTCTAACACATTCCAAGAAACTCTATGTAGGATATATTCATCTCCCTTGGCCACACATAAAACTATTACCCCGGCCTGGCAATGCTTAAACGTCACTATTTGCTGAATAACTCGCATAAACAAAATTCAGTTGCATTGATAAATCTTCAACATCGACGTACAGTACTAAACGGCTATGATTAACACCAAAGGACCACTAATTCTAGTTCGTAATGGACATAGTTCGACGAAAATATGCAGCGTCTGGGACAAAAAACAGTATATATATAAATATATGTATATATATATATATATATATATATGTATGTATATGTATATGTATATATATATATATATATGTATATATATATATATGTATGTATATATATATATATATATATGTTAATTTCAAGCAATCTTGATATGAACGCTTGAGCATAAGTCTGTTCAAATACTAGGATCGGGCGAGGATCTCTTCACAGCTTCCTCAACTGAATCGGAGGGATGGGTTTGACGTATGAATGATAAGTGTCGCCATGGTTATTTTCCCATATTAGGGAGTGAATTGGGTTTTACACCGCCTTGAGCAATATTCCAGCAATATCACGGAGGGGGCACCAGCAATGGCCTTCACACGTTGTAGCAATGTGTGGGAATCGAACCCGGGTCTTCGGCGTGACGAGAGAACGCTCAAAACACCCCACCGCCCCTCTCCTGTTAATTTGATTTGTTCGACACACATAAAATCCATGCAGAAAGCATAAACATTCACTCACTCACTCACTCACTCACTCACTCACTCACTCACTCACTCACTCACTCACTCACTCACTCACTCACTCACTCACTCACTCACTCACTCACTCACTCACTCACTCACTCACTCACTCACTCACTCACTCATCTTGTTTGTGTATCACTGGGGCAGTATACGAGGACATTCAGTTTCGGTGTCATGACAGATAAATAAACACAGTGAATGAGTAAGTAAATATAGCTTTACGCCCCTGATAGCAATATTCCAGCAATACTTGAGACAACAGAAATGGGATTCACACACTGTACCAATGTGGGGAATGGAACCAGGTTCTTCGGGTCAATCATTATTAGTAAACACCCTGATATCCTAACATACTTCGTTTTAGAACTGATCCGCAGTAATCTGTGAAAAGATTCAAATCGGTTAGTCCGGATAAAAGAGTGCCAATCTACGGCGATGGCGTGGATAGTTACTTTCAATATCAATCACCCGTTTGTTTGGCGGTAATTTATACCTGGAATGCTGAATGTGGCTTTAAATAACAACGAAGTATAAAGCAAATACTTATTGACTAATAACTAGACTAACATAGTTTCTGAAAATACGAACGAACGCTGTAACCAATAGGCTACCAGCCGCCCCTCAATGAACACATGCTAATTAATTCCCTTGTAAAAGTTTTTAAAAACATCGCTGTAGATAAAGGAAATTGTTTTGTCTCTCTTCACCCTGTCATCAATAACATGTATCATTAACATCTGAACATAGCCACACAACCTGGCGTGGTGTGTTGATCTCGTTCAAACAACATAACTACGTATCTATCTTGGTGTTCCAGATTTCAATGTGTACTGGTTTCACAATGATGAAACACATTTACAGGTGAACAATGAATGCATTCAGCCTACAGTGTGTTCTTTTCTTCCTCTTAGGATTGGATTTTCACCTACTAGGGTTTTGTAAGTAATTAGTAGAACTTTTCTAATTTGGTGTGTGACCTTTGAACTGGTTGGCTTCCCGCTTTTATGCTATTGTTTCTTCAGTGTCATATGTATGTAAACGCTGTGTTTATGTATGTGTGTATATGTTCGCCAAACGTTTGCTTCCTTCTGTATGTCAAGTCCGTGTGTATGTTTGTCTGTATGTACGTCAAATGTGCGTTTGGCACTACATTATGTCAAATATGTGTGTATGTATGTCTATATGTGCGTCAAGTGTGAGGTGAGGTGAAATTGAGTTTTACGCCGTGCTTGAGAATATTTCGCTCATATGAAGACGTGCATGCGTGTGTATGTGTTTGTGCGGCTGCTTGTACTAGCCTAGACTTAAGCTGGTTTTATAGTGCTGGCCCACTGAGATACCATGCCGCAGTGAAGCATGAATACCCCACTCAGACACATTATACTTACTCCGCGCCGACCAGTCCTTGTTGTACTTATTAATGCCGAGCGCCAGACAGGGACCAACAAGTACCATATTTTAACGTCTTTTGGTATGACGCGGTCGGGGATAGCACCCGCGACCTTCCGCTCTCCGAGCGGACGCTCTAACCACTACCCAACGGAGTCGGTCACGTCAAGTGTGTGTTTGGCACTGCATTATGTCCAATCTGTGTGTATATATGTCTATATGTATGTCAAACGTTTGCTTGCTTCTGTATGCCAAATTTGTGTGTATGTCTGTCAGCATGTACGTCAAGTGTGCTTGGCACTGCATTATGTCCAATCTGTGTGTATGTATGTCTATATGTATGTCAAACGTTTGCTTGCCTCTGTATGCCTAATTTGTGTGTATGTATGTCAGCATGTACGTCAAGTGTGCGTTTGGCACTGCATTATGTCCAATCTGTGTGTATGTATGTCTGTATGTACGTCAAGTGTGCGTTTGGCGCTGCATTATGTCCAATCTGTGTGTATGTATGTCAGCATGAACGTCAAGTGTGCGTTTGGCACTGCATTATGTCCAATCTGTGTGTATGTATGTCTATATGTATGTCAAACGTTTGCTTGCCTCTGTATGCCTAATTTGTGTGTATGTATGTCAGCATGTAAGTCAAGTGTGCGTTTGGCACTGCATTATGTCCAATCTGTGTGTATGTATGTCTATATGTACGTCAAGTGTGCGTTTGGCACAACATTAAGTCCAATCAGTGTGTATGTATGTCTGTATGTACGTTAAACGTTTGCCTGCTTCTGTATGTCAAATCTGTCTGTCTGTTTTTTCTGTATGCACGTCAAATGTATGCTTTGCACTGCAGGCATGTCAAATCTGTGTGTATGTATGTCTTTGTAAAATATATCAAATCTGTGCGTATTTCTGTATGTAGCATGTCAAATGTTTGTATATGTCATTTCCGTGTATTTGTCTAGGTAGATTTACCTGTGTTGGTCTGTGTGTGTATGTCATTTGTGTTTTTGTGTCTGTGTGTATGTTAAATGTGTGTACCTCTTTATGTAAGTTAAACCTGTGTTTGTCACTGTATGTCTGTATGTACGTTAAATATGTGTATGTATGTATCTATGCCAACTCTGTGTTTGTATGCCATCCTGTCTCTGAGAATCTATAATCCTGATTCGTGGCCACTGGGCATGAAGGATTCACAAGTAATACCGAGATATAGCTGGAATATTGCTGAGTGCGGCGTTAAACAACTAACCAATCACAAGTAAGCTGGAATCACACTCTTCTCGTGATCATTCGCTGGGCAAAGATATGTTACGAGCCTTATTAACATTGGAAAAAAATCATCTGTTGATAGACAACTAGTTGGCTGTTAGATTTTCCCGGACATTTGATATTTCAACCGATGTTTTATATATAATTTTTATGCCCTATCATATATTACAATGCCGTGTCGTCATACACAAACTGTGCATGGAGTGATTATTCCTCTATTATAGATTATTACATGCAGTAAACTACGGCTACAGTGAACTCAAAGAGACCAATAATGTTAGTTCGTTATATCCGTTGTAATACGCATTTCGACCATACTATGGAGGAAGTAAAACAACAGTACGCTGTATCCAGCTGCTCCTCTGTCGAAGGTTCGTTCTTGTCACATGTTCAATATAGTGGCGGTGAGGTAGCCCAGAGGTTAATGCTTTTGTTCGGGTTCGATTCCCCACATGGGCACAGTGTGTGAAGCCCATTTCTGGTGTCCCCCGCTGTGATATTCCTCGAATATTGCAAAAAACGACGTAAAACTCACGTTATAGACATAGGCTACAGCAGGTAATACTTAGGTGTATATATGACCAGGTTCTATAGAGCTGACCAGCGTCCCCTCGGTAGCCACAGACGGGGAGCCCCTCATTCTGACGTGCAACAACACGGAGGAAGAACACGACAACAACTGGTTTCGAAATGGCGACCCCATCTTCGTCACCATCCCATCTTGTTCATCCTTGAGCAATGCGTCCATACTGAACAAGGAGCTGTTCAACGAGTACCTGTCGGGGCGTGTCAGTGTCAGTTGCCATGGCAACCAGCACAACGTTACCCTCATGGTTGACTCCGACATTGACGACGAATCTGTGTGGTGGTGCGAAGTGGAGGAAAGAAGCAACAACATCACTATACGTGAGTGACTCATCTCCGCGGGTGTCCAGTCGTCTAAAGCGTTGCAGTTCGCTCTACATAGTTGTCTCCCTTGGGCACGCCTGGCACCTATGTCGCATCCAAACAACTGTGTAGAGTGAAGTGAAATACGAGGCTTTAGTCGAATGGGCCACGAACAACTCATGATTTGTTTCAAGTTTAGCGTTTTCAAGGACCAGATATTGACATAAGTGTGCGGTTAGTTGCCGCTACACCGAGTCCCCACGGGCGGTAAAGAAGATCAACTTTGTCAAACATCTTTCTGTTGAATTTTGAAGTGTCGAACGTACACTTGTCTCGAAATAGATGAATGGCACCTATGTATCCGTTCTATAGTTCGGTTGTGTCGAACTTCAGATAACCAGATGAATTCATGTAGGTTCAACGTGTTTGTAAATAGAAATGTTGAAGGCCAACTTTGCAGCGTTAATTTCTTCTGACCCTACCTAAATTTAAGTGAGTGAGTGAGTGAGTGAGTGAGTGAGTGAGTGAGTGAGTGAGTTTGGTTTTACGCCGCTTTTAGCAATATTCCAGCAATATCACGGCGGGGGACACCAGAAATGGGCTTAACACATTGTACCCATGTGGGGAATCGAACCCGGGTCTTCGGCGTGACGAGCGAACGCCTTAACCACTAGGCTACCCCACCGACCCAAATTTAAGTGAGTACACATTCCTACCGGTTGTTCTTATTTTCTCAGAATTTTGCTAACAGAAGTTAAACCAACGCATTTCTGAATGCATTTTGCAGGAATGAATTCTTCAGCTCCTTTGCTGTCATCTCCATCATTGCCTACCACACATGTCTCGACATCTGTACCAACATCTACCATCCCAACGACCTCTACTTCTACTTCGCCATCTTCATCGTCAAGCATGGCAACATCTTCAGCTAAACATGGCGTTTCATCGTCGACAACTACAAGTAGATCAACAACTGCAGCAAAACGGATATATCCATATACATCTGTATCTACGTCAACCATTGCAACACTTGAACAAACTCAAACAGCTGGAAACAAGACAGCGGAAGAGCATGGCAAAGGTACAAAACGCTGAATAGCTCATGTTTTGAGTCTCAGCTATATCTGCAATACTCTGTATCGTCAGTAATAGCATCATTGTAAACCTATGCTAACGTCTAGATCCATTTCGGTAGTTCTCGAGATCTTAAATTATCCGCAATTGATTTTCATGAGCCAATTTGATTTATTACTCAGTCTAGTGGACCAATCAGAATGTTCTTGATTTTCATTAGAATATCCTCCATTTTGTTTTTATGACGTAACATAGGTGTGACCTTTGTGTGAACCCTAATCGATTGTTGAGCCCCACCCTCCCCTTTCCGGTCCAGGTGTGTGTGTGACCTTCAGGTTCACCTTAGTGGTATTATTTTATGAGTTTGCCGACTCGAGTGTTCACACAGCGTTAGACTAATGCTTAGTATCTGAATATATATATAATTTTGATAGTAACAAACAAGCCTGTTTAAATTGAAAAGGAGCCCTAAGGACACCAGAGATTCAGAACCTGAGGAAATCTAGACTTGCTTTATTTAGGGCTTTAGCACTGCAGAGAGGGCATGTGGCAGTAGGGAAAATAATGTGGTTCAGGGACTGTGAGACAGACTAAGCAAACGTGTTCAACGTAGAATTAATATCACACAATGAGGGGGAATTTAGCTGCTATTTATAAGGTCAAAATATCACAGCGCATTTTGTTAAATCAAAGTTTAAAATACGCTGTCACACAAGGAACAAGTCTTAATGTTTCGATATCTGTCAACAATAAACGGTTGTAGCTGTTAAATTTCATGTGGGCCCGTATATGCGTGAAATAGAGGACGCTGTCTATTCACTACTGTGAGTACTAACAGCAGAATCGCTTGCTCACTGAGCCGTAACTGAAGAGACATGTGACAGCTGTGATTGGATGAAATAGTGTAAGGTGTTATGTTTGTTAAAAGCACCTCCATCCAGTCATTAAAACTGACCACCATTTTAAGTATTTAATGCTGTCATTTGTATCACTTATGCTTATGCGTGTACAGATATGTTCAAGTAGGTGACAGTTGGTGCGGACCTGGGAGGGTTGATGTGTTTAGCTTCCTGTGTGTGGCTTCCTGTGCTCTAGCCGGTTCAAGTTGACCAGAAATTGTTTTATTGTAATTTAAAGGTCAGACTGTAATCATGTGTACATGGTTGGTGATAATTTTCAGCGTGGTGTAGTGTCACATACGGTCAGCTTCCGCTGTTTAAAGGTCAGACTGTAATCATGAGTACATGGCATGGATAATTTTCAATGTGATGTTGAATGTATGCTCACAAGTGGTCAGCTTCCGTTATGTAGGGAGACAAGTGTCTGACCGGAATTAAATACAGGAAATAGTAAGCAGTTGAGGAGTGATGGTCACTGAATATCTCAAGTAGTTTGGTTGTGCAGTGATGAAATGATTTAGCATTTGTCATATATATTACTGGATAAGAAATATGTGTTCTCCTGTAAAACCTTCACTTTTACTCAACATTTTAAAACTTTTACTCTCAAATTGCAAACATAAAAAACACCCATCTTATGTCCATGTTTATGACACTTATTTGACATCATGTGACACATAGGTTACTCACATGCCGTTCGTCGCCTCTTACTACAAGAATGGGTTACTGAAGGTTCATTCTAACCCGCACCTTCACGGGTACAATACATTAAGAAACAAGGAAGATATACAGATTTCATTGTTTATTAGCTCCGTTTCAAATGAGTAGGCTTTAGGATAGGAGCTCTCCCAAATGTCTACTTTACATTTTGTGCTAATTGTATGATTGCCCTTCCTCAACGTCCTGCCCTTCACTCTCTACATCATATGTCATGTCTTCATAATCATCATCAATTAAGTCTTCTACCCAAGATTTATATTGGTACAGTTTGGAAAACACGTCATGATACAGATTACTTGTGTCTTGTACTCGTTTCAGTATTCCTTGTGTCTTTGGACCCAACTGCATATGATACAGATAAGTAATAAATCGGGCATACGTCTCTTTAAACGTGCTCCAGATGAATTTCTTCAGTTTGGCTTGTATCATGTCTTCGTGTAACCCTCTTTTCGTGTATAGCTGTCGTTTCTCATCCAAAAAAGTCTTTATTCAGCTCAAGCGTCCGTGAATACATTTGTCTTATACCTTGCTCCTCGAGATCAACTATGTTATTTTCCTGTTGCCATGTGTGACATCGTTTAATGATTCATCATCATCATCAGTTTCCATTTCAGGACATTGTTTATCACGTAAATGTCTTTGTAAGTTGTGGTTATTGCTAAACACTTGACCACAATAGTCACAATCTGACAGAGGACGTGGTCTCTTCATATCAGGAAGTTATCGTCTTCCTCCCATTTCCTTTTAACTTGGGGTATTCCAGGTGGACCCACTGAAGACTTTTCAGGACACCAGTTTCTTCTGTGTTTTTTGCAAATCATGCACGTCTTGAAACACGAGTCAACAGTCATCACAAGATGGCATTGTTGGGAGGTTTTCTTCACACGTCTGTTTACTCTGAACGTCTAACTCGGACTGAATTGTCCTAGCTTGGAGGCCTCCTTTTAAACTGAATACGTTGGAACAAAGTCGCAAATGGGGAGGTGTTTGGGGTTTTAGATCAACCAACAAGTAGCCATAAGGCTTCTGGGTAGCCCTTTGAAATGGCTCCATGAAATGGTCTGTGTTACCTGGATACATTTGCCTCACCAAAGTCATGATGGGTTGTTGGTCAATAGGGTTGTTGAACAGAAACAGATAATGACAGTTTCTTCGTTGTGTGGGATCCTTACTGAAAAACAAATTCTGGTTCAAGGCGATCACTGAGAGATTACGATGATGACTTCCTTCCTTTAACAGATCTGTAATGAGTTGATCTTTGCTCGCTGTCGACATTAAGTCATCGAGGATAACCACGTTCACCACATGGGGGTCCAGAAATGCATCCTTTTCGAGATGAGAAGGAATGCCTTGATGAAATTCAGCGTATCGGTAAACACAGCCTTGAATGGTGTTATACAGTGGCTGCCATCGTTTGTAGAGCCATATAATATGTTCAGGATAAGGTTTAATGTTCATCAAATCTAGAAGCTGTTTCACTAAGTAGGTTTTCCCACAGGAGAATGGCCCTGAGACGATCATGGTAAATGTATGTAGGAGCCTAAATTCTTCCCATGACTGGGTAGTACTTTCTGATGAATGTGGTTGCAATGGTTGCTGCTGCTGCTGCTGCTGCTGTAGTTGCTGATGCTGATGATGATGTTGCCAAGTCGGCATTAATGGAAGAGGAGGTCCATGAGGTGGTGGTGGTGATGCTTGTGGTGGTGGAGGAGGAGAGAGTTGTTGATGTGGTGGTGGAGGAGGAGGAGAGAGTTGTTGATGTTTCTGTCTTCTATGTCTCAACATATTGTCTGTCCTGGAAAAGGTCTGATAGCACACGGGATACGTTGTTGACTGCATGGTGGTCCGAGTCTAAATGGCAGGGAACCTGTCTACTGACTGCTTTTATCTAAAAAGTCATCTTCCGTTTCTTCATGGGACTCTGGGAGGAACTTCCAACTTTAGATCCCCCTTTCTTCTGCATCTGAATAAGAGCCTTGGCTTGTTCGACCACTTGTTGAGTAGGGGTAACAAAATTAATCTTAGGTTGTTCTGAGGTTTCTTTTGGTTTATCTTTCTTCCACTCTGGGTCATACAGTTCCAAATATCGATCGACAGACATCATGGCAGATTTTTCTCCTCCACGCATTATAGAATGATAAGGATCTCCTTCCCTTCAGCCCTGAGCATGTAAAATCGTGTCCATTTTTCGGCATCGGGTACGAAGAGTTTGTATTGTGGATTATTCATGATGAAAATGGGAGCGGCTTGAGGTGATGCGTCACTGTCACTGGTCCACGGCTAAATGAAGATAGATAGCCATTGTAGCCTGTTATATAGATATCTACATTGACCTTGGGCTTGGTGTAGCTTTCAACATCGCTGCCAGGATGGTCATACATGCTCTTTCCCCGGATTGACAAACCTAAGACGGGTGTACCAGATGTACTAAGCCAGTGCTCTATCAAACAACCAGGCATTTTGAATGGCCTCATCTCTAAGTGTATTGACAAACTGTGGTTTCAAAACAAATGTGACGATAGGCATGTGAGTAACCTATGTGTCACATGATGTCAAATAATTGTCATAAACATGGACATAAGATGGGTGTTTTTTATGTTTGCAATTTGAGAGTAAAAGTTTTAAAATGTTGAGTAAAAGTGAAAGTTTTACAGGAGAACACATATTTCTTATCCAGTAATATATATGACAAATGCTAAATCATTTCATCACTGCACAACCAAACTACTTGAGATATTCAGTGACCATCACTCCTCAACTGCTTACTATTTCCTGTATTTAATTCCGGTCAGACACTTGTCTCCCTACATAACGGAAGCTGACCACTTGTGAGCATACATTCAACATCACATTGAAAATTATCCATGCCATGTACTCATGATTACAGTCTGACCTTTAAACAGCGGAACCTGACCGTTTGTGACACTACACCATGCTGAAAATTATCACCAACCATGTACTCATGATTACAGTCTGAACAATAAATTACAATAAAACAATTTCTGGTCAATTTGAACCGGCGAGCACAGGAAGCCACACACAGGAAGCTAAACACATCAACCCTCCCAGGTCCGCACCAACTGTCACCTACTTGGACATATCTGTACACGCATAAGCATAAGTGATACAAATGACAGCATTAAATACTTAAACATTGTGGTCAGTTTTAATGACTGGATGGAGGTGCTTTTAACAAACATAACACCTTACACTATTTCATCCAATCACAGCTGTCACATGTCTCTTCAGTTACGGCTCAGTGAGCAAGCGATTCTGCTGTTAGTACTCACAGTAGTGAATAGACAGCGCCCTCTATTTCACACATATACAGGCCCACATGAAATTTATTTGCTACAACCGTTTATTGTTGACAGATATCGAAACATTAAGACTTGTTCCTTGTGTGACAGCGTATATTAAACTTTGATTTAACAAAATGCGCTGTGATATTTTGACCTCATAAATAGCAGCTAAATTCCCCCTCATTGTGTGATATTAATTCTACGTTGAACACGTATGCTTAGTCTGTCTCACAGTCCCTGAACCACATTATTTTCCGTACTGCCACATGCCCTCTCTGCAGTGCTAAAGCCCTAAATAAAGCAAGTCTAGATTTCCTCAGGTTCTGAATCTCTGGTGTCCTTAGGGATCCTTTTCAATTTAAACAGGCTTGTTTGTTACTATCAAAATTATATATATATATATTCAGATACTAAGCATTAGTCTAAGCTGTGTGAACACTCGAGTCGGCAAACTCATAAAATAATACCACTAAAGTGAACCTGAAGGTGACACACACACCTGGACCGGAAAGGGGAGGGTGTGGCTCAACAATCGATTAGGTCACACAAAGGTCACACCTATGTTACGTCATAAAAACAAAATGGAGGATATTCTGCTCACCACCACCACCCACCCCACACCCCACCACCCACCCACCCTACAACAATTAGCCACGCTAAAGGGCCAATAGCAATGCGTTGTTAAAAGTCAGCGTCAGTGTTCGGGTGTAGATATTAACAACATGTCGGGTTGATTACGATAGAGGAATGTCAACTTTGAAAAATTGACGAGAAGCAGATTGGAGTATGACTGAAAATCAAGAGCGGAGTATCTAAGATAATGAGAACCGCTGGAGTGAATTCTGGGGTTAGAAGAAGATTCCTGAGGCCAAGGCCTGTAGATACAGAGGATGCATTTACATTCGTTGTTGACAGCTCACGTTTCATGCTATATCATTGCATAGTGCTCCACATCTTTGTAGCCACCAAAGAAACTATTCTAAGGTGTACGTCCACAACACCCATCCCATATCATCGCTTTGATGATCTCAAGCTGATACTTGTATACCCACAGAAGCCCCTGATGTGCAACACTTTTATGTCGTCGCTGGATCGGTGTGTGGTACTGCAGTAGGCATCCTCATCATAACAGCCGTCGTTATAATGTGGACAAAAAGCAGACACAAACAGAAGGAAGGTACTTGTTTCTCTATATATACATACTGTGAGTCTCTGTTGACGTGTGCTGGCGGTGGGGTTGCCTAGTGGTTAAAGCTTTCGCCCCTCGTCACTCCATGCCCCCCACATGGACACAATGTGTGAAGCCCATTTCTGGTGTCCCCCGCCGTGATCTTGCTGGAATATTGCTAAAGGCGGCGTGAAACCATACTCACTAACTCACTCACTGTTGACGTGCTTACCCGTGATGATCCGGGTTAGATTTGGTCTTCAGCAATCCATGCTTGGCATAAGAGGCGACTAACGGAATCGGGTGGTCAGGCTCACTGACTTGGTTGACACATGTCATCGTATCCCGATTGCATAAATCGATGCGCAAGATGTATAACACGGGATATAATTATATGTCTGTGTGTGAATGTGTCTGATACTCTGGGTGTAAGTGTGAATATTGTGTATTGTGTCAGTGGGTGTTTGTGTCGGTGTATGCTTCTGTGTATGCGTGGCTGCATATGTTTTCTGTGTGCAGCAAAGTATCACGAAGGTGACGTGGAAAGTATTTTTTGTTTCATGTAAGATGTGTATCTATGAACACGTGTTATTTATGTTCGTGCAAGTAAAATACATGGCGAAGGTGATACGGAAGGCAATATTTGTTTCAGAAAGTGCAGCCATCATGCAGTCGGAAGAAACAAACCACTTTTACATCAACGAAGCTGTGCAGCAAGACGTGGACGCTGTGTAGTCAGTTGTCACTGTAGTCACTGTAGTCACTGTAGTCACAGGCCCTTGTGTCTTTGCGAGGATTAAAGATTAAAATTTTTTTTGAGATGACCCCTGACTCGAAATGCTTCACGGTACAGTAAATCATGACTTATTGTACTGTGTAGCATTTCAAATCGGATGTCATCTAAAAAACACATTAATCCTCGGAAAGACACGAGGGCCTTTGACTGTAGTGGGCATAAGTGTCAGTATTACACAGCCGAAAATACTGTCATTATCTTTTAGATATGACACCATGTTCCGGAAGTAACGTTCAAATGCCTTTAAAAACAGAGATTGCAGATTCTTATTACCAAGTGCCATATCACCTTTTCGGTAATATCGAAAATTACCAGAATTGCATTGTGCTATAAAAGAATAATAGTAATGATAATAATAATATGGATTCTTATATTGCGCTAAACTCCACACGAAAGTGTGTTTAAAGCGCTAACAGAGTTCATAGATATCACATGTGTGTTTACAACGTGAATAATCTCAGCCGACATAGCGCACTTCGAGCTACTGTGTGCGTTGTCTGAAGACTGCAAAATTCTTTCCAAATCTGTCAACGTTAAAACTAACAGAAACAACCTCACTACATTACTGATACTAGAAGAAAAATGAACCTGCTGGCACAGTTATGTCAGTACACAATCATCATTCAGTAGGCAAGACCAAATGTGATTGTTCAAATAAGCATACATAACTCTGGCGGCAAGTCACAATTGGGTTTGTACGGGAAGGAATGAGTACGGTTTTAATACTTCCCCCGAGAGTGTGTTTCTGGTCCTCATGGCGATCCAAGCTAGCTTGATTTGACGGGAAGCATACACAATTAAAACACGTCAAGTGATTTGACGTAACATGTGTCCAAGAGCGTTCGTTGTGGAACTCTCGGATGGTAGTTCAAGAGGCGGAAGACAAAAGTCAGCAGTATAGTTGAAGACAGCAGCAGCCATGTTTATTATGGTTGGATAATAATGGTCGAAATGGTACATAAGATGGAAATCACGTGACAGAACGCACATCGGGACCTAGTGGCCAATGTTCCCTATGTGGAGACCCGCTCTGTCACTTACACGCATTCAGAAGTCGGACGGCGATTCTTCATCATCGACGTAGTCGTTGGTGAGGCGACGGCCTTGGCCGAAGCCTCGACTAGCTGCACAGTCCGTTCGGTGGATGATCTGGGCCCGTTTCGTCGCGTCGTCTCTGACTGGTCTCCCTGTATGGTCTCCCTGACTGACCATGTGAGTCCGGTTTTATGCATAGGGACATTACGCCACGTTGTGCAAGGTCACTGACCTGTGCACATGTACATACATAAGATCCACCGACGTGGGGAGATGTTAATTGACATTTACTGATGGCATTGAGAATTAAGGGTCCTGCCCTGAGGGGGGTTTATGATAAAAGGGCTACACCGAATGATTGCTGAATACATTAAACAGACAAAGGGGATAGAATTTCGGTGCACTTTGGATGTATATGGAAACAATTATGTTGTTTGAATATATGAAGTTTTACAGAAACTTATTGAAATGGTTTACTCTATGACACATGTATGAAAATTGTGCCTAAAAAAATACAATATGTCTATAGTTTAACAGATTAAAGAATGTGTGTGTGTATGTGTACATATATATTATGTTAAATACAGGATCAGTTATAGGTAATGCGTTCATATTGTAGTGTTTATTGGTCTTTGATCTGTACAAGCGAACATCCATGATTTCTTGAAAAGTTAAAATCTCGTATAAATTATACGTTTTAAATTTGTATTGACTTATATGTTTGTATTATTGAATAGACACTTTGGTAACGCAGTGCGAACAAAATGTAAAAGAGTGATTTTCTAGAAATGATATAAGGCGATTTTTACATTGAACAGGAACACATATCCAGATAATAAGAATACTTACTCTCCGACACGCACAAAACAGAACATTAAATACGTGTTTTTCCTCTTTGATCCATACAAGCAAACATGCATGATTTCTTGAAACGTTAACATCCCATATAAAGTAAACGTTTTAAACAGTTATTGACTTTGTATTATTGAATGGACTATACGCTTTGGTAACGTGGACAAAATGTGAACCGGGTTATATTTCAGAATGATACAAGACGATTTTTACATTGAACAGGAACACATATCCGGAGGCTTAGATGATACTCTCTGTAGCGCACGAAAAGAAATTAAATAGCTGCCATCATAGAAATTGCTCTGTCATAAGGTCAGCAATTCTTAGTGTTCTAAACTTAATACACGTCCTATGATTCCCTATTAGAAACTGAACTCTATATTATTTCCAAGTGTGTATATTATCATATAAATTAATGTTCTGTGACAATTTTAAATCATGGATATCATATTTGCACCAGTTTAATTGATTACCTGAAAAGGAGAAATAGTATATTTGCTGGAGATGTTTGCTCATCAAGACAGACATTTTCTTCCCTCATGCTTTAAAATATTGTAAATGTTATTAGCGGTTTTGATCTGTATTTAAAAAGATATTTGCTAGTTGTTTTTCGGTAAGATGAAATATTGATCAGTATGAAAGATGGTATTTAAACATAGATATTTCATGAGGTTCTTGATAGGTATATAGAAGTTGGTATTCAAGTATAGGACGAAATATTGTAGATGTCAACTTCTTGTTTATTGTATACACATGGAATATACAAGAAGTTGACATCCATAATATTTTTTCTTCTAATACTAGCAGATATTTCATTACTTCATACATCCACATACTACTATCTGTACACTTTTGTTGCATAAAAAGAAATTGAGGCCTTTAATAATAACTGAATAAACGCATTCTCTTTTACAGCAGTTTTGCAGAATGATGCAAGATAGTTTTGTGTATATTTTTAAGTTTCTTTTAGAAAGCCTGTACCTTGCGCCGTTAATAGGATCAGCATATCTGGTTTTAGGTGAGGGAATTTCACAGTCGATAACATTGTTATTACAATGGAATAATGCGTGGAAAGTTTTATGCTTAATTGGCCTCGAACGCCTGGTAGTGAAAAGGTTTAATTATTAGTTAGGTTATCGAATTTACAAGGTGTTTATGTCTCATCAATTAAATGCAAATGTTGCGTGCACCTGGGACCTATATTTATTCCGTTGTTATTCATTATGTTATGTTACTTTGAACTACGTAGATGATAATCACATCTACGTTTAAAATGGCAGATACTTTCATCTTAATTGATATGTTAATCGTTTCACCTGGGACCTATATTTATTCCGTTGTTATTCATTATGTTATGTTGCTTTCAACTACGTAGATGATAATCACATCTACGTTTAAAATGGAAGATACTTTCATCTTAATTGATATGTTAATCGTTTCACCTGGGACCTATATTTATTCCGTTGTTATTCATTATGTTTCTTAAACGTGTTTCAGTTGCATCCATGTGTTGTGAACGTTTCTTTGTAGTATTTGCAGATGAAATGGTCATGGTTTTCAAGCGCAACTGGCGACTTGCAAAAACACACTGATATATTGAGACGGTATAGAGACCATCAGCCACTCATTGGCAATGCGACATGTCTAAAATAACATTTGATACTTGTGACGAAAGGAGAACCTATCAATACTTGGATGTATATTTCAATAACAGTCTCATAATGGTATTTTTACAAAAGAAAATATTCAGTTCAATCAAAAAAGATTTTATTTGGAGTGATGAAAACCTACAGATTCTTGGTGACATAAGGTGCAAGTTGTACGAAAGCCCAATGATGCCACTTTGGTAACACGAATTATTTGAAATAAAACTTTCTACTTATTTCAATTTTGGTCCATTTTCCCCCTTTTCATATTTTCTCTTGCTGCTTTTTGTCTGATCATTTCAAATATTTTTCTCGTTATTTCAAATATATTTTCAAAATCAGAAAATTCGACAAAATAATATAATATAATAAAATATTAATTTTATTAAAGTAACAAGAAAAAAGCCGAGATTCAAGAAAAAATAAACAAATGATGCTTCAAAAGCTGCTACATTAGCCTTTGGTAAACATGCACCCACTTCTATTTAATGTTGCAAGTGTGAAGCTTCAACAAAATAGGTTCTGCTGTATACATGGCAGAAATTCATCGGTTTACGAAATGGCACATCCAGTGCAGTGGTCCACGGAAATGGTAGTACATGACCTCTATTTACATATTTACAGGTAAATGTTATTGAGCATTGTTTGAAATTCGTTAAAATGCCTTCATCGAGATACAACCAAACTGTAACAGTGAGCGAGTGAGTTGGATGCAAGTCCCACGTGCCTACGAAAACTGCTACAATGTGTAAGTCAGAGAGGGTATGTCGCCTAACGTATATCCAGAACTGTTTAATTTCAGTATGATGATGTCTTATAATGCAAATGTGAAGATATCAATTGTCGAAATCACATTCGAGAATAAATATTAGCGAGAATATATAACCATGTGTTTGTTCTTCCTGAAATAGAAGGCACTCCATGTTTTCACCTCCAATTGAAGCTTAACATTGGTCAAGAACATTGGTCAAGAACATTGGTCAAGAGGTTATTCCCTCAGAAATATGTGTGTTACAGAAAAATACGAGTGACCAACGCCTCTCACTGGCTGCGTCACACATTGCTCATGTGTGTTAAGGGAATGAACTCGGGAGAAGTGTGTATATATTTACAGCTGAATATACTATAAATACTGGTCGAAGCGCTTTAAAATGACTTCATCAAACGATGGAAGAATTAACAGTGCAACCGATGTCAAACAAGTGTTGTCTGTGTAGTTTTGGGAATGTTTGAAGTAAACAATGCGTGCAACATGAATGACTCTCATTCCATACTAAAGGATGTAGGCATTGCTTTAACAAAAGTTATTGTATTATCACAGAATGTTAACATTGGAAACAAACAATCAAGTATCCTCCTTACAGGTGTGTGTTCATATACTCTTATCACATGTACATTCAATGTTATATACAATATGCATACATGTGTATCTGTGAGTGCGCGTGTATGCATGTTCTCTGTGTGTGTTTTTTCTGCATATGTTCTTTGTGTGAATGCATGTTTTTTTGTGTCTACATATTCTGTCAGTGTATGCATGTGTGTGTGTGCATGTTCTGTGTTTGTGTACATGTTCCTCCGCTATGTGTGCGTATGTGCGCATGTTTTCTGTGTGTGCGTACTTGTTTTCTCTGTGTGTGTGTACATTTTCTCTCAGTATGTACGCGTACATGTTCTCTGTGTGCGTTTGTGTGCATATTTTCTGTGTGTGTACATGCTCTCCAAGTGTGCATGTTAATGGGTTGTGTATACACATTCTCTGTGTGTATGTTTTCCGTGTGTACGTGTACTCTCTCTGTGCGTGTGTGTGTGCGCGTTTGTCTGTCTCTGTGTGTGCGCGTGTCTGTCTGTGTGTGTTTGTGTGCACGAGTGTGTGTCTGTCTGTCTGTCTCTATGTGTGTGTGTGCGTGTGTGTGTGTGTGTGTGCGTGCATGGCCGTGTTGTGGCAAAATAATATTCAGTCTCGACTGTCTACAGAAACAGATTCCACTGGGTGTAAACAACTCTGCTATGTGAAACAAGCTCAGAGTATATGTCGTATTTCCGGAATTCTTTGTCTTCGTCAACAAACCTCCTGTTATACTGCTGGTTCTAGATCGAAGAAATAAATCTCATTTGATCAAAGACAAACAATGTTAACAGATCTGGTATAAAATTAGCAAAGGACGTTGTTTTAGATGACCCCGTTGTTTTGTGGAATATGAACTTGCTTAAACTACGGAAGAAATGATGACTAAAAACATTGTTATGCAGGTACACGATGCCAGGTTCATTAAAGAGCAGTAACAGTAGTACAACATATATTTTATTTGTAACTTTGGTCGAGTGGGGAAGAGTTTGAACCATCCACTGACAACACAACACAAAAATGACGTTCGGGTATGATCCACAACCGACAATTAATTTTGGGCATATGTTTCAACGCACCATTAAAACATCCCCTGACCCAACCACAGTTACATTCTGTTGAGGGTAACAGTTACATTCGTAGGATATACTTCAACTCTTATGGAGAACCACTGCCCCACACCCCAGCAATCACAAGAAGCAACATATTGATAGCATTCGTACACAATTATAAATATTGATCAAGGAAACCATGTCAAGGAATACTGGTAACATTGATACGAAATACTCGGTGTTATATAAAGAAAAGTTGAACCATTTTATCTCACTACAGCACCAGCGACATTCCTGCAGATTGAAATAAAAGGACGAACTCCTCCCACAAACAAGAAACTAGCCAAAACAGGTATTAACAAGACATGGTTCTCCTCTGTAGGGGAAAGGATAAGTTTGTCTATAAGCCTACTTGAACAGTATTCCACTTATTGCCGGGTGAGCGAGTGAGTTAAGTTTTACGCCGCACTCAGCACCATTCCAGCTTTATGGCGGCGGTACGTAAATAACCGAGTCTGAACCAGACAATCCAGTGATCAACAGCATGAGCATCAATCTATACAACTGAGCCTGACCACCCAATCCCGTTAGTCGTTTCTTACGACAAGCATGGGCTACTGAAGATCAATTCTAACCCGGATCTTCACGCGTCCTAAACGTGGAAAACCCAGGTTGGCGCAATTGTCATACTTACATCACTTGGTGGGAGCCATAAACACGGTTGTTTTACTCTGCTGTCTGTGTTTCTTCTTGATTGGTTTCGCGTACAAGGCATCAATCTCAGTCATCGATGGCGTGGCGCCATGTCTTGTAACGCTGTTAGAGGGAGAGGCATCTACCGAAGAAAATTGTTGTATAAACATTCAATTGCTCTTGGTAGCTTTACATTTTCCTCTACCATTAAGAACTCCCGTTTACCAAGTTTTGGCATAGCACTTTGACAGATTTATTGCACACACACGTTTTGAAACATAACTAAAGAAGTTGTCAACCATAAAGTAACTGTAAAGTAACTTACTTTCTTATTTCTTATAGAGTGAGTGAGTGAGTTTAGTTTTACGCCGCACTCAGCAATATTCCAGCTATATGGCGGCGGTCATTAAATAATCGTGTCTGGAACATACAATCAGGTGATCAACAGCATGAGCACCGATCTGCGCAATTGGGAACCGATGACATGTGTCAACCAAGTCAGCGAGCCTGACCACCCGATCCCGTTAGTCGCCTCTTACGACAAGCATAGTCGCAAATAGGGTACACAAGTATATGCACGAAAATGATCTTATTCTCAATTTTGTTTCAGGAAAACATTTTAATGTTATGGAAGATTATTAAAAAAAAGATACATATATCTACGTAGACGATATCTACGTGGGAGATACATACATCTACTTGGATCATGAGACCGTTCTACGTACATGATACTTTCAACCACGTAGATGATAATATTTACATCTACGTTAAAAATGGAAGCTACGTTCATCTACATTGATATTTTAATCGTTTAACCGATGTAAGTGCCCTCATTATAGTGAGTGAGTGAGTTTAGTTTTACGCCGCACTCAGCAATATTCCAGCTTTATGGCGGCGGTCTGTGAATAATCGAGTCTGGACCAGACAATCCAGTGATCAACAGCATGAGCAACGATCTGCGTAATTGGGATACAATGACATGCGTCAACCACCCGATCCCGTTAGTCGCCTCTTACGACAAGCCTGGGTTACTGAAGACCAATTCTAACCCGGATCTTCACGGGTCACGTATGGAACGAGCACGCTTATATATAGCGAGTGAGTGGGTGAATTTAGTTTTACGCCCCTTTTAGCAATATTCCAGCAATATCAAGGCCGAGAGCTTTAAAGAAATGAGCTTTACACATTGCATTCATGTGGGAAATCGCACCCCTTATAACGAACAGATGGATATAACGAACATCCGAACTACTCTTGTATGGTCCATTTGAGTTCAATAAAACCATAGTTTACTCTGTAACGTGGGTGTAATACTCATTTTTCTTAGCGAAAATAAAAAATTAATGGTATTACTCTTACTGACTGATCACGTCATAAACTCTTACTTTGTTGTCCTGATCTGTTCAGCTTCGCAGGTTGGGCATACAGGGAGTCAGTGTTTGGAGTGGATTCTGGGTAGGCTGCTGCGGATCCTGCGTCATTCTGGTATGCCATGATGTACCCATCTACAGTTGGCAAATAATCAGTCGACTTAAATTCAACATAAAACCATATATTTTAGGGCTGAAGGTACGTTTATCTCCTTTCGGAATTGACATGAAAAACAAAGTACACAGCTGTTGTTTATTGGTATTTTTATTTATTTATTTATTTATTATTCATTTTTTTGTTTATTTATTTTTTGTTTTTTTGTTAATTTATATATTTATAGTGTGTGTTTGTGTGTTTGTGTGTGTGTGTTTGTGTGTGTGTGTGTGTGTGTGTGTGTGTATATGTGTGTGTGTGTGTGTGTGTGTGTGTCTTATATTTTCAAAAGGGACATAGTTTTTACATGTTTTCCATGGCGACGTAACTAATTTGAATAGTGGTTTGATTGAGAGTTATGAGTCACAAACAAGCATTGTTTATGTTTTGGCAAAATACCACATACATTGTACCCGATTGCGAATAGCTTTTACGTTCACTTTTTTTCTGGAAAATATTCCCAAAGCACCAGGTGTATACTTACTTCTGTATGTCAGTATATGTACACCTATTACAGCCACATGCACATACCTACGTTCCTGTTTAGTTTTGTATATGTGTTTCATCATCCCGAAAATGGTCTTGGCTTGTTAGGACATAAAATCTTCGTCAATTGAGCTCGTTTTTGAAAATATATATTTAGGTTTTTGTCAAAATCAAAGAGTTGTATGCCATGACCATACATCGTGTCAATTGTTGCGAATTAAACAAAGCAGGGTTTTTCATAGTTGAATGCTTCGCTAAATATTGAAAACAAATCTTCTTCGAAAATGGTCATTAATTTTAATGTGCTTTAAATGAAGTTTGGTATCATTACATGCCTATGGAATTTTAGATACGCTAACAAAATGACCGTATATGAGCACCTTTCAATGCTTTAGGTGAGGCTGATACATATGCGTGGTCTAGTTCTTAGACTGTAGGGGGCGGTGGGGTAGCCTAGTGGTTAAGGCGTTCGCTCGTCACGCCGAAAACCCGGGTTCTATTCCCCACATGGGCACAATGTGTTAAGTCCATTTCTGGTGTCCCCCGCCGTGGTATTGCTGGAATATTGCTAAAACCGGCGTAAACCTAAACTCACTCACTCACTCACTCTTAGACTGTAGTGTCTGAACACGGTTGATAGAGTTAAATGTTCAATACCTGCTTCTCTCGATGGTCTCGATGAACTTGCTATTCGGCTTAAAGGAGTTTCACCCTCCATAACGACATGACAGGCCTTGTCCACCATCACTGAACATAGAGAATAATAATACAATGAGACGTTAAATATACAACGTTCATTTTCACGATCCATAACAACATGACAAGCCTTGTGCACAATCGCTTAATGTTCAGGGGAATAACAGGACAAGCCGTTATATATACACCGTCGAACTTCAACTTGCATTCATCACTGAACGAAGGGAACATGTCAAAACGGCCACACAAAAAAATCAATTGCCACAACAACTAGTCAAAATGGCCATACCAAAAAGTCAAATGGCCATAGAAAAAAATCAAAATGGCCCAACATTATTATATTTTACATATTAATGAATATTGTTCTTTAAATGCTTTCTTAATTGATACTTTGAGATCGTTATTTATATAACATTTTGTGATGTTTTTTTTATCCTGTACTTTGAGATGACCATTTTGACTTGAGGTTTGTGGCCATTTTGCCTTCTTTGTGGCCATTTTGACTTGGATGTTTTGTGGCCATTTGACGAGTGGCCATTTTGACAAGGATCCTGAACGAAGGGGGAAATAACACGATAAGTCTTTAACATACATTTGTGGAACAAGGATTGCTCGGTGCTAAAAGTCTCTGGAAAGCGATACAGATTTTACGCGACAAGATTCTATAAAAAACACAAATTAATAAGTATGGTTCTGAGAAATCAAGAAGCATTACCAGAGCGAGTGCTTGCTGTGCATCGATCTGCGCAACTGGGATACGATGACTTGTGTCAACCAATTTCAAGTCAGCGAGCCTGACCACCAAATCCCGTTAGTCGCCTCTTACGACATGCATGGGTTGCTGAAGACCAATTCTAACACGGATCTTCACGGGTTAACTACGACTCACTAGGACGAATTGCTATTTCTGGTTCAGAAACTGGTAACGTGAAACATTGGTAATGTACTTACCTGTTTGTCTTGACAGTATGAAATCGGCATTCTCTTGGAGACTCCTAAACAGAGTCAACATTACGCATATCTACAATCATATTCCTATTTTACCGAAATGTTCAATAACATCGACAAGCATGGGTTGTTGAAGATACATCTTTCATGGATATTAACTCCTCTGAAATACAGACCAGTGCGTCAGTCTGTTTCTTATTCAGCTCTATGTATAAGCTTATACGGCTACCACGGAATGAACTACTTGCAATGGTTTCACACTGCTGTTTTATCAGCGCCTTCTGATCAACATGACGCCATGTTTAGGGGAAACATCTATGCCTGATGAGGTGTAAAGATCAGGTGTATATCTTGCAATTCTTCCAACATTAGTATGAATAGTAATTGATACTATTAAGGTGCAAACATTGAAGGAGCCGTATATCATTTGATGTCAGTTTATACTGTTACGTCAGTAATGCTAAAGACTTACGTCAATTTGTCCCTCTCCTCAGCTGAAACTGGAAGTAGGTACGTGCATGCAATATGAGGTGGACAACACAGCTGGCAACAGGTACTTATGTGCAGGGAGCGAGTGAGTGAGTGACTATAGTTATATCAATATTCCAGCAACATCACGGCGGGGGACACCAGAAATGGGTTTCACACACTGTACCCATGTGGGAAATCGAACCCGGGTCTTCGGCGTGACGAGTCAACGCTTTAACCACTACACTTCCCCACCGCCCTAAGGACTAGTGGAAATACGTAGACGTGCGTGTGTGTGTGTGTGTGTCTCTGTGTGTGTGTGTGTGTCTCTCTCTCTGTGTGTGTGTCTCTCTGTGTGTGTGTGTCTCTCTCTCTGTGTGTGTGTGTGTGTGTGTGTGTGTGTCTGTCTGTCTGTCTGTGTGTGTGCCGTATTCAAGTGTTCATAGGTGTGCACAATACCCCGGGATAACAGTAATTAACATAGGTACCCAGGTATATAAGATGTTACGTGCATAACATTACTGGAAACAGGAAAATATGTATATTGCATTTTATATTATTATCTTTGGACAAGGTTGTTGGATGTACAGCTCCAATGAATGGGTTTGCAGATTTCTTCATCGGTTAGCATATTTAACCTTTTATGTTGCAACAATAAATCACTTATTCCAATCTCTTTGTTTAAATAGAGTATAATGTAGGCTATGTGTTTTCTCGTCTGAGGCCTTGACAGTGGGAACAACTGCAATCTTTTCATGCAGGGACTTAAGCCAGACTTAATAGCCAGAATTTGGCTTACACATGCTAATTACCTTCAGAAGACAACAACAAGTGACCGTGTTTGGCAGCTGGACTCCTGAGAGTTTCTAGGACTTCCCCCACAAGGAAGCACTTGTGTTACATGTAGTCTCACCTCAGGCAAATGAGTTTGTTCAAACTTGCCTCTGTTCACCCAGCAGAAAATTGGTACCCGGTGGGATAAAGTCATGTACCAATAACCTTCTAGCGCCTAACAGGCAGCTTATCCGGGATAATAATACTCAGAGCATGCAGTGTGCATGGAGCAATGCTCATGATAAATGGGCTATCATTATTATTATAACATTGGCTGCCATTTCAACTACTTACAGCCACTCCCCGACTTGCCCCAGGTCCGTACACAATACACCAGCAGGGCAATGCAGCTGACGATGACGAGCAGGATGGAGACTGAACTGGTGATGATGAAGACATTGGGGGCACCTCCAGGAGCTGGTGAACATAAGATGTATGCGGTTACCTTGGTTTAGAATGACAAGAAGCCAACGACCGCGCAACACGGGATTTTTTTTCCAATTAAACTCGTGAGTGAGTATGGTTTTACGCCGTTTTAGCCTTATTCCCGCAATATCAATACGGACTACACCAGAAAAGGGCTTCACGCATTGTACCCATGTTGGGGATCGATCCCGGGTCATAGCGTGACGAACGAACGCTTTAACCAGTAATAACCACTAGAGTACGCCCACTGCCCCCATATATTTAAAGGCTTTCGCAACTGACGTACAACCCCGACGCTCATGGTAACTAATGGCTTGGCTTGTAAGTACTACAGCATTGTATTAATCTTCACTGCTAATTTGTACATTTACAACAAAATATATTTTATGGGTCGTCAGGGAGGTGGGGTAACTGAAAACCCGGGTTTGATTCCCCACATGGGTACAATGTGTGAAGCCCATTTCTGGCGTCCCCCGCCGTGATGTTGCTGGAATATTGCTAGAGCGGCGTAAAACTAAACTCACTCACTAGCTCATGGATCGCCATCTCCTGTTGACATGCTCTAGGACATGTCATGAATTCTGTTGTCATGGATACGTGGTAGTGATTCACGATATCACCAGCTCAGAATATGAATATGTTTATGCCTTGAACAGACACTAATTACTGAATTACTTATGACAATCATGATCATATTTATATTCATCACGAGGTTCGGTTTCGCTTTCATTAGTCTTTTTGGGAAAGGTTGATTGCATAACTCTGATTAGATTCAATTTTCAACTTTCCTTAATAAGGTGTGGATATATGATACATTTATACGGGTAAAGGGAAATTAAAGAGTGAATATTATTCAAAGCTATTTGTAATGAACTTGAGGCGTGTCACTTTCATATGAGGACATGTTAGTTTACAGTTTTCCTTAAAGAGATATGGGTCGTGAGTGAGTGAGTGAGGATGGTTTTACGCCGCTTTTAGCAATATTTCTGTAATATCGTGGCAGGGGACACACTATACATGGGCTTCACACATCGAACCCGGGTCTTCGGCGTGACGAGCAAACGCTTTAACCACTAGGCTACACCATCGCCCAGTGTAGTTAGTGTGTTTCCATATGAGAAGTGTTAAAATGACAAATTAATGAGTGTAATTAGGTCACATCGTCCAATTCAGCACATCATCTTTACTGACAAAAATATAAAGTTACCACTGGACGTAGTCCTGAAGAGCGTGGTTGTTTCAGTGATGTTTTCCGTGGAGTTCCCGAGCGTCGTTGAACCTGAGAAAAACAAATCGATAGTAAAATGATACTCTGACGACGGTTGCAGTCAGTTTTAATCGTTACGCCTGTATAATTGTCAAAGGAGGAGAATGACCAGTCTTCAGACAGATTCCACGGGCAAAGTGCAAAATAACGAAAATGTTAAGCATACCAGAATCTCCAGCCATTCACGCAATTTGTACAGGGTCGTACATGTACAATATTGTGTCTGTTCGTGCTGACGAACGGAACTAATGTTGTTGTTTGGGTGTGGTTTTTATATAAACGAAGATATGGCACATTGAGAAACGTGTGGATAAACGGTTAAGTGTTAATACTGAATACACCCTTCTTGACGACAAGACTCGTGAAGATCCGGGTTAGCATTATTATGAACTCTAAGTACGTCATTGAGACTACGTTACCTATAATCATGCAGATGTACACCAGTTAGGCGTGCCAGAAACCGACAAGATTTACCACTCTAATAGACAGAGCTCTGGGCACGTCATTGAGACTACGTGACCCATCATTATGTAGATGTACACACGTTAGACGTGCGAGAAACCGACTAGATTTACCACTCTAATAGACAGAGCTCTGGGCACGTCATTGAGACTACGTGACCCATCATTATGTAGATCTACACCAGTTAGACGTGCGAGAAACCGACTAGATTTACCACTCTAATAGACAGAGCTCTGGGCACGTCATTGAGACTACGTGACCCATCATTACGTAGATCATCACCAGATAGACGTGCGAGAAACCGACTAGATTTACCACTCTAATAGACAGAACTCTGGGTACGTCATTGAGACTACGTGACCCATCATTACGTAGATCTACACCATTTAGACGTGCCAGAAACAGACTAGATTTACCACTCTAATAGACAGAGCTCTGGGCACGTCATTGAGACTACGTGACCCATCATTACGTAGATCTACACCAGATAGACGTGCGAGAAACCGACTAGATTTACCACTCTAATAGACAGAGCTCTGGGTACGTCACTGAGACTACGTGACCCATCATTATGTAGATCTACACCAGTTAGACGTGCGAGAAACCGACTAGATTTACCACTCTAATAGACAGAGCTCTGGGCACGTCATTGAGACTACGTGACCCATCATTATGTAGATCTACACCAGTTAGACGTGCCAGAAACAGACTAGATTTACCACTCTAATAGACAGAACTCTGGGCACGTCATTGAGACTACGTGACCCATCATTATGTAGATCTACACCAGTTAGACGTGCCAGAAACAGACTAGATTTACCACTCTAATAGACAGAACTCTGGGCACGTCATTGAGACTACGTGACCCATCATTATGTAGATCTACACCAGTTAGACGTGCCAGAAACCGACAAGATTTCCCACTCCAATGTTTAGATCTCTGGGTACGTCATTGACAGTGATGATAATTGATCATTGACTTGATCAATGTTTTTTCATTTGAGTACTAGAAACTATTAGAATAGTAGGTTCTGGTGACAGTTCCAACATTTGCCCTGGGTATGTAGAATTCACATCGTCCAAGTCAGGACATCATCTTTACTGACAAAAAAATAAATATTACCACTTGACGTAGTCCTGAAGAGCGTGGTCGTTTCAATGATGTTTCCCGTGGAGTTCCCGAGCGTTGTTGAACCTGAGAAAAACAAATCGATAGTAAAATGATACTCTGACGACGGTTGCAGTCGAATGTTGTCTTTATTCATATAAAATGTCAAAGCGAAAGAATAACCTGTCTTTAGACAGAGTCCATTTTGGCGCAAAGGGCCAAATAGCTGAGAAAAATGTGTTTCCTGTGCATTTTCTACCACTCACTCAGGCACATGTACCAACCTGATTGTGTACTTGACGTCATATCAGGGGTCGCCGTATTATCAATGACGCTGTTTTCTGTGAAACACAAATTATTTATCAAAGTACACCACATAATCAATAGTTAACATCGTCTCATACTTAACCAATTATACATCTACTGATCTATAATGGTGAACAGACACAAGTCGGTCACTCCGGGAGAAAGGGTGGTTAATCACTTTCATTTAAACATCTTGTTATCCTCCTAGTGCATAACACAACTAACACACCGGACTGACTGACTGACTGAGTTTAGTTTTACGCCGCTTTTAGCAATATTCCAGCTATATCACGGCGGGGGACACCAGAAATGGGCTTAACACATTGTGCCCATGTGGGGAATCGAACCCGGGTCTTCGGCTTGACGAGCCAACGCTTTAACCACTAGGCTACCCCACCGCCCCTAACACACCTGAAGGAAGAAAGATGTTAATCATTATCATTAAACACGTAAATATCCTGCCACACGTACTTCGGTTTTGGAACTGGTCCCAGCAATCTATGCTTGTGAAGAGACACAAGTCGGTTAGTCCAAGGAATGAGTGCCAGTCTACTGTGATAACATGGATAATTGCTTACAATATCTATCCCTGGCTTGTTTGGCGGTAATTTATAGCTGGAATGTTGTATGTGGCTTTAAATAACAACGAAGTATGAAGTAAATACTTACTGACTATGTAATAACTAGATTAACACTTAGTTTCAGAAAATATGGAAACTAATTAATCTATATGCATTGGAAAGGGGTCCAAGTAAGATGAAGGCTTGAGTTGGTTGGTTGGTTTGCTTGTTGTTTAACGCCGCACTCAGCATATTCCAGCTATATGTCGGCGGTCTGTAAATAATCGAGTCTGGACCAGACAATCCAGTTATCAATAGCATGAGCATCGTTCTACACAATTGGGATGCGATGACATGTGTCAACCAAGTCAGCGAGCCTGACCACCCGATTCCGTTTGTCGATTCTTACGACAAGCATGGGTTACTGAAAAACAACTCTAACCCGGAACTGCACGGGTCAATAAGAGATTGAGAAATGCATAGACTTATTTCATTTAGGGCTTTTGCTGAACAGACAGGACTTAATAGAAGGAAAAAACGATATGGTTGAGGGACAATGATCATGAGACTTACCGGGTCCCCGTGAGCGTTACAAGGCACTGGGAAAGGCCTGCTACTTACACGCCCTGAGTGTTTCAAGTCTCGGATAATGAGGAAAATGTCATACTTGATGTAATCTGCCTCTGCACTGCAATAAATTGAACATTCATTGATCAAAATGATATCAGCACACAATCATATGTGCAGTATAGCAGACTAACGCTTAGTCTCTTAATAAAATGTATAAATTTGATAGTAACAAAAAAAAACAACAACACACAATTATATTGCAAAAGAGCCCCAGTGAGATGTTGTGGGAAATGGAACCTGAGGAAATCTAGATTTGCTTTATTTAGGGTTTTAGCATTGTAAGGAGTGAGTGAGTTTAGTTTTTCGCCGCTTTTAGCCATATTCCAGCAATATCACGGCGGGGGACACCAGAAATGGGTTTTACTGATTGTGCTCATGTAGGGAATCAAACCCGGGTCTTCGGCGTTACGAGCGAACGCCTTAACCACTAGGCTTCCCCACAGCCCCAGCATTGTAAGGAGGGATGGGAAGTATGGAAAATATTGTGGTTCACGGACTGTGAGACAGACTAGCAGGATAGTCGTGAGTTAGGTTTTACTATGCCGGGATCAGTAGTTCACTAATTTCACCTTCACGTCAGCAGAGTGACGCCGATCACAGGCGTTAACCATGTTGTTGAAAACCCATCGCCATGAGAATATTTCTGACAAACTTAGAAACATACAGTGATTATAGAATTTCAAAGAAAAAGTCTTTTGGGACGCATAAGGGACGCAACTCCGCACAGACTTGTGACGTCACAACTGACCCTGTTCCCAGTACGAGTTACTATGCCGAATGTCGGATGAGGTTCTCAGTGATAGGGTGGGATACGATGACATGTGTCAACCAAGTCAGCGAGCCTTACCACCTGATCCCGTTAGTCGCTTCTTACGACAAGAATGGGTCACTGAAGACCAATTCTAACCCGGATGTTGACGGGTGTACGACGACGTTCACAACCTAGATCCCGTGAGATCCAACTGGATCCTTATTGATCCATTGCAAATGTCACACACAAATATTTCCCTGAAAATCGTGTACCTTGTGAAGATATATCGATAATTTGTTACATGATTCACAAGTTAGAGCTACACGAGTTTCGACCGTCGGTTTATGTGTATATCACTTCCGCTGAAAATTGTGTACACCACGCAAATGACACGTTCTGGTTCTGTTTGCACTTGATAGCCAGGTAGTTCGTTACGCAGAAGACCCGGTTTTGCCGAAGAAATGGGTGAAACGTGTGAAGCCCCTTTCTGGTGTCCCCCGCCATCATGTTGCTGGAATGTTGCTAAAAGCGGCGTAAAACCAAACTCAGTCAGTCAGTCAGTCAGTGTTATTGTCTTTTAAGTTAAGGTTGGATCCATGACAAAGTGGAGTCAATTGTTATTTAAGCATTTTTTATTGCTGATAAAAATGTATTTAAATTAAAATGAATCAATTTCACGATCATACACCGAAGAATGTTTATTCAAGTATTTCTTCGCGAAAAATGCTTGGTCAAGTATTTCTACGCGTCCAGATAACTCTGGTAAATATAGCCATTACTGTTATAAGGAAAATATTTAAACACAGTAATTTCCGAAGAAGAATAAGAAGTCACAAATTGTTTCGCTGATTGAGAGTGAGTACATTCATATCGACCAGAACATAGTTGTGTAAATGCGAGTTATATTTCCTACCCGTGAAGATCCGGGTTAGAATTGGTCTTCAGCAACCCATGCTTGTCGTAACAAACGGGATCAGGCTTGCTGACGTAGTGGACACATGTCATCGTATCCCAGTTATGTGAATCGATGCTCATGCTGTTGATCACTGGATTGTCTGGTCCAGACTCTATTATTTACCTACCGCCGCCAAATAGCTGGAATATTGCGGAGTGCGGCGTTAAACAACAAACAAACAAACAAACATACATACATCTGAAACAGCAGACACACCTGATTTATATGACACCTGTAAAGCCTGAGATATCTCAAACACCAGAAACACAATAAATTCCTTAAATTAGGGATACACTGACAAAACATCTAACACAGGCAACACCCGAAATAACTAGAAGTATCAGACACATCTGAAACAGTAATTGGTAGGGCAAAACGTGTGTTATATTTACAAACGTCCAATTCATACTCACCGGAAAATGGAACAGCTAAACACAAGGTAAGCAGTGGACAGTTACAAACGTGTGTATCGGCACGGAGGCTAGGTTTGTCAATCGTTTTGTTTGTATGTGGAGTCAATTTTCCTTATTTCGAAATCAGGTTTTGTTGAACGCACTGACCGAAGTATGTACCAGGAAAGTGAAAACACGAAAACCAATAGAACGGACAATAGGAATGTGTGACTGTTTCTGTGTTGCCCTGTATCTGGTTACACAAGGAAATCAAACTCTGACATGTATTGAAATTTGACGTTAATATTTATTGAAGTTTTCCCTTCCTGGTATATATGGTTGTCATGGTGATCGAGAGTTCCCGATGAAAAAAATAGTATAAATGTGTCCCGGAGAATAATACAATGGAACATACTGATCTGTATTTCCGTCTTTTGTAATTGTTCGCATGACCATGACTGGTTATGCCATGAAATATGTGTCCTGCTTCTTCTTTCGAGCAAGACCCGTAAAGATCCGGGTTAGAATGGGTCTTCAGCAACCTATGCTTGTCAAAATGGCGACTGACGGGACAGGTTAGTCAGGCTCGCTATGAAAAATGAGTATTACACACACGTTACAGAGTAAGCTAATAATAACAATATAATAATAATAAATGTGAACTTATAATGCGCCTTTTCCATGCACAAGGCCCATGCTCAAAGCGGTACAAGCTATGGTTTTATTGACCTCAAATGGACCATACAAGAGTAGTTCGGATGTTCGTTAAATCCATCTGTTCGTTATAAGCGGTGCGACTTCCCACATGAATACAATGTGTAAAGCCCATTCCTGTAAAGCTCTCGGCCTTGATATTGCTGGAATATTGCTAAAAGGGGCGTAAAACTAAATTCACTCACTCACTCGCTATATATAAGCGTGCTCGTTCCATACGTGACCCGTGAAGATCCGGGTTAGAATTGGTCTTCAGTAACCCAGGCTTGTCGTAAGAGGCGACTAACGGGATCGGCTGGTTGACACATGCCATCGTATCCCAATTGCGTAGTTCGATACTCATCTTGTTGATTATCCGGTCCAGATTTACATTGTCTTCACCGGCACTTGCCATTACTTGCAGAGTGACTAGTGTCTTCTGCTGTGAAAGAGTAGCCTTTTTAAATCATTGTGGAAATGCCTACCTACAGTGTCTTGACAGGGTTACACCAGCCTACAGTGAACTGACAGAATGTGTAGTGTTCACCGGCACCTGTCATTCCTTGCAGTGTCTTGACAGCGGGTTACCCGACTCTACAGTGTCTGGACAAAGAGTCAAGTCTACTTACAGTGTATTACCAGACACATACTCATGCCTTCAGTATCATGACTGTGAATAACATTTAGAGTGATTTAAACATTTAGAGTGAATTTATCATTTGAGACGAGTGCTTTTTCAACAGAGACATGTGTCTATGAAGCAATTCAAATCTTGATGAAACCAGACTTTCGCTAAAATGAAAGCGTATCCTGTAAACATATAAAAAATACCTGCAGCTAAACTAAATTCTTTATCTGTAAAAGTTAAATATGGCATAAGTCATGACAGGAAATAGCTTTAGACGTCATTTTGTGATGCTTCCAGGTTTGAAGTGTCCTCTATATGTATCATGTAACTAATAGAAACTTTTCTGAGACATTGGCTCGTGGCCTACTCATCTAATTTGCTTTACAGACCTGCTTCCCATGGCACACCAGGAAAATGTGACTGAGGGTTCGAGTCCCGGTTCACCGCGATAGTGTTCCAAGGTGCATGTCCGAGCTCGTAGATTTCACAAGCAGTGAGCTCCTGGGACCTCCGTCACTGTTGGCTTTCCTCTGGTGTCAGCTGTCCAAAGAGGTGTTAATCCCAAATCACTCACGCACTCGAATGTTGTAAACATGTTTAAACAACTTATGGGGCGGTCGGGTAGCCTAAAGTCTCCTCTCGTCATGCTGACGATCCGGGTTCGATTCCCCACATGGGTGCAATGTCTGAAGCCCATTTCTTTTTTAGTTTAAACATATTTTATTCACAATGTGAAAAGGATCAGGGACAAGTTCTTTCAACTTATTAATCCCCTCTCCGAAGATATTTACAGTAACTAATTACATCACAAGCAATTATTAGAAACAGAGACAGAGAAAGACTGAAAGATAACAGGGGGAAATGCTATAATACAAAAGTGTATGGAGAGAAGACTACTGGAATTTCTGGTGTGCCTCGACGTGATATTGCTGGAATTTTGCTGAAAGCGGCGTAAACCCATATCCACTCAATCATTAAAACAACTTCTTGTCACTCTGAGGGTGCGGGTTCGAATCCCGAATGGGACTCAACCCCAAAAGTACTAGAATTTGTACTTTACTGAGAAAGTGTAATCCCAAATGTAACATATGTTACAACTTCGCTTTTTGAAATCATTGTGGAAACACCTCGAATATATCTCAGAAGTGAAATGTAAAACAAGAAGAGTAAGAGAGTGTTGTCCTTCTGAATCTTTATGTATACATCTAAATATGAAACATATGAGGTGATCGTACTTGTGCCCCTGTATTTGTACTTGAGGAGAAAACAGCAGTGAAACTAAATTGGCCGTTTGATGGTTATTAAACGATATCAGATCATTGATACACGTGAACCTTATGTTACACTTCTCGGCCAAATAATATTGTTTTGCTAAATAGAGCAGATTCAGAAACATTTCAGCAAGGCAGGAAGTACATCTGGTGGTCTATATGTTTTACTCCCAATTTTACATGCGCGTAGATGTTATGATATATATTCAGTATTTCTTGTATTGTCCTTCAGTTAACTTCAGATAACTCTTCAATTTGGTCAAATTGTTGCTTAACGCCACAATCAGCAATATTCCAGCTATATGGCGGCGGTCTGTAAATAAATATCAAATCTGGGCCTGACAATCCAGTGATCAACATCATGAACATCGATCTGTGCAGTTGGGACACCATGACATGTGTCTACTACCAAAGTCAGCGAGCTTGGCCATCCGGTCCCATTAGTCACCTCGTACGGAGTGAAATGTAACTGTATCTATGGCTATTTAAAAGAAAGCAGCGTTGACTTGTAAAGCAGGGCGCCGTTGTACAAAACAACCTTAACATTACGACAGTCGTAAGTCTATGTTAAGGTATCAGAGTTACGATCACCTCAGCCCTGAGATCGCTTTGTACAACGGCACCCTGAGCACAGTTCAGGAGGTAATACGTCATCATCCAAATCTTCGAATACCGGTTTGTGTAAAGGACACAATTACGAGTACCATGGAATTTGTCTATCCAAAGACCTGATTCACTGACGGAGTCACTGTGTGGAGCCAAGAGATAAGGTGTGTTTGTGACGAGGTGGTCGTGTCCATGTAAGGTCCAAGTTCATGGCGCTCACCGAACACTCATTCGGTCATTTTCAGATCTCCACGTTTTCATACGTCTGGGCAGTCTGACGTTCTTGTGTTCCTGGAAGTAGAGTTTAATGGTGTTGAGTAATAGTGCACAGACAAACACGTTGAAGAATTCTAAGCTGTGACAATAACCGACTGTCCTCAATGGACTTCTCAAATATCCTGAACTGGCAAACTTGCAAAAGACTCGGCCCATGGCTCTAGTACCTGAATGATGTTATACTGACTGACTGAGTTTGGTTTTACGCCGCTTTGAGCAATATTCCAGCAACATCACGGCGGGAATGATGTTATAGGTCAAAGAGCTAAAACCTTAACAATCAAACTACCAAGTATTCATTTGATTCGAAGCTTGTCCATGAAAGAACGCCAAATTTTTAAGTATGTTCTGCAACAATACACTTATAAAAGCATAGGTGTAACACAAAGTACTGTACAATCAGTGTAATGGACTCAATCCATGCAGATTCCTCACAATCGTATTATCGGAGATTGAGCAGATGACTTTGGTTACAAGATTACTGAGACTAACGACGACGGGAACAACGTGTTAGTATATAACGCCCTGCAAATAGTTATGAGTGAGTGAACTTGGTTTCAAGTCACTTTAAATAGTATTCCAGATCTATCTCGGTGTGACTGCTTGCTGTGAACCAAAGCCGAGGTTGATGCTGGTTTAATACGTTTTCACGGTTATAAACCTGATAAACCTAAATACAGTCGAGCACCGTTGTGTCGAACTCTGATAACTCGATATCTCGAAATAACATTTCAGACAGGCAAAATTCTTCATAATTTATCATTATTCAAGCTCTTTTAACTCTATACGGATGTCTCGATATTTCGGATATCTCTATATAATTTCATGGTCCCAACGGTGCTCGACTGTACATAAATGTCTGGCATGCCCAACATAGCAAACTGCGACACCTTAAACGACTGGATCCAAAAAGAAACCCGTCACAATAAGTATAGTGATATTCAGCTCTTCTGTTATTACCTCCACTGTACACTGTCTGTGAGAGGCCTGTCTGTTCTCCTGTCAAAATACACAGCCCCACGACGTAACCAAATGTTTATTTGAAATTATAACCATTTGTTATCATTGGGTTATCAACGAGATCGTGGTTGGATTGTTATCGGTGGCTAAACAATCAGACAGCTGGACTGGGTATCGTGATACATGTGACATTACCAAGTTCTGGTTTTCTAAAAATATACCACACATGTAAAAGTATAACTTACGTTTTGTCTTTTTCTTAGCTTTCTTGTTCGGTTTTGCATATACGTCTTGTACTCTTTCAGCAGTGTTATCCGTATTCTGTTCGACGTTTTCGTACACAGCTGCAATGGAAGTTGATATGAAATATAAACCCGTGAGAATTGGTCTTCGGCAACCAATGCTTGTCGCTGGGCGGTGGGGTAGCCTAGTGGTTAAAGCGTTCGCTCGTCGCGCCTAAGTCCCGGGTTCGATTTCCCACTTGCGCACAATCTGTGAACCCCATTCCTGGTGTCCCCCGCCGTGATATTGCTGGGATATTGCTAAAGGCGGCGTAAAACTAAACTCACTCACTCATGCTTGTCGTAAATCACGACTAACGGATTGGGTAGCCAGGATCTCTAATTTGGTTGATACATGTCATCATGTCCCATTTGAGTTGATCTATGCTCATGCTGTCACTGGATTGCCTGGTCCATTATTTACAGACCGCCGCCATTTAACTGGAACACCGTTGACTGTGGCAACAAGCAAACAAACAGTAATATACAGTATAGCAATTTCAAAATGATGGTAGGAGAAAGTCATTGTCAGATTGTTATACTGTATATTACATACTGCCCTAAGCTCTTTGTTTCTGACAAGAAAGATACTACCCATAAAAAAGTTTAGACTACTAGAGTAAATGTTGCCACTTACTTCAGTCAACTGTTCTGAACCAGATTTTGCAAAATATTCCATATTGTTTAAAGGTACCGTTAACACATGAACTGATGTGTTGTAAAACAAATTCTTAACTAAACTTTACACCAAAACGCAGCTGTTCACATGGACGATATTTGCACATGCTTTTCAGCAATTTGATGCATGATTCCTCGTGCAATTCATCTGCATAAGGTTTGCAGTTGGTTCCTCCAAGTTAGTGGAGAAATCCATCTTCGATGTAACCGCATATATATACAATGTACATAATAAATAGTGAGTGCTTTAAGTGAGTTTAAACTTTTGAAGGGTAGTATACTGAGAGGCGTTAAAAACGCATATTGGACTTTCTACTCTAAGTCCGTTTTAGAGATGTGGCTGTTTCCAAACCTACAATATGCTGAAAACATATGGTTAAAAAATGCACAGCTCGGATGTTTAGGTTTGAATCCAACTTTTTCAAATCACAGGGACGTGACATCTCAAACGCACCCAAGAGCATGTGCGATGACAATGCCTGGCAGACCCCGGGCTTGCATGGCTGCCCAAGGAGGACACACACGGTATTGAAAATGTGTCATCTGACAGTTGTGTGTTCTCATACCACTTGTTTTGGAGGTGCTCGCAAAGACATTGTTGCATCCGTAATCCTCTGTAAACACTGCAGTATTGTTTACAAGTCATCACAATGCCTTTTCCTGTACCGCAATATGTACTTTTTGGACATATGACAAATATATCTGACATTTCATCCTCATATGCGTTTTTATTGCCTCTCAGTATATATTTCTGCGTAGTCAACCAAGATCATGAAATGTTCCCGTCTTGTGAGACCATCTCATTACAATCTGTAAAATGTCTGATGAGGTTGACTTATGACTGAATTGGATGATGAATTTTTGTATTGTTATCTTGTATTTATTTGTTCCAGTGGGTGAATATGGTTTCACGCCGCTTTATGTTCCAGCAATGTCACGGCGCGGAACACAGAAACCTGGCTTTGTGGCGAACACAATGCTACCCCATCGTCCGTAGCTATTTGTATCAGTAGATATAACAATGGATTGGCTTTGATGTGTACAAAAGCCTCAGTATCGCGTTTGCTTGTATGTAACGTGCACGCATAACGTGGACCCTCAACATGAAGTTTTGGTTTTCCAGAATATTCTTAATAACAATAATTGTGTCCCAGGTTACACAAAAACTCAAAATAGCGTTTGCTGTACGAACATGACCTCCTGATAAACTTGTATTCCGTAAGTACAAAAGGTGGGTTTCCTTTCCGGATTCATAAAACTCCCGTGTCTTGGTGAGCCCCTATGATACTTTATTTGAAAATATGAAACATTAATAATGAAAAACTGTTTTGCCTGCTCAGTGAAATGGTGAAATGGTGAAATGTGCCTCACCTTCTGTCTTCTTTTGTTTCCCTTTCTTTGCTTTCTGAACCTTCCTAGATACTTTCTTACTTTCCTTGTACTCCGTGTACAGGGCGTTGACCTGCATCACTGGACATGTCATGGTTTGTGAAAAGTGATGTGAAATTTGACATGAAAGGGAAATCAATGACGATGTGCAAATCGATTATTGAAGACATAATCAGCTATGTGAACATATTTGAATTTACAGTGTCCTTTAGAGTCTTCTTCTATGCATCTTTAGGTTGAACAATATTTAAACGTTTAGGTCGATCTCATATTCCTCATTTTGCGTTCATCTGTTTGTGAACACTAATAATTTGTGATTCCCCCAAGCTTTTACAGTAGTACACATTTCTGTTACTATTGGTTTCTACCTACACTGAAGTTGTAACTGCAATTCTGTTAACACGCTTCAACACCCAAAGACCCGTGAAGATCCGGATTAGAATTGATCTTCAATTACCCAAGCTTGTCGTAAGAGGCGACAAACGGGATCGGGTGGTCAGGCTCGCTGGCTTGGTTGACACGTGTCATCGGTTCCCAAATGCGCAGATCGATGCTCATGCTGTTGATCACTGGTTTGTGTGGTCCAGACTTGATTATTGACATACCGCCGCCATATAGCTTGAATATTGCTGAGTGCGGCGTAAAACTAAACTCACTCACTCAACACCCAAAGCACTTACTCTTCAGAAATGATGCTTATACTATAATGCGGGTGCTGATTAGGGACTGCCTTACGTCTTACCATCATCTCCTGTTCTGAAATATCAAAACATTGGTAATCATAACACCCGACGTTAACCATACCCCACATATGTCACGGTCATAATTTATAAACTTAATTTAATTTCAACTTTGACAACTTAGACAGGGTATCTCATGAAATATTGTACCAGGTAATTATACCAGCGTGGAACATGTTTGGAGGCATCAATAAATCTGTTTAAACACTGTCGTGCGATGGACAAACGAAGCGATTTGGGGAGAACGTATTTTCAATCACAAATTTGGCTCCATACTCTTTGAGTTCATCTTGTTCATCTTGGAGAGATGTTTGACATTGGTTTTCACATACATATTGAATGGAAGATACACTTTGACTTTTATATAATCACTGACTGTTACATGAAGTGTAACGGTGACATTCATGGTCAGAAACGCTGACTTTCGTATAAAATTTAACGGCACCATTAATATTGTCATTGTTAGAAACACTGATTTTCGTTTATACTCTGACGGTAACATTCATACTGACAGTGACATGATCCCTGATTGCTATATTCGGGCTGACTGTCAGTTAAACACCGTCGCATACACGCTAACTGTCACAAACATATACAAATATATAACGACTGTCACATACACTTCTACTGTCACGACTATGTACATTGATTACACGCTGACTCTCACATACATACTGACAGTCAAATGTACACTCACTGTCATATATACACTGTTACATACAGACTGTCGGATTTACACTGACTGCCAAATATATAACGACTGTCACATACATACTGACAGTCAAATGTACACTCACTGTCATATATACACTGTTACATACAGACTGTCCGATTTACACTGACTGCCAAATATATAACGACTGTCACATACATACTGACAGTCAAATGTACACTCACTGTCATATATACACTGTTACATACAGACTGTCGGATTTACACTGACTGCCAAATATATAACGACTGTCACATACATACTGACAGTCAAATGTACACTCACTGTCATATATACACTGTTACATACAGACTGTCGGATTTACACTGACTGCCAAATATATAACGACTGTCACATACATACTGACAGTCAAATGTACACTCACTGTCATATATACACTGTTACATACAGACTGTCCGATTTACACTGACTGCCAAATATATAACGACTGTCACATACATACTGACAGTCAAATGTACACTCACTGTCATATATACACTGTTACATACAGACTGTCCGATTTACACTGACTGCCAAATATATAACGACTGTCACATACAAACTGACTGTCAAATGTACACTCACTGTCATATATACACTGTTACATACAGACTGTCGGATTTACACTGACTGCCAAATATATAACGACTGTCACATACATACTGACAGTCAAATGTACACTCACTGTCATATATACACTGTTACATACAGACTGTCGGATTTACACTGACTGCCAAATATATAACGACTGTCACATACATACTGACAGTCAAATGTACACTCACTGTCATATATACACTGTTACATACAGACTGTCCGATTTACACTGACTGCCAAATATATAACGACTGTTACATACATACTGACAGTCAAATGTACACTCACTGTCATATATACACTGTTACATACAGACTGTCGGATTTACACTGACTGCCAAATATATAACGACTGTCACATACAAACTGACTGTCAAATGTACACTCACTGTCATATATACACTGTTACATACAGACTGTCGGATTTACACTGACTGCCAAATATATAACGACTGTCACATACATACAGACAGTCAAATGTACACTCACTGTCACATATACACTGTTACATACAGACTGTCCGATTAACACTGACTGCCAAATATATAATGACTCTCACATACATACTGACATTCAAATGTACACTCACTGTCATATATACACTGTTACATACAGACTGTCCGATTTACACTGACTGCCAAATATATAACGACTGTCACATACATACTGACAGTCAAATGTACACTCACTGTCATATATACACTGTTACATACAGACTTGTCCGGATTTACACTGACTGCCAAATATATAACGACTGTCACATACATACTGACAGTCAAATGTACACTCACTGTCATATATACACTGTTACATACAGACTGTCCGATTTACACTGACTGCCAAATATATAACGACTGTCACATACATACTGACAGTCAAATGTACACTCACTGTCATATATACACTGTTACATACAGACTGTCCGATTTACACTGACTGCCAAATATATAACGACTGTAACATACATACTGACAGTCAAATGTACACTCACTGTCATATATACACTGTTACATACAGACTGTCCGATTTACACTGACTGCCAAATATATAACGACTGTCACGTACATACTGACAGTCAAATATACACTCACTGTCATATATACACTGTTACATACAGACTGTCCGATTTACACTGACTGCCAAATATATAACGACTGTCACATACATACTGACAGTCAAATGTACACTCACTGTCATATATACACTGTTACATACAGACTGTCCGATTTACACTGACTGCCAAATATATAACGACTGTCACATACATACTGACAGTCAAATGTACACTCACTGTCATATATACACTGTTACATACAGACTGTCCGATTTACACTGACTGCCAAATATATAACGACTGTCACATACATACTGACAGTCAAATGTACACTCACTGTCATATATACACTGTTACATACAGACTGTCCGATTTACACTGACTGCCAAATATATAACGACTGTAACGTACATACTGACCGTCAAATGTACACTCACTGTCATATATACACTGTTACATACAGACTGTCCGATTTACACTGACTGCCAAATATATAACGACTGTCACATACATACTGACAGTCAAATGTACACTCACTGTCATATATACACTGTTACATACAGACTGTCCGATTTACACTGACTGTCAAATATATAACGACTGTCACATACATACTGACAGTCAAATGTACACTCACTGTCATATATACACTGTTACATACAGATTGTCCGATTTACACTGACTGCCAAATATATAACGACTCTCACATACATACTGACAGTCAAATATACACTCTCACTGTCATATATACACTGTTACATACAGACTGTCCGATTTACACTGACTGCCAAATATATAACGACTGTCACATACATACTGACAGTCAAATGTACACTCACTGTCATATATACACTGTAACATACAGACTGTCCGATTTACACTGACTGCCAAATATATAACGACTGTAACATACATACTGACACTCAAATGTACACTCACTGTCATATATACACTGTTACATACAGATTGTCCGGATTTACACTGACTGCCAAATATATAACGACTGTCACATACATACTGACAGTCAAATGTACACTCACTGTCATATATACACTGTTACATACAGACTGTCGGATTTACACTGACTGCCAAATATATAACGACTGTCACATACATACTGACAGTCAAATGTACACTCACTGTCATATATACACTGTTACATACAGACTGTCCGATTAACACTGACTGCCAAATATATAATGACTCTCACATACATACTGACATTCAAATGTACACTCACTGTCATATATACACTATTACATACAGATTGTCGGATTTACACTGACTGCCAAATATATAACGACTGTCACATACATACAGACAGTCAAATGTACACTCACTGTCATATATACACTGTTACATACAGACTGTCGGATTTACACTGGCTGCCAAATATATAACGACTGTCACATACATACTGACTGTCAAATGTACACTCACTGTCATATATACACTGTTACATACAGACTGTCGGATTTACACTGGCTGCCAAATATATAACGACTGTCACATACATACTGACTGTCAAATGTACACTCACTGTCATATATACACTGTTACATACAGACTGTCGGATTTACACTGGCTGCCAAATATATAACGACTCTCACATATACACTGACAGTCAAATGTACACTCACTGTCATATATACACTGTTACATACAGACTGTCGGATTAACACTGACTGCCAAATATATAACGACTGTCACATACACACTGACAGTCAAATGTACACTCACTGTCATATATACACTGTTACATACAGAATGTCGGATTTACACTGACTGCCAAATATATAACGACTCTCACATACATACTGACATTCAAATGTACACGCATTGTCATATACAAACTGACTATGACATATACACTGTCACATGCAGAGGGGCCGCCAAAGATACACTGACTGCCAAGTATGTAATGACTGTCACACACATAGTGTCTGTCCCATACACACTGTCAGTTAATAATGATTTCACCAACACACCCTGTTAATGCATGACATCTACTTACTTCTCGCCCTTGCCCTCTGTTTTTTCGTCACCTAGAATGAACATGTATATGAGGCTCATATACGAACTCTAAGTACGTCGTATCCTGTATTAACACACTACTCATTTCGTCCGAGGGGCCTAGTGGGTCGTGTTCGAATGGTCTACTTCCATTTCTGAGAACTCCCAATTGTGAGACTCCCAGTTATGAGACAGTGGAGTAGGTAATTAAGAAAGAAAACATACCATACTCCCCTGCCTGATAGAATGGATTAACCCTAGCTAATTACTGATTTGCTATGTAACTGAATCTGTTGGAGGTAACTTAATGAAACTTTATAAGATAAACTGATTAACATACTCCGGTAAATGTCTTTATATATTTATGCAACAGTCAATATCGATAACGTCACATCCTCCATTTCATTTTGTATTTTAGGTTGCATGGGCGCGGTGTTAACATAAGCAGTAATGCTTGTTCACCAATCCCAATTCATTTTCATAAATGATAATAAAATATGTTTAAACCAAAATAACTTTCAAACTTCATAATAGTCAATAAAAATGTGTTATCATAATTACTATTCTTCTGAATAAATAAAATATTTAATGAACTATTTTTTCTTTGTAAATAAAATCTTTGATTCTCTTCAACAACTGGGCTGATCCCACTTTCATTGTGGGGATGTGGAAACACCACCTATGTGCACTGAACCATTAATTAATGTGTCTCACAACTGGGAGGACACCGTTCGAATACCTATAACATGTAAACACTTCACTCGTTTTACACGAGTCCCTCGGCTGATACTGTCGGGATATTGCTAAATACCAACCCAATTCCCACTCACACACGTCTATAAAACAATAATTAACACTTAACATACAATCAATGAAAGGCAAATCGAATCAAATTAAGTGAAGACAATCATGTCAAACCAAATTAAATAATGTGAAGTCATATCAAATCCAATTGAATCATGTATAATCCCTTCCTTCGATCTCCGATAATGCACTTTGGTGATATTAGGAAATATATACTTACGTTTGGATTTTTTCTTTGCTTGTTTGTTCGGAACAGCATAGACGTCCTGTACCCCTGTAACATAATGTGATCAATAGTACAACATTCACCTCTTGTACCATTGAAACATGATCAAATCAATAGTGCATCACTGACGCCCTGTACCTCTAATGCATGATCAAACCAGTGGTACAGCACGGACGCCTTGCTCTCTGAAACAAGATCAAACTTATAGTACAGCACAGACCTCATGTGTCTATACTACATCATTGGTGGCTTGTAACCTGAAACACGATAAAAGCAATAGTACAGCACAGATGTTTTGGTCTCTGAAACAAGATCGAACTTATAGTACAGCACAGACCTCATGTATCTATACTACATCATTGGTGGCTTGTACCCTGGAACACGATAAAAGCAATAGTACAGCACAGATGTTTTGGTCTCTGAAACAAGATCGAACTTATAGTACAGCACAGACCTCATGTATCTATACTACATCATTGGTGGCTTGTACCCTGGAACACGATAAAAGCAATAGTACAGCACAGATGTTTTGGTCTCTGAAACAAAATCGAACTTATAGTACAGCACGGACCTCATGTATCTATACTACATCATTGGTGGCTTGTAACCTGAAACACGATAAAAGCAATAGTACAGCACAGATGTTTTGGTCTTGATCAAACTCTCTTCTACATCATTGGTGGCTTGTACCCTGGAAACATAAAAGCAATAGTACAGCACAGATGTTTTGGTCTCTGAAACAAGATCGAACTTATAGTACAGCATAGACCTCTTGTACCAATACTACATCATTGGCGGCTTGTACCCTGGAACACGATACAACCGTTAGCGTACGTCGTATCAACATGGCGTTGTTGTGATAAAATGATACTACATGATTAGGAGTGAGTGAGTTGGATGTTAACACTGCTTACAAGTGTATTCCAGTTACAGCACAGTGTGTCTGCTTAATGTGGGAGTAGAGCCCGAAGTAAATCAAGTCTTTGAAGTGTCCACGTGCTTAATCAGTATTGAGACAATTAAGCAATATTAACCACCATTCCTCAAAACGAATTCACAATGTTGTAAAATTACTCACTTATCCGGAAAAGCAATATTAACCATCCACAAGAGGCGCTAACGTAGCCCATTGGTTGAAGGTTTCGCTGGTGAAGCCGACACAACTTGTAAAGAGCTTTACTGGTGTTCCCAGCTATGATATTGATGAAATAATTGTAACAGCAGCGTAACACAAACCTCACTCACTCACTACTACCCGGGCAGGTATTCATTCATTCATTCATTCATGGTTGTATTGGTACTTGCCATCATTCGCTTCTTCTTTCCTGCCTCTGACACAGAGCGCCAGGAGGAAAATGATGACTGTCAGGACGATGCCACTCAGCGTCACGGTCTGGATAAACTCGGACTGGTTAGAGGCAACGGTTTCTGCAACATAGTACGGGATATTTACGGTTTAATACACAGGATGTCACCCGTGAAGATCCGGGTTAGAAATTGGTCTTCAGTAACCCATACTTGTTGTAAGAGGTGACTAACAGGATCAGTGGTCAGGCTCGCTGACTTGGTTGACACATGTCATCGTGTCCCGGTTGCATAGAACGATGCTCATGATGTTGATCACTGGATTGTCTTGTCCAGACTCCATTATACAGTCGTGCCCCGTTTATCCGAACCTCAGATATCCGGAAAACTCGCCTTCCGAACAAAAATTCCTCAAAACGAATTCACAATGTTGTAAAATTACTCACTTATCCGGAAATCCAGTTTCCGTAACCGGACTGTCATTTTCACATACAAAACGCTAAATCATATACATTTTATTCTCGTATATCCGATGGCTGAGCACCTGTCAGTATGTTTACACACGCATTTTACAGAGTTTGCGTGCCCTTACATAAAGGAAGTCGGCAGTCTTTAAAGTGTGAGAGGATTAACTACTTGTAATTAGCAAGGTAACACTGAGTTAATTTTGAGTTGTGATTGGCAAGGCTAGACGTCCCCGTTGTTTTGGTAGTTACTTTAATCCGGAAGTTTATGTTAGGTACAGCAACAATGCGAACACGAGGAAGACATCAGAACTGTTTTGTGATTAGTTGCTAGCATTTGACAGACAGATGCATGTACAGGTATATTCGCACATGTTATTGACGTGACTACTTTATTTGACAAGATGTGATTTTATGTTTGCATTGTTGTTTGTTGATGCCTTATCAATAAAGATTACGTCTGAAGTCTATTATGTTCGTTTCTTTGTATGTCTATTTACATATTCCCCGTGGTTCAGATATCCGGAAATTCGTTTATCCGTACAATTTCAAGAAAGACACAAGTGTTCGGATAAACGTATACAGACCGCCGCTATATAGCTGGAATATTGCTGAGTGCGGCGTTTAACAACAAACTACTTCCACTGTTGCTACTATTACTACCAAGATTTGCCAGCGACACACGTTTGTAACATTGCGAAATGTCAAAATGTAAGATTAATGACGACAGCCATAGACATATAACTAGGACATATTTCAGTACTTGACTGCTGTCTGAATGAGCCACTGCTTCGCGTGGACGTGTCCCTTTGTGTAGGCGTAACTCACCAGATGTCACGTGACTCCCGGGGCCGTATGCAGGGAAACCTGAAACTGAAAGAAATAATATTTTTGCTGGGTTTCTATTGCGGCCGTTTAATGTCATTATAGCCTGTCATCAACATTATGTTCTTATGTATATATACACATTCAAATATTCAGAAGACTCCGAAAAGTGTATTCAGGAAGCTCTATTTAAACTAGTTTGAACCCCCTTCCCTTCTTCCAATTTCGAATGAGTGACATGTATGATGTATTTCCCCGTCCATGATTTCCAAATACAAATATAAAAAATTTTTAATTGGAGAGGGGGTGGGTGTGTGAGGTGTGTCGGGGGTTGGGGGTGGTGAGGGGGTTGACAACCATTATTGGCATGAGTATACATACTAAAAACTAGACTCATATGACCATGTTCTTACTAGTATTTATCATATACATATATTCCTAATCTTTTATCGTACCGGCGGTGGGGTAGCCCAGTGGTTAAAGACCCGTGTTCGATTCCCCATGGGTACAATGTGTGTAGCCTATTTCTGGTGTCCCCCGACGTGATTTTGCTGGAATATTGCTAAAAGCTGCGTAAAACTAAACCCACTCCTCACTCACTATTCTTTTTGAAATTATTGTTCAAGGTATAAACAGAGACTTCAAAAAGTGAAAAGAATTCGACAGTTAATTTTTTCTAAAATTTCATCTCTTTTGCGGAAAGTCTGAACACAGCCTTTGTTCTGATGAGAATGAGCCCTAAAAATCCAACTGAACTGATGTTCGCAACATAGAGGTCAAGTAAAACTATTGACTATCCATTGTTGCACTTCCTTTTGTGGAAGCCTCCCAGGCTAAGTGGGTTAAACTGCTGAGTTCATGTCCTCACTCTGAAAATGAAGGTTAGAAATTCAACCCCAAAATGTGCCAGAATTTGCACTTGTCTAAGAAGAGAGTGCGTGTGAAAGGTTTTAGGTCATTTGTAACAATATTCCAGCAATATCATGGTGGGGGAAAACACACATGGGTTTCACACATTGTACAAGTGGAATCGAACCCGGGTCTTCTGTGTTACGAGATAACGCTTTAACCACAAGGCTATCCCTCCAACCAACTTGACTAACCCGACATATAAAATAATATACGAAAGTATAACGTATCTAAAATCTTGTACTTACCTGTCAGCAGAAGAAACTGGCTGTAGACAATTCTCAGATCTGAAGAACTCGCCATCACTGACCACCTTCGTTTTAGACATCTGGTCTGAAAAGGAAAATATCCGTACTTTTATCACACAAAAAGAATAAATTATGTATATAAATGCAGTCATTTAACTAGAATAGTAAGTGTAGTCATAGAAGTGCAGTCATTTAACTAAAACAGTAACGGTAGTCATAGAATTGCAGTCATTTAACTAGAACAGAAACTGTAGTCATAGAATTGCAGTCATTTAACTAGAACAGTAAGTGTAGTCATAGAATTGCAGTCGTGAACAGTAAGTGTAGTCACTAGAACAGTAAGTGTAGTCATAGAATTGCAGTCATTTAACTAGAACAGTAAGTGTAGTCATAGAATTGCAGTCATTTAACTAGAACAGTAAGTGTAGTCATAGAATTGCAGTCATTTAACTAGAACAGTAAGTGTATTCATAGAATTGCAGTCATTTAACTAGAACAGTAAGTGTAGTCATAGAATTGCAGTCATTTAACTAGAACAGTAAGTGTAGTCATAGAATTGCAGTCATTTAACTAAAACAGTAAGTAGTCATAAAGTGCAGCTCATTTAACAGTCATAGAAGTCATTTTGCAATTGTCATTTAACTAGAACAGTAAGTTTAGTCATATAAACAGTGCAGTCATTTAACTAGAACAGTAAGTGTAGTCATATAATTGCAGTCATTTAGTACTAGAACAGTAAGTGTAGTCATAGAATTGCAGTCATTTAACTAGAACAGTAAGTGTAGTCATAGAAATGCAGTCATTTAACTAGAACAGTAAGTGTAGTCATAGAATTGCAGTCAACTAAACAGTAGTAGTCAGCAAGTGTAGTCATTTAATTGCAGTCATTTAACTCAGAACTAGAACAGTAAGTGTAGTCATAGAAGTGCAGTCATTTAACTAGAACTGTAAGTGTAGTCATAGAATTGCAGTCATTTAACTAGAACAGTAAGTGTAGTCATAGAATTGCAGTCATTTAACTAGAACAGTAAGTGTAGTCATAGAATTGCAGTCATTTAACTAGAACAGTAAGTGTAGTCATAGAATTGCAGTCATTTAACTAGAACAGCAGTCATTTAGTGTAGTCATAGAATTGCAGTCATTTAACTAGAACAGTAAGTGTAGTCATAGAATTGCAGTCATTTAACTAGAACAGTAGAACAGTAAGTGTAGTCATAGAGTCATTGCATTTAACTAGAACAGTAAGTGTAGTCATAGAATTGCAGTCATTTAACTAGAACAGTAAGTGTAGTCATAGAATTGGAGTCATTTAACTAGAACAGTACAGTAAGTGTATAAGTCATAGAATTGCAGTCATTTAACTAGAACTGTAAGTTTAGACATAGAATTGCAGTCATTTAACTAAAACAGTAAGTGTAGTCATATAATTGCAGTCATTTAACTAGAACAGTAAGTGTAGTCATAGAATTGCAGTCATTTAACTAGAACAGTAACTGTAGTCATAGAATTGCAGTCATTTAACTAAAATAGTAAATGTAGTCATATAATTGCAGTCATTTAACTAGAACAGTAAGTGTAGTCATAGAACTGCAGTCATTTAACTAGAACTGTTAGTGTAGTCATACAAGTGCAGTCATTGAACTAGACCAGTAAGTGTAGTCATATAATTGCAGTCATTTAACTAGAACAGTAAGTGTAGTCATAGAAGTGCAGTCATTTAACTAGAACTGGAAGTGTAGTCATAGAATTGGAGTCATTTAACTAGAACAGTAAGTGTAGTCATAGAAGTGCAGTCATTTAACTAGAACTGTTAGTGTAGTCATACAAGTGCAGTCATTTAACTAAAACAGTAAGTGTAGTCATATAATTGCAGTCATTTAACTAGAACAGTAAGTGTAGTCATATAATTGCAGTCATTTAACTAGAACAGTAAGTGTAGTCATAGAAGTGCAGTCATTTAACTAAAACAGTAAGTGTAGTCATAGAAGTGCAGTCATTTAACTAGAACTGTAAGTGTAGTCATAGAATTGGAGTCATTTAACTAGAACAGTAAGTGTAGTCATAAAATTGCAGTCATTTAACTAGAGCAGTAAGTGTAGTCATAGAAGTGCAGTCATTTAACTAGAACTGTTAGTGTAGTCATACAAGTGCAGTCATTGAACTAGACCAGTAAGTATAGTCATAGAATTTCTGTCATTTAACTAGAACAGTAAGTGTAGTCATAGAAGTGCAGTCATTTAACTAGAACAGTAAGTGTAGTCATAGAATTGCAGTCATTTAACTAAAACAGTAAGTGTAGTCATAGAATTGCAGTCATTTAACTAGAACTGTAAGTGTAGTCATATAATTGCAGTCATTTAACTAGAACAGTAAGTGTAGTCATAGAATTGCAGTGATTTAACTAGAACAGTAAGTGTAGTCATAGAATTGCAGTCATTTAACTAGAACTGTAAGTGTAGTCATAGAATTGCAGTCATTTAACTAGAACTGTAAGTGTAGTCATAGAATTGCAGTCATTTAACTAGAACAGTAAGTGCAGTCATAGAATTGCAGTCAGTTAACTAGAACAGTAAGTGTAGTCATTTATGTTTGTACATTAAAAATGGTGAAGATATAAAGAACCGTACTTCTATATGCCTTTCACTATTTCGAAACCTGTTGTTTTAGGGCAATGACTGCAAGAATATCACGTGTTGCCTACTGCTACAATAAATCATCCCCACAAAACAAACAGGACCTGTCTTTGTCATGAACATCCGCACTTACATAACGGTTGCTTCTTAATAGATAAATGTATAAACCTTCCTTATTTCATATAAATTAAACAATGCCTGTCCGTCCTCCCCTTTAAGGAGAGACACAAATAGGGTACTTGGGACATATTCTCGAATAGAAATCCAAAAGTGAAAATGCAATATTCTTCTTAAACAATCTTAAGGGAAGACAAAATTAATATCGGGTGTTATTGACATATTATTCTACAGGAATCCAAGAGGGGAAATAGGTTTGAGAAAGAGGGACATATTCAGCCCCAAGAATGGGGAGACCAACAAAGCGTACTTAGTGCATATTCTGCCCCTAGCAACCCCAAATCGGGAGACGAAAATAGAGTGAGTGAGTGAGTTTAGTTTTACGTCGCTTTTAGCAATATTCCAGCAATATCACGGCGGGGGACACCAGAAATGGGCTCTACACATTATACCTTTAAGGGGAATCGAACCCGGGTCTTCTGCCTAACGAGCGAATGCTTTAATTACTAGGCTATCCCACCGCCCCACGAAAATAGAGTACGTGAGATCTATTCCGCCCTAAGTCCCCACGGAGAACTAAGCTGAACGCAGCCTTGAAATGCATAAGGTTGATACGTGTCTCGACAGAAGGCAAAGTAGTGTAGCAAGCCATTTCAAAGCAGTGACTGACCTGTCGGGACGTGAGAACATGTTTCAAGAGCTAGATAACGTAAAGAGGACACTGTCAAATACACCACAGCTGACATATACAAGGCGTTAAAACGAACTCACACTTACGCTTTAGGCGGATCGTCCATGAAATGTACAACTCTGAAGGGAGGAAGTAGAACCCTACACTGTCTAACGCTGAGCGATTGATAACGGGTAATGACCATCCAGTGGTGTATGTGTGCGGGGTGTGTGAACAATGTGTGCGTAGCCCTGGGACACGGTGTGTTGTGGTTTCTCGTGTAGGAAAATGTTTCGGATCGTTTAGTAGACAAGTAGACAAGGATTTGAAATTTCCGAAACATGAATAGCAATTGTGTTGATGGGGACAATGGTGTTTATTTCAAGTACTTGACATGCCTCATTCATATGTGACTCCGCAAACCAGGAAGTAGCTAATAATGACGCATGACGTCAAATTGGGACCAAGTATTTATATTTTGAGGGGGGTAAGGTTGTTTGCGGTGAGATTTGTGTTAGAGGCAGAAGGTGCCTAACAGACTTGGCTGACTTATGTTTATATGCAATGGGTAGATTTTATCTTTCTTCTTATACATCTCCGCCAAGTGACACCCATACACCCCGCACCCGTACCACTTTTACACCCCTACATCCCCTTCTGAACACAATCAAAGATATCCAATGTTCGACCTTTTGTAACGACATGTCATATCTGATGTCGAGTGTGTTCAAATGCGTAAAACCCGGGTTCGAATCGCCCACATGGGTACAATGTGTGAAGCCCATTTCTGGTGTCCCCCGCCGTGATGTTGCTGGAATATTGCTAAAAGCGGCGTAAAACCAAACTCAGTCAGTCAGTTAAATGCGTAATTCATGTTGTGCCATCTTGTGAGTGAGTGAGTTTAGTTTTACACCGCTTTTGGCAATATTCCAGCAATATCTCGGTGGGGGACATCATGTGCTATCTTGGACTGCTCGAGAAAATAGAGTGAGTGAGTGAGTTTAGTTTTACGCCGATTTTAGCAAATCTCAGCAATATCACGGAGGGGGACATCAGAAATGGGCTTCGCAGATAGCACCCAGATTGTGGGTAATCGAACCCGGGTCTTCGGCGTGACGAGCGAACGCTTTAACCGCAAGGCTACACAACCGCCCCGAGAAAATAGACAAGTAAACAGGATTTTCTACATTGCATTTGAGTGGTTGAGTTTGCCTTTTCGCAGCTTTTAGTAAGATTCCATATGTACCGCTTCCGGGACATCATTAGTGGTCTTCACAAACTGAACCCATTTGGGTATTCAAACTTGGACCTACGGCACTAGAAGATCGCTTGGACTGATAAGTTATCAGAGCGATTGTTTTGCAATTACCACCACAAAGAAAATAGAAACTATAGGTAAAACATGCAACTGACGTGGATCTTAGGGACCGTTCATAATTTATGGCTTGCGGGTGATGATGATTTTTGTGGCCCCATGATTTATGTACAAAGTAAGTGACTCTTCCCACCCCGATGCATGTTATGTAGGGGTGGGTATTGCAGAGAATTTTCATATTGCGATATATGGCGTTGCAAAAGTATGTATTGCGATATGTATTGCAATATATTGCATGAAGTATTTTTAAACCCAAAACTACTATAATCGAGTTACTTCTTGATTTATAGAGCAAAAACACAACAAAATCACTAGGCTTGATTAAGCTTTAATAAAAACTTTTAATCATGATAAAATAAAAATGTGAATAATATTTGGCACAAATGAAACAAGGACATATCCGAACATTTCCGAGTGTTACGAAGTTTTCCGAATGCAAGTCAAAATACCGGTTTTCGATCAGCGTATCGCAATACGTTACGTATCGTGGTAAAAGAATTTGCAGCCCTAATGTCATGTCAAAGTTCAAATCACTTAATTACATGTGCAAGATTGATGCAAAGCACACACACACACACACACACATGATGTTGGAATGTTGCTAAATGCGGCGTAAAACTATAGCGCCAAACTGACTTATTTATTACAAGTATACGTAGCTGAAGATCCATTCTATCCCGGATGTTAAAAGGAGTCGTGGTTGAAGAAGGAAGTACATAAAACCACGCCTTGTCTAGCTGCGCGTGATTTATTATGCTATTGTTCGTTGTAAATGGATTCACGTCACGATCATTGTGTATGTGTTTGACCATAAAGGTTAATGATAGTTATATAACTGCTAGCTTCCTCATAGGGTAATAGGAGGGGAATTTGCTCTGATACAGTGTATCCGACAACCAGTGGTAGCATATGTAGGGTGTTATGGGTTCATTGTTTACCGGAAAACACCGGGTGAAGGGTGTTTTGTTGTGCCGACGTATAATTAGCTTTTCCTGGTGCTCAGTGTATTAGCTGATGGAGTTTAGGCATCTGTCTACAGTATATGTTTACTGGATATCAGCGGATGAAGGGTGATGTTTGTCATCCCTGAACGAGATGCACCACCCTACAGCACAATCAACGACACAAGCCTACATCCTACAAAAACAGCATCAGCATATAATCTTCAGCCAACAGTCTTAGCCTACATCCCCTAACCAACAGCACCAGCCTACATCCCACAAACCAACAGCACCAGCCTACATCCCATTACCAACAACACCAGTCTACATCCTACAACCAACAGCACCAGCCTACATCCCACTACCAACAACACCAGTCTACATCCCACTACCATCAACACCAGTCTACATCCCACTACCAACAGCACCAGTCTACATCCCACTACCATCAACACCAGTCTACATCCCACTACCAACAACACCAGTCTACATCCCACTACCAACAACACCAGTCTACATACCCTACTACCAACAACACCAGTCTACATCCCACTACCAACAACACCAGTCTACATCCCACTACCAACAACACCAGTCTACATCCCACTACCAACAACACCAGTCTACATCCCACTACCAACAACACCAGTTTACATCCCACTACCAACAACACCTGTCTACATCCCACTACCAACAACACCAGCCTACATCCCACTACCAACAACACCTGTCTACATCCCACTACCAACAACACCAGTTTACATCCCACTACCAACAACACCAGTCTACATCCCACTACCAACAACACCAGTCTACATCCCACTACCAACAGCACCTGTCTACATCCCACTACCAACAGCACCTGTCTACATCCCACTACCAACAACACCAGTCTACATCCCACTACCAACAGCACCAGTCTACATCCCACTACCAACAACACCAGTCTACATCCCACTACCAACAACACCAGTCTACATCCCACTACCAACAACACCAGTCTACATCCCACTACCAACAGCACCAGTCTACATCCCACTACCACCAATGTCTACATCCTAGTCAACACATCCCTACCTAACAACACTAGCTCATCCCACTACCATCCCACTACCAACCAGCAACGCCAGTCTACATCCACTACCACTACCAACAGCACCAGTCTACATCCCACTACCAACAACACCAGTCTACATCCCACTACCAACAGCACCAGTCTACATCCCACTACCAACAACACCAGTCTACATCCCACTACCAACAACACCAGTCTACATCCCACTACCAACAACACCAGTCTACATCCCACTACCAACAGCACCAGTATACCCCTCACTACCAACAGCATAAGCTTACACTCTACCCACTAACCAACAACACCAGTCTACATCCCACTACCAACAGCACCAGTCGACATCCCACTACCAGCAAGCACCAGTATACCTCCCACTACCAACAACACCAGCCTACATCCCACTACCAACAACACCAGTCTACATCCCACTACCAACAACACCAGTCTACATCCCACTACCAACAACACCAGTCGACATCCCACTACCAACAGCACCAGTATACCCCTCACTACCAACAGCACCAGCCTAGCTTACAACCCACTACCAACAACACTAGTCTATATCCCACTACCAACAAAATACCAGCCTACATCCCCACTACCAACAACACCAGTCTATATCCCACTACCAACAACACCAGTCTACATCCCACTACCAACAACACCTTCTACAGTCTACATCCCACTACCAACAACACCAGTCTACATCCCACTACCAACAGCACCAGCTCTACATCCCACTACCAACAACACTAGTCTACATCCCTACTACCAACAACACCTGTCTACATCCCACTACCAACAACACCAGCTCTACACCCTACTACCAACAACACCAGTCTAAGTCATAGTCTCCACTACTAACAGCACCAGTCTACATCCCTAACCAACAACACCAGTCTACATCCCTAACCAACAACACTAGTCTACATCCTCCTACTACCAATAACACCAGTCTACATCCCACTACCAACAGTACCAGTCTACACCCCACTACCAACAGCACTAGTCTATATCCTACAACCATCCCACTACCAGCACTCTGTCTACATCCTACTCACAACAACACTAGTCTACATCCTACTACCAACAAATACTAGTCTACATCCTACTACTAACAAATACCTTACTAGTCTACATCCACTAACTAACAACACCAGTCTACATCCTACTACCAAGAACACTAGTCTACATCCCACTACCAACAGCACCAGTATACTCCTGCACTACCAACAGTATAAGCTTCATATCTCCTACTACCAACAACACTAGTCTACATCCCACTACTAACAGCACTAGTTTACATCCTCACTACCAACAGCACTAGCTACTCCCTACTACCAAATAGCACTAGTCTACATCCCACTACCAACAACACCAGTCTACATCCCACTACTAACAACACTAGTCTACATCCCACTACTAACAACACTCTGTCTACATCCTACTACCAACAACACTAGTCTATATCCCACTACCAACAACACCAGTCTACATCCCACTACCAACAACACCAGTCTACATCCTAACTAACAACACCAGCCTACATCCCACTACCAACAACACCAACCTAGTCTACATCCCACTACCAACAGCACCATATCCTCACTGCCAACAACATAAGCACCAGTCTACACTCTTACTACCAACATATCAACTGTCTACATCCTACTACCAACAACACCAGCCTACATCCCACTACCAACAACACCAGTCTACATCCCACTACCAACAACACCAGTCTACATCCCACTACCAACAACACCAGCCTACATCCCACTACCAACAGCACCAGCCTACATCCCACTACCAACAGTACACCAGCCTACACCCCACTACCAACAACACCAGTCTACATCCCACTACCAACAGCACCAGCTCTATATCCTAGCACTACATCCCACTACCAACAGCACCAGCTTACACCCCACTACCAACAACACTAGTCTACATCCCACTACCAACAGCACCAGTCTACATCCTACTAACCACCAGTTCATACCAACAAACAACACCAGTGTCTACATCCCACTACCAACAACACAACAGTCTACATCCCACTACCAACAAATACTAGTCTACATCCCACTACCAACAGCACCAGTCTACTACCAACAAATACCAGTCTACATCCTACTACCAACAACAGTTTACATCCTCTACCAACAAATACTAGTCTACATCCCACTACCAACAACACTAGTCTACATCCTACTACTAACAACACCTACATCCCACTATCCAACAACACTAACAACACCCCACCTACATCCCACTAATCCTAACCAACAACACTAGTCTACATCCCACTACCAACAAACCAGCCTACATCCCACTAGTCTATATCCTACTACTAACAACACCAGTCTACATCCTACCACTACCAACAACACTAGTTTATATCCTACTACTAACAACACTAGTCTACATCCTAACTAAACAACACTAGTCTACATCCCACTACTAACAGCACTAGTCTCCATACATCCCACTACTAACAACACTAGTCTACATCCTTCCTACTACTAACAACACTCAGTCTACATCCTACTACCAACAACACTAGTCCTACATCCCACTACCAACAACACCAGTCTACATCCTACTACTAACAACACCTTAGTCTCTACATCCCTACTACTAACAACACTAGTTCTACATCCCACTACTAACAACATCCTACTACTAACAACACTAGTTTATATCCCACTAACTAAATACACCAGTTCTACATCCCACTACCAACAACACTAGTCTACATCCTAACTACTAACAACACCTAGTCTACATCCCACTACTAACAACACTAGTCTCATATCATCCCACTACTAAATAGCAATAGCCTACACTACTACTAACAACACTCAGTCTACATCCTACTACTAACAACACCAGTCTACATCCCTACTACCAACAACACTTAGTCTACATCCCACTACTAACAACACTAGTCTACATCCTAAACCACTAACAACACCAACTAGTTTACATCCCACTACTAACAACACTAGTCTACATCCTACTACTAACAACACTAGTCTCTACATCCCTACTACCAACAACACTAGTCTACATCCCACTACTAACAATACTAGTCTACATCCTACTACTAACAACACTAGTTCAGTCCTACATCCCACTACCAACTACTAACAACCACTAGCTCTACATCCCACTACTAACAACACACTAGTCTACATCCTCACTACCAACAACACTAGTCTACATCCCACTACTAACAAATACCAGTCTACATCCCACTACCAACAGCACTCTGTCTACATCCCACTACCAACAACACCAGTCTACATCCCACTACCAACAACACTAGTCTACATCCCACTACCAACAGCACCTAGTCTACATCCCACTACCAACAACACCAGTCTACATCCCACTACCAACAACACTCAGTCTACATCCCACTACCAACAACACTAGTCTACATCCCACTACCAACAACACTAGTCTACATCCCACTACTAACAACACTAGTCTACATCCCACTACCAACAACAATTAGTCTACATCCCACTACCAACAACACCAGTCTACATCCCCCACTACCAAACACCAGTCTACATCCCACTACCAACAACACCAGTCTACATCCCACTACCAACAACACCAGTCTACATCCCACTACCAACAACACCAGCCTTTTTACATCCCACTACCAACAGCACCAGTCTACATCCCACTACCAACAACACCAGTCCTACATCCCACTACCAACAACACCAGTCTACATCCCACTACCAACAACACCAGTCTACATCCCACTACCAACAACACCAGTCTACATCCCCTAACCAACAACACCAGTCTACATCCCACTACCAACAACACCAGTCTACATCCCACTACCAACAAATACAGTCTACATCCCACTACCAACAACACCAGTCTACATCCCACTACCAACAACACTAGCTCTACATCCCACTACCAACAACACCAGTCTACATCCCACTACCAACAACACCAGTCTACATCCCACTACCACTAACACAACACCAGTCTACATCCCACTACCAACAACACCAGTTCTACATCCCACTACCAACAACACCAGTCTACATCCCACTACCAACAACACCAGTCTACATCCCACTACCAACAACACCACCTACATCCCTACATCCCACTACTACATCCCAACAACAGCACAGTCTACATCCCACTACCAACAACACCAGTCTACATCCCACTACCAACAGCACCAGTACATCCCACTCCCACTATCCAACCAACAACACTAGTCTACATCCCACTACCAACAACACCAGTCTACATCCCACTACCAACAACACCAGTCTAGTCTACATCCCCACTACACCCCAACACCAACACACCAGTCTACATCCCACTACCAACAGCACCAGCCTACACCCCACTACCAACAACACCAGTCTACATCCCACTACCAACAACACCAGTCTACATCCCACTACCAACAACACCAGTCTACATCCCACTACCAACAACACCAGTCTACATCCCACTACCAACAACAACAACATCCCACTACCAACAACACTACAGTCTACATCCCACTACCAACAACACCAGTCTACATCCCACTACCAACAACACCAGCCCCACTACATCCCTACATCCCACCAACAACAACCACCAGCCTCTACATCCCACTACCAACAACACCAGTCTACATCCCACTACCAACAACACCAGTCTACATCCCACTACCAACAACACCAGTCTACATCCCACTACCAACAGCACCAGTCTACATCCCACTACCAACAACACCAGTCTACATCCCACTACCAACAACACCAGTCTACATCCCACTACCAACAACACCAGTCTACATCCCACTACCAACAACACCAGTCTACATCCCACTACCAACAGCACCAGTCTACATCCCACTACCAACAACACCAGTCTACATCCCACTACCAACAGCACCAGTCTACATCCCACTACCAACAACACCAGTCTACATCCCACTACCAACAACACCAGTCTACATCCCTTACTACCAACAACACCAGCCTACATCCCACTACCAACAACACCAGTCTACATCCCACTACCAACAACACTACAGTCTACATCCCACTACCAACAACACCAGTCTACATCCCACTAACACCAGTCCAACAACACCAGTCTACATCCCACTACCAACAACACCAGTCTACATCCCACTACCAACAACACCAGTATACCCCTCACTACCAACAGCATAAGCCTACACCCCACTACCAACAACACCAGTCTACATCCCACTACCAACAACACCTGTCTACACCCCACTACCAACAGCATAAGCCTACATCTAACAAACGGTATAAGACTACCTCATTGAACGATCTCCGAACCAACAGTAACAGCCTACGATCTTAACCAACAACACCTAAACCTACAACACTATCCGCACACCATCACCGATATTCGCAAACCAACTACATCCCCCAACCAATAGCATCAGCCTACTTCCTCCAGCCAACAACACCAGTCTACGTTCCTCAATCAGGAGCACCACCTACATTCTCTAACTAACACCACAATCACATGCACACTTGCTCACCAGTCTACGTCCCTCAATCAGGAGCACCACCTTACATTCTCTAACTAACACCACAATCACATGCGCACACCAAACTCACCAGTCTACGTCCCTCAATCAGGAGCACCACCTACCTTCTCTAACCAACACCACAATCACATGCACACCAAACTCACCAGTCTACGTCCCTCAATCAGGAGCACCACCTACTATTCTCTAACTAACACCACAATGCTACATGCGCACACCAAACTCACCAGTCTACGTCCCTCAATCAGGAGCACCACTTACATTCTCTAACCAACACCACAATGCTACATCTGCACACCAAACTCACCAGTCTACGTCCCTCAATCAGGAGCACCACCTACATTCTCACCACCACACATTCTCTAACTAACACCACAATGCTACATGCGCACACCAAACTCATCAGTCTACGTCCCTCAATCAGGAGCACCACCTACATTCTCTAACTAACACCACAATGCTACATCTGCACACCAAACTCACCAGTCTACGTTCCTCAATCAGGAGCACCACCTACATTCTCTAACTAACACCACAATGCTAAATGCGCACACCAAACTCACCAGTCTAAATATGCAAACCAACAGTCCTCAAGTCGCCAACCAAGAGTATCAGGCCACACCTTATATCTAACGACCAACAACTATTACCCCATAACGATTTAATTACAAAACATGTATCTGTACACAGCTCGAAGGACCTTAACGGGAGGATGTCACAGAGGACGTTCATACACATATGACACCACTGATCTGCAGTGATCTATTCCTATAACTGGCTACCCGTGAAGATCAGGATTAGAATTGGTCTTCAGCAACCCATGCTTGTCGTAAGAGGCGACTAACGGGGTCGGGTGGTCAGGCTCGCTGACTTGGTTGACACATGTCATCGGTTCCCAATTGCGCAGATCAATGCTCATGCTGTTGATCACTGGATTGTCTTGTCCAGACTCGATTATTTACATTCCGCCCTCATATAGCTGGAATATTGTGAAAAGTGTGGCATTAAACAACACAATACTCGCCAATCCTATAACTGGCACCGCTATTTCTCTAATGTTGAATAAACGAGACTGACATTTCTCTGGAGTTAACATTTCATTTTTACATCACATCACATGAACATAGGTCATGAACATATGTGCGTTACGTCACTTGTGATGAGTACTATTCAAACATGAAGGAAACCATTGGCTCGTGACAGTTCTGTTTATTGCATCTCTGAATCTGTGTCTATGTTGATGAACATAGCTTTGACAGACCGTTCAAACTGTATGCTGTTTCTGTGGAGCACACGGTGAACCGGTCATCTGGTGTTTTAGCCTAATCCTCGTCCTCAAACGCTCCATTTAGGTATTCCTCTTCTGTGTTTTGAATGGTTTGTGTGCGGCTGTTTTCAACCACCGCTTCCTCTCGCCTGACGTCAGTATAGAGGTGCTGGTTGATGGCGTCAACGGACGTGGTGACGTTGTTTGACGTCATTTCGATGTACCCAGTGGCATCGGTGGGAAGAGTGTAGCCTCCGTTTGCATTCGTCTGGTTTTCAACGTTTGTCCTCGACGCTGCAGGAGTAAGTTCACTGTAGATGTGGGACGAAATACTGTTAGTCTGTTGCAGGGGTGATCTGGACGGTTCCATCTCGCTGTAGATATTACCTTGTGTGGATTCTGGGTCGTGGAGAGACCCCAAAGTCACCAATGCTGATCCTGTGGGAGATATGTCCACAATTTAGTATAGACTTGTTATAAGTTCTCCTGCTGCTGAGTGCTGGAGTTGGCAATGGTCAAGATATAATAAGACATAAGATAAAAAATACCAGACCATCCGGTTATGGACTGCCTTCGGTAACATTAACGGGAACGTCAACAATTGTAGTGAGTGAGTGAGTTTAGTTTTACGCCACACTCAGCAATGTTCCAGCTAACGGCGGCGGTCTATAAATAATCGAGTCTGGACAAGACATTCCAGTGATCAACAGCATGAACACAATTGGGATCTACACAGTTAGCAAGTCTGACCTCCTGATCCCGTTAGTCGCCTCTTACGACAAGCATGAGTTGCTGAAGACCAATTCTAACCTTGATCAACACGGGTATCATAATACCTATATACTTATATACAAGTCTTTCATATTTCTCTTTCATCCTAACATTAGGCTGTGCATGTGTATCGTAGTCTAGTGATTAAAGTGTTCTCTTGTCACGCACTCGGTTCGAGTCCCTCGTGGTGTGCACCACCAACGCATTGCAGGAATATGTAACCCCGTGAGAGTGACACAATTTCCAGTGCGGTGGGGGTAGCCTAGTGGTTAAAGCGTTCGCTCATCACGCCGAAGGCCCGAGTTCGATTCCCCACATGGGTACAATGTGTGAAGCCCATTTCTGGTTTCCCCCGCCAAGATATTGCTGGAATATTGCTAAAAGCGGCGTAAAACCCAATTCACTCTCACTCACTCACAATCTCCAGTTTGGGATGTTACCTGAAAAGCTATGTCGTCGTTTCCGCCTGATAGTTACGAGGACGTACATGATGATGACGACAACGAGAACGCCGCCCTCGAGGCCAAACACTATATATACTAGTGTTGTACCTGAAATATAATTGTACATGGTTACATTGATTAAATGCAACATACGATATATACTCATGCCAATAATGGTTGTCACCCCCTTACATTTTTTTTAATTGGAGAGGGTGGGGTGGGGTGAAATGTGGGTGGGGTTGGGGTGGGGAGGGGGACAACCATTATTGGCATGAGTATATTAGGGATGACACTTCTCTGTAAAGTACACATTGGTTGAGTCCAATTCCACATTCGCACCCACACTCTCAAAGTGAGGCACCTCATCGCCGGCAGACAAAGTCAGTGATCTAACCCGGCAGACAAAGTCAGTGAACTAACCCGGCAGACAAAGTCAGTGAACTAACCCGGCAGACAAAGTCGGTGAACTAACCCGGCAGACAAAGTCAGTGAACTAACCCGGCAGACAAAGTCAGTGAACTAACCCGGCAGACAAAGTCAGTGAACTAACCCAGCAGACAAAGTCAGTGAAGTAATCCGGCAGACAAAGTCAGTGAGCTAACCCGGCAGACAAAGTCGGTGAACTAACCCGGCAGACAAAGTCAGTGAACTAACCCGGCAGACAAAGTCAGTGAACTAACCCGGCAGACAAAGTCAGTGAACTAACCCAGCAGACAAAGTCAGTGAACTAACCCAGCAGACAAAGTCAGTGATCTAACCCGGCAGACAAAGTCAGTGAACTAACCCGGCAGACAAAGTCAGTGAACTAACCCGGCAGACAAAGTCAGTGAACTAACCCGGCAGACAAAGTCAGTGATCTAATTTGGAAGACAAAGTCAGTGAACTTACCCTGCAGACAAAGTCAGTGAACTAACCCGGCAGACAAAGTCAGTGATCTAACCCGGCAGACAAAGTCAGCGAACTAACCACAAAGTCAGTGAACTAACCCGGCAGACAAAGTCAGTGAACTAACCCGGCAGACAAAGTCAGTGATCCAACCCGGCAGACAAAGTCATCTGACTCGGAAGACAAAGTCAGTGAACTTACCCTGCAGACAAAGTCAGTGAACTAACCCGGCAGACAAAGTCAGTGATCTAACCCGGCAGACAAAGTCAGCGAACTAACCACAAAGTCAGTGAACTAACCCGGCAGACAAAGTCAGTGAACTAACCCGGCAGACAAAGTCAGTGATCCAACCCGGCAGACAAAGTCAGTGAACTAACCACAAAGTCAGTGAACTAACCCAGCAGACAAAGTCAGTGAACTAACCCGGCAGACAAAGTCAGTGATCTAACCCGGCAGACAAAGTCAGTGAACTAACCCGGCAGACAAAGTCAGTGATCCAACCCGGCAGACAAAGTCAGTGAACTAACCACAAAGTCAGTGAACTAACCCGGCAGACAAAGTCAGTGATCTAACCCGGCAGACAAAGTCAGTGATCTAACCCGGCAGACAAAGTCAGTGAACTAACCCGGCAGACAAAGTCAGTGAACTAACCCGGCAGACAAAGTCAGTGAACTAACCCACTCAGCCATGAAATCGAGATCACGAATTCCAAATAGTTAGGAATATTTTTTAATGTCCATTAATGGTTAGGAAGTTTCAATTTGAACACACCCGTTGCAACAAATGATATTCTAATATCTTTGAATAGATGGGAAGTAAAATACACAATGTTCCAGATAAAACAACTTTGCAATGACTCATTGATTTTATACATCCGTGTCATCAAATGTCCTGCCCCTTTATTCGGCAGAGTGAAGAAACATAGTTTAACAAGTATTGATCTCCCTGGATCAACGCATGGTCGTTCTGTATTTACTTCCTAGATTGTTTAACACCACACTCAGCAATATCCTTGCTATATTGTTCACAGGTCTCGTGGGGGACATTGGTTGATGATCCCTCGATGTTTGTTTATGAGGGGAACATAAACAAACATCGAGGGTACATCAACCCATGGGCCCCAAGGGACCAGTGAACAACGTATTTATCTTACCGAACACCTTAATGTTAAGTTTGAATTGTTTGAAGCCCGGGTACAAATCTTTTTGTAGCCATCGCTAGATTTTGCTGACAAGAAAAACAAATTTACAGTTATCTCCCTTCCATCGATTTGCATTCGCAAAACATCGGTAATTTCCGTACATCATACGTGATTCAATGTTATTCGAGATAAATAATCACTACCACGAAGTACCAAACAAGTTGCCATTGACAGCGGGGTACATTGAAATGTTACTCGCTTGTAAGCGGGGTACATTGGAAATAATAGAAGAGCGCTCAGCCAATCAGAAAGCGACATTTATTAGTGAGGTAAGATAAAGGCTAACATCAGTGGCAGACATCATGAGCATCAATCTATGCAGCAGGTGTCTTCTCAAAACAGATCCTCTGTACACTATAAATACATATTCTATGGTCTTCCCAGTTTCACAGATTGTGTTCACTCTGGATGGATGCTTGGCACCGACTGCATCTTTCGTAAGCTCATTCTACCAACCTATTCCCTTTAATTGAGATCAACATTTTCATTTTGGAGTTGTTGTTTTTTCAAAATGCATCGCACCAGATCTGAGCACTCACCTGAAAAAAGACCGATTATGACTAAAACGGCTCCAACCAATTGTGTAGCTAGCTCCATCACCACTGAAAATACAAGAATCTGAGGTTACGACAGACAAAGTGAGTGAGTCAGTTGGGTTTATCGCCGCCTTCACACATTTCGTATAGATCGCAGTGCGACAGCTTAACGTTGGAGCTAGTCTTACCTGAGTGATTGTAAGCGTTTTGTTTTACCCCGCTCTTGCAATATTCCCGCAATTCCTATCAATCATGGCGAGAGACACCAGAAATGGGCTCCACACATGTACCAATGTGATAAAACGAACCCGGGTCTTCAGTGTGACGAGCATGAACAAGGCAACCCACACGTTGACAGACCCAGCAACACTAATGTCGGAGTTTGTCATAAAGAGAATAGAACTAAACATTGGCATTATCCAATGGAAAGTAGATCACAAAGACTATAAAACCAAACAAAGGTATTGGTCCAGTGGAAACTAAATCATATAGACTATATAACTAAACAAAACTATTGGTCACATGGAAAGTAAATCATATAATCTATAAAAGTAATTAAAGGTATTTGCCCATTGAAACGTAGATCATTAAGACTATATAACTAAACAAAACTATTGGTCACGTGGAGAGTATGTCATAAAGACTGTAAAACTAAACATAGATATTAGTCCAATGGAAAGTATATCATAAAGACTATTAAACTAAACATAGATATTAGTCCATTGGAAAATGCATCATAAAGACTATAAAACCCAACAAAGGTACCTACCTATGCCGTTATGTTATCAGCTAGAATGAAAATGGTTATGAAGATGTAATCAAACAACAAAATTACCTACCTGTGTAGCTGTCGTCTCTATAAAACGGTAAATATTTTACCAGACCGTTACAGATAGGTAACCTGTCCTACCACCTCCATGATAAGTCAGAAAGTCAACAAGGAAACTGATTAATCAAATGATTTTGATATAAATACATAGATCAATAATGAAATGAATCTAGCACAAATTCACATTTCCTCTCTCAGTACTATGTGTCCAGACATATGTTCAGTTGATAACGGGGCGGTGGGATAGCCTAGTGGTTAAAGCGTTCGCTCGTCACGCCGAAGGCCCAGGTTCGATTCCCCACATGGGTACATTGTGTTAGGCCCATTTCTGGTGTCCCCCGCCGTGATATTGCTGGAATATTGCTAAAAGCGGTGTGAAACTAAACTCACTCACTCACTCAGTTGATAACAGTCGTTGCTCAGATAATAAAGAAAGTTCCATGTACTCAATAGCCGATCAATTACAAGCACCATTTTTTTACACGTATATGAGCAGTTAGTCAAACAAAAGAGCTTACACAGTACGTTGAACTGCAACATTCCACGCAAGCGGTGATTATCGGGAGGCTCAATGACTTGAATGGTCCATGCCATGCTTAGATGAATGCTCCTGATGTCAGTCACTGGATTGCTTAGTGTAGACTCGAATGTAAACACCGAAATATAGTTATGTTTGAATGGCTCGCTGATTGCTGCAGTGTAAGTACTGGTACACATCTGTATGACACACTGAATATTGTAGTCTAAGTACCGATACACATTTGAATGATGCAATGATCATTGTAATGGTGTCCTCCCAAACGTTAGACGTCCCAAAAGGTTATGGTTGGTTGCACTACACTGTTACCTTCGTTAACTAATGGACTAGTCCAAATGTACTAATCCATACACAAAGAGATTATGACAATGACTTTATTTGACTTAAAACAAAATAAATTTTTTTTTTACAAGATAATTATAAATGAACTATGGATGACTTTGTAATGACTTTATTTGGCATTCAAAAAAGAAGAAGTCAAGAATGTCAACCAAGTCTGAGCAAATGCCCAACTGCATCGAGGAACTCCATGTTTGTAATCCCTCCTGCACACATGTCATCGGTTCCCAATGCTCATGCTGTTGATCACTGGATTGTCATGTCATGTCCAGACTCGATTATTTACAGACGCTGCCATATAGCTGGAATATTGCTGACTGCGACGTAAAACTAAACTCACTCACTCACCCACTCATCCCTCCTGCAGGCAGTGTCTCTTGCAGACGCATCAGACTGTTCTCAGGTTCCCTGTAGACTGTAGACCCTCATCCTCTTCCTCTTCCACAACCTCTCCCCCTGACTCTGTTCTTGGTGTATGTGTGACCTTTAAGGAATACCTGAGGAGTACCTTTCTGTGACATCACGTATTCTACTCTCTGAAGACCAGCAATCGTTTTGCCTTAACCCGTAGTTAGTTAATTGCCTTATTTAGCGTCGCACACACAACTAAGGTAAAAAAAGGTAAAAAATATGAAGTAGGTAAAGAGTAATAGAGATTTGGAATTTAATATATATGTAGTGTAATAGATGGTTATTGTTATTGTTTGAGGACATAAACCTGTTTTATTGTATTATGTTAAAGGTCACATGCAACCAAAAAAATCAAACATAATTAAAACACAATTATCACCTCTTCATGACATATAATATGCATTGCTGATTATGAAAAAACAAATAAACAAAATCATAAGCGTATAATCGCAAATCAAAAGTGCAATATTTTGTACTTGGGTTTACCTCCCTCGAAACGAAGCAGCCGGGATACCGAACCCAGTCAGAGCGGGTGGGTGTGCACTCAAGTGTAACGGCTGGTTCATTAGCAGATGCCGCCTTCACGGCTGATTGCGGGTGTATATATAGAAAGTTGGGTTTTGTAAATACATGCTCATTTTTTGTGTATAACATTTTGCAATCAACAGACATCATAACATGTCATGTGTTCAAGTATCACACCTGCCTGTCTGTGTAATTACATAATGTGACAGAGACCGAACTCGGGCCATAAATCAATGCATTTTGTTTATGGTGTATAGCCTGATTGGTGTTAAGTTCAAATTGCATGTGGTCAGTGATCGCAGTTGTGTATTGAATATTGTCATTAGCAGACAGGCAGGCAGACACACATAAAACAAGACATTGAGTTCTGTCTGTGACAGCGACATATCTATATCACAGTTAGAAATTGTGTCAACTCTAAATAATGACATTGCTTTTAAGTATCGAACTGAGAAAGTGTCTCGGTGAGAAGAACGTGTGGTGAAATAGACAAATGCAATTATATAAACAGTTTATTTACTGTCATAACATACACAAAGCTCGCGCCTGTGAGATATCAACAAAACATTATAAAAATAGCTCACACCAAAGCCTTCACCGAGTATTCACCAGACAGCCCGCTTCCAAGTTGCGCGAACCTATTTCACTGCGCACGTGCTATGAGCGCAGCCCAGCTGTTGAAACCCGTATTCCCCAGAAAAGTGTGGGGAAATTTAGTGAAACGTTTGAACTCCGATTTCGCGCGTTTTTTTTCATCGCGTTATTTTTCAACTTTATAACTTGAATTTGCATTTTTTACGCTTTGTTTCGGTAAGTCCATACCGAAAGGTATCAGAATCTGCAAAGTTGTGTTTTACGTTGCATGTGACCTTTAATATGTTGTTTTACACCCAAACCATGTTTAAAAACATATTTATTAAGTGAATAATAATGAACATATAAAGGGTGAAACATATAAAGTTGGCACCAGGTTACACATCAGAATGACATTGTGATCATTGTAATCTAAGATTGTGTTACACATCAGAATGACACAATGATCATTGTAATCTAAGTACCTGTGACACATCTGAATGACACAATGATCATTGTAATCTAAGTACTATTACACATCTGAATGACACAATGATCATTGTAATCTAAGTACTATTACACATCTGAATGACGCAATGATCATTGTAATCTAAGTACCATTACACATCAGAATGACGCAATGATCATTGTAATCTAAGTACTATTACACATCTGAATGACGCAATGATCATTGTAATCTAAGTACTATTACACATCTGAATGACGCAATGATCATTGTAATCTAAGTACTATTACACATCTGAATGACGCAATGATCATTGTAATCTAAGTACTATTGTAATCTGAATGACGCAATGATCATTGTAATCTAAGCACCATTACACATCAGAATGACGCAATGATCATTGTAATCTAAGCACCGTTACACATCTGAATGACGCAATGATCATTGTAATCTAAGAATGACAATGATCATTAATCTAAGTATCACATCAGAATGACGCAATGATCATTGTAATCTAAGCACCGTTACACATCTGAATGACGCAATGATCATTGTAATCTAAGCACCGTTACACATCTGAATGACGCAATGATCATTGTAATCTAAGTACCGTTACACATCTGAATGACGCAATGATCATTGTAATCTAAGTACCGTTACACATCTGAATGACGCAATGATCATTGTAATCTAAGTACTGTTACACATCTGAATGACGCAATGATCTTTGTAATCTAAGTACCGTTACACATCTGAATGACGCAATGATCATTGTAATCTAAGTACTATTACATCTGAATGACACAGTGATCATTGTAATCTAAGTACCGTACAGATCTGAATGAAGTATCGATCATTATTATTATTCTTAAAAATGCCTTAACAGGTATTCAGTATAGTTGGTTATGTCTACTGAACGAAAGCTCACGGAACTGCGGCAAGTGTGAGCGTGTTTGATCCATGGTCACAGTCTAACGATTTTACAGGCGCATGTGGTGTGAATGTGCTTATTGGGGTTTATGCCACTTCGAACCGTTAGTCTGGCCGATTATTTAGTGTCATGGTGCTTCTACAATCTAGTCGAATACTGTCCATACCACCTCAAAATGACATACCATTATTGTCCATACCACCTCAAAATGACATTACATTATTGTCCATACCACCTCAAAATGACATTACATTATTGTCCATACCACCTCAAAATGACATTACATTATTGTCCATACCACCTCAAAATGACATTACATTATTGTCCATACCACCTCAAAATGACATTACATTATTGTCCATACCACCTCAAAATGACATTACATTATTGTCCATACCACCTCAAAATGACATTACATTATTGTCCATACCACCTCAAAATGACATTACATTATTGTCCATACCACCTCAAAATGACATTACATTCTTGACGATACCACCTCAAAATGACATTACATTATTGTCCATACCACCTCAAAATGACATTACATTATTGTCCATACCACCTCAAAATGACATTACATTATTGGCTATAGTAAACTACGGTTATAAGGAACTCCATGGTCCATGGTCACAGTCTAACGATTTTACAGGCGCGTGTGTGGTGTGAATGTGCTTATTGGGGTTTATGCCACTTTGAACCGTTAGTCTGGCCGATTATTTAGTGTCATGGTGCTTCTACAACCTAGTCGAATACTGTCCATACCACCTCAAAATGACATTACATTATTGTCCATACCACCTCAAAATGACATTACATTATTGTCCATACCACCTCAAAATGACATTACATTATTGTCCATACCACCTCAAAATGACATTACATTATTGTCCATACCACCTCAAAATGACATTACATTATTGACGATACCACCTCAAAATGACATTACATTATTGTCCATACCACCTCAAAATGACATTACATTATTGTCCATACCACCTCAAAATGACATTACATTATTGGCTATAGTAAACTACGGTTATAAGGAACTCATGGTGGCGCGTATAGTCAAACTACGATGTTATTGAGCTCGGAGGAACTTGACAAAGTGTCCTGCTTCTACAACGCCGCTAATTAACAGTCCCTATATAAAAATGGACATAGTAAACTACGGTTATAAGGAACTCAAAGTGGGCCGCTAATTGTCCCTCATTATAACCGCAGTATCTTATTTGTATATAGACTAGTATATACAGTCCATAATTTCAGAACGGAAGAAGATTAATGTGAAAATTCTGTCTGCATATGCTACCAGCATTTTCAATGTATAACAGTCATTTGTTATTATTAAATCAAGAAAAATTTCTGCTATTTAAAAAACTTAGGAACATGACCTACTGATGACTCGTTGTTGGTTGTTGCTAAACGCCGCACAAAGCAATATTCCAGCTATATGGCGGTGGTCTGTCCGGACCAGACAATCCAGTGATCAACAGCATAAACATCGATCTACGCAACTGAGATGCGATAACGTGTGTCAACACAGTCAGCGAGCCTGACCTTCCGATCCCGTAAGTCGGGTCTTGAGACAAGCATGACCCATTCTAGCCCATCATGACATCAACTGCATAATCAGTTATACCATGTCCCATAACGCAATATAGTCCAACACAGACTACTCTATTTTTATTTCATGAAAGACTTTCCACTACTAGGAATGGCCGACTTGTTCAGCGATGTATGAACTTGACCACTTCCACGTGAACAATTCCAATTTGCTTTGCCTTACAAATATTGCAAATACAAGTGGAAAGAATATAAGAAACTGCAATGCGTTATGTGATGTCAATCCCGAATCTCATTCAACATTTCTAAAGCATGATAAACACAGAAATGAACAAACTCCAGGTCGATCATGTCAATGATAAGGTTATTTCAACCTCACGAATACAATGCATCTAACAAGAAAGAAAAAGGGTATCAATTTCGGTAAGGCTATTATAACGACACTATGGAGAAACTCGATGGATATTTCCATGTTTCGTGAGTTACTGCGCAGGCTAGTGAACTATAGTCGAAAGCAGGAGTGTATACATCAATCTATAATATATCTTACATGTTCTCGTAAGATGCAGCAGCTAGATAGACAAGTTGTTTAATAGTTTGAAAAATGCATTTCAATTGTATCAAGGCGTATAAGCTTACTGTGGGAAGAAACCACAACAGTATGTAGGCCGTAGACGTTAATCGTTTGGCAGCATTCCTGAGGACGGATATGATGCTGTCAAATCTGAACTGAAACTCGGTTTATTGATATTGATCAGCACGTGTACACTTAACCATAAAACTAATCAAAGGTATATGTCCAATGAAAGTAGACAATAAAGACTATATAACTAAATAAAGGCCGTGGTCCAATGGAAAGCATATCATATAGACTATAAAGCTAATCAAAGGTATTGATCCAATAAAAAGTAGATCACATAGATTATCGTAAATACTATAAAGCTGATGAAAGGTATTGATCCAATAAATAATAGATCACATAGATTATCGTAAATACTATAAAGGTGATGTATTGATCCAATAAATAGTATAAATAGTAGATCACATAGATTATCGTAAATACTATAAAGCTGAGCAAAGGTATTGATCCAATAAATAATAGATCACATAGATTATCGTAGAGACATTAAAGCTGATCAAAGGTATTGATTCAATAAAAAGTAGATCACATAGATTATCGTAAATACTATAAAGCTGATGAAATGTATTGATCCAATAAAAAGTAGATCACATAGATTATCGTAGAGACATTAAAGCTGAGCAAAGGTATTGATCCAATAAATAGTAGATCACATAGATTATCGTAAATACTATAAAGCTGATGAAAGGTATTGATCCAATAAATAGTAGATCACATAGATTATCGTAAATACTATCAAGCTGATGAAATGTATTGATCCAATAAAATGTAGATCACATAGATTATCGTAAATACTATAAAGCTGATGAAAGGTATTGATCCAATAAAAAGTAGATCACATAGATTGTCGTAGAAACATTAAAGCTGATGAAAGATATTGATCCAATAAATAGTAGATCACATAGATTATCGTAGAGACATTAAAGCTGAGCAAAGGTATTGATCCAATAAATAGTAGATCACATAAGTTATCGTAAATACTATAAAGCCGATGAGAGGTATTGATCCAATAAATAGTAGATCACATAGATTATCGTAACTACTATAAAGCTGATCAAAGGTATTGATCCAATAAATATTAGATAACATAGATTATATAACTAGCATACATGTACTATATATTTAACACATACATACTCAACTACGTCATGAAGCTAGTAGATTAAGTTACGATCTGTACAGAGTAGGGCTAATCACTGATCCATCCTGCGCATGTGGAAACCCGAGCGAAAATGCTCATCACTATTTCTTAGAATGCTCTTTATACAATCAACATAGACACATCATGCTTAAAACTATTCAAGATGTATGTGGTAGTAATTCTGTGATTACATTATCTGTTATTTTAAACGGCATTGCAGATTTGACAAAACATAAACATGAAATTATATTAAAAAATGTACATCAATATATATGCAAATCTAAACGATTCCAGTAGTCTTCTCTCTATACACCCTTTGTATTATAACATTTTCCTGAACTGTCAATCTTTCTCTGTCTCTGTTTCTAATAACTGCTTGTGATGTAATTAGTTATTGTAAATATCTTGGAAAGGGGTTTTATGAGTTGAAAAAAACTTGTCCCCGATCCTTTTCACATTGTAAATAAAATATATTTAAACTAAACTGTTTTACAATAATTATTAGCTAGGTTTACAATAGGAAAATAGTACTTATCCGTGCTTATCTCCATGCCCTCCATTACTTCAACAATGTTACTATAGATGTCACGTTCCTTCACCGAGTGCACCCCGCGATAGGCCATTTCAACACATCAACTTTACTACTCTGACCCAGTGTCGTATTCGTGTGTCACACTATTGATAGTTATGTTGTTATACTACACATCTCACAAGCCTACAGATTGTGAATTCAACCCGGAAGTAAGTCGTGCAGCTAATGGCGGGCGAGATACCATGTACAGGTATGTGTGTCCCATTGGGTTCATTGTATCTAGAATTCTGAGAATAAGAGAATGACCATTCTTATGCCAAGTGTTGATAAATGAAATAATCTGTGTCCATGTTACGTTTGTATACATGAATACCACCGCGTGTTACCCGTACATAGTATCTAATGTAGGTCAGCAACTGGCTATGTACAATAACGCTAGGCGTCGTTTTCCAAAGGAATATTTGCGTGGCTTGCTTGTTGCAAATATGCAAATAACAGTTCAGTTTTGATTACAGCAATTTACGTGAGTGAGTTTAGTTTTACGCCGCTCTCAGCAATACTCCAGCTATATGGCGGCGGCCGGTAAATAATCGAGTCTCGACCAGACAATCCAGTGATCAGCATCAAGAGCATCGATCTACGCTATACGATGATATGTGTCAACCAAGTCACCGAGCATGACCTCTCGTTCCCGTTAGTCGCCTCTTACGACAAGCATGGATTACTGAAGATCATTTCTAACCCGGAAGTTCACGGGTAGCAATTTATGTAATGACCATTGCTTGTGTTTACCATTACCTCGTGTGCATGTACTTTGAGTAGGCCAGTGAACTGTATTCGAACGCAAGGGTGTGTACATGTTTGATATATATCATGCATTCTCGTTAAATACAGCAGTTTGATAGGACAGGTTGTTTAAGTGTTACTGTAGTAATATCGCAGGTACTGTTTCATCTCATCTGAAAAACCATATACGTCCAAACGACGACATACAAGTTTCAGGAACAGGAGGTGGCACCTCCAAACAAGAAGCATGGACTCTTGTGATCCTTTTCACCTTCTGATCTTCATGACCTTTCTCACAGGAAGTAAGTACCAACATATCTGTCGGGAAAAGGATATTTTAATTGAAAAGCTGTGATTCTGAATAGTTTGCGTCAAATCATTGTCACACACGCACACACGCGCGCGCGCGCGCACACACACACACACACACGTACGCAAGTATCGGTGTGCGCAGTATTAGAAGGGGTCAAGTATCAACACTCAGAGACTGCAGTCGAGTTACTCATACTATAAGATGTGTGTCTGTGTGAAAATATTCATTCATGTACATCAAAAAGCAAGTAATATTGACGCTGCTTCTCAAATTCCAATTTTCATTTTGTGTGATTTGAACTCAAAGCATGGTGCTCAAATGGTATATAAAGTCACTCATTGTAGCCACAGGTCCGCACAAGGTTTCATATATGAAGGTCAGAAGATTGAATATGTAGAACCTGTGGTAATAGTATTCCTATGCTTTCGAAAAACCTTTGACACTAGAGTGCTCCGTTACTATGGTGTATATTTTCACTGGCACATCGTTACTTGAAATAATCACTTGTAGTGTTATAACGCTATTAGCGGTATTATTGTTTAACGGTTTGCAACAACAATCTAGAGCAAGGGAGTTACCTCCCTGGGGAATGTAAAAAAACACTGGAATAAAAGCACGTGAATTCTAATGCACGTTTGATTTATTGAAATCAAGTGCCCTGATAACCCATCGGTCATCAAAAACAGTACATTGGCGACGAGGATAAGGGAGTTCATAATTATCCATCGATATTATGACAGATCAAGCTCCTCAGCCGGACGTACAGCCGCGAACAGTGGTAAACCTACCGCACTATCTCCCCTTCGATTGCAAGTCGGATGGCAAGCTCGTTCGTTGGAACAAGTGGAGATCTCGCCTTGTGAAAAATGTGTTCGTTGGATATAACATCACTGATGATCGACAGAAGAAAGCATTGCTGTTATCGTTTGGAGGTGATGATTTGAATGACATTGTGGATTCATTTCCCGAAGCGGATTTGGCACCGGGAGCGGGTGAGACACACTTTGGTAAAATAGTGACTGCTATCACCAATCATTTCAATCCAGAGGTCAACCTTGAATTTCAAAGGTATGCTTTTCGTCAATTAAGGCAGAAAACGGACAATATTGATGAATTCTATCATGAATTACGTCAGCATGCAAGTACCTGTGGTTTTGAAGATAGGGTACAAAGTGAAATCAAATCACAACTAATAGCAGGCTGTAAATCCAACAAGGTGAGGGAGAAAGGACTTTCAACCCCAAATATGACATTGGTTGACTTGCTCACTCACGGTAGGACATTGGAACTTACCAATAGGCATGCTAAAGAAATACAAGCAGCTACAAATTCCAGTACTAACAATGAACATGCACACAGAATTTATAGAGAGAAAAAGCACACCAAAAAGTTTTCAAGGAAAGAAAGCTCAAAACCCTCAGCTAAATGTGACAACTGTGGACAAGACTGGCCTCATCAGGGTGGTCAAAGGAATTGTCCAGCAAGAGGTCAAGCGTGTGACAAGTGTGGTAAAATGAACCATTTCTCAAAAGTTTTTAAGAGCTATGGAAATAAACGTTTTCAAAGGAAGAAAGTACGGAATGTTGGAATGGACAATACTGATGCAGAAGAAGACTATGTTTTCTTAGCAAAAGGAAATTCTACACAATTTCCAAAATTTGACTTGAACATTAATGGCAAGAGTGTTAGTGTGTTAGCTGATTCTGGAGCAAGTGTAAACACTATCTCTGAAAAGGTGTTCAAAATGCTGAATCCAAAACCAACCCTAGAGAACTGTCAAACCAAGATAATTCCATATGGGAAGAAAGATTCAGTTCCAGTATTAGGACGATTCAAAGGAACAATCAAGTCAAAAACAGCAACAGTGACTACAAACATCTGCGTAGTTCCTGATGACGAAGAGTGTCTTCTTAGTTGGAAGATGTCACAAGAACTCAATCTTCTGCAAGTTCATGAATCCGTCAGAACTGTCAAATCTAGGGACGATGAGCTGATTGCCGAATACTCTGACCTTTTTACAGGTTTAGGGAAAGCTTCACATTGACAAAGAAGTTCCACCTGTTGCTCAACAATACAGACGTGTCCCATTCAATGTCAGAAAAGACATAGAAGAACAAATCAAGAAAGATCTTGAACGTGACGTCATAGAGAAATCTGTTGGACCAACGCCCTGGGTTTCGCCAGTGGTAGTAGTTCCAAAGCCCAACAGTCCAGGTAAAGTGAGAGTATGTGTTGACATGAGGTGTCCAAACACTGCTATCAAACGAGAACGACACAATTCTCCCACACTTGATGAACTCACAACCATACTAGCTGGATCTACTGTGTTTAGCAAAGTTGACCTTAACCAAGGTTACAACCAACTTGAACTCAGTGAAGAATCTCGGTACATCACAACCTTTGCTACTCATCTTGGACTCTTTCGCTACAAGCGTTTGAATTTCGGTATCAACAGTGCAGCTGAAGTTTTCCAAGAAACCATTCGTCAAGCAGTGAGTGGTCTACCTGGTGTTATCAATATCAGTGACGACATTCTCATTCATGGTTGTGGACCTGAAGAACATGACAGCAACCTCAAAGGTTTGTTTCAACGGATGAGAGAAAAAGGACTGACATTAAATCCAGAGAAATGTGTGTTTAATCAAGCATCCATTGAGTTCTTTGGACATGTGTTCCGTGGTCAAGGTATCACACCAAGTGAAGCAAAACTGTCTTCAATAATGGACATGCCATCACCTAAGAATGCTACTGAAGTAAGGAGTCTGCTAGGAATGGCACACTTCTGTGGTGCAAGACACGTTCCCAATTATTCCACACTCACCTATGAGCTGCGTCAACTCACGCACAAGGACACACCCTGGTTGTGGACAGCCACTCATGAAGCTGCTCTTTGCAAGTTGAAAGAAGAGCTCAAGAAAGCTACAACCCTGAGTTACTTCAATCCAAGAGCTCAGACAGAACTGTATGTGGATTCCAGTCCAGTTGGATTGTGTGCAGTTCTCTGTCAATCAGAAGAGCAAGGAAATCCGAGAGTAGTTCAGTTTGCTAGTAGATCTCTCACACCGACTGAACAACGGTACTCTCAAACCGAACGTGAAGCGCTTGCTATCACATGGTCATGTGAACATTTTCACATTTATGTGTTTGGTTCTTCCTTCACAATATACACTGATCATAAACCATTGACAAGCCTGTTTGGAAACCCAAAAGCAAATCTGCCACCAAGAATTGAACGTTGGATGATGAGAATCCAGCAATATGACTTCAATGTTGTCTATCGACCAGGGGCAGATAATCCGGCAGATTATCTGAGTAGACACCCCTCTCAGATGTTCCAGAAGAGTGAACAGGAAGCCGTTGCTGAAGAATACATTCAGTATGTGGTATCTAAAACAGTACCCAAGTCAATGACTATAGATCATGTTGTGAATGCCACTGACAATGATCCTACACTACAAGCAGTCATCCAGTCAGTGAAAACTGGAAACTGGAAATCGTTATCAAATGACGTTAATCTCAAAGTGTACGACACTTTGAAGAAGTGTCAAAATGAACTAACACTTGTGGTGAATGATAGTGTTCTGCTAAAAGAGACAAAGATTTTCTTACCTGAAAGCCTATACAAGCAAGCTGTGGACCTAGCCCACACTGGGCACCAAGGAATAGTTAAGACACTATCACTACTGCGAGAAAAGGTGTGGTTCCCAAACATGCATCACATGGTTGAAAGCACTGTTAAAAACTGTCTAACATGTCAAATCGCAACTGAAACGCCATCAAGAGAACCGTTACAAATGTCAAAACTACCTGATGGACCATGGCGTGAACTTAGTGCGGATTTTGGACAAATCGAAACTGGAGACTATTTGTTGGTTATCCAAGACGAATATTCAAGATACGTGGTTGTGGAAATCATGTCAAGTATCTCTGCTTGGAGTGTGATTCCAAGATTGGATAAGGTTTTCTCTGAATTTGGAATACCATATGTGCTCAAGACTGACAATGGCCCTCCATTTAATAGCCATGATTTCAAAGCCTATGCAGAAAACACTGGATTCAAACATCGGAAAATAACACCCTTGTGGCCTCGTGCAAATGCAGAAACGGAACGTTTCATGCGTACCATAAAGAAAACCATTAAAGGTTGTTTGGTACAAGGGCATTCCAATTCCAGTACTTGTTATCTTACAGAAATACACCACACTCATCCACTGGTGTTCCTCCTGCAACTGCGTTGTTTCAACGTAACCTCAGAAACCGATTACCGAGTGTAGACAGTCAGGTTAGTGAGACTGATGCGCACATGAGACTGAAAGATGCCCAAGCAAAGCAAAAGACGAAAACATATGCAGACAGAAAAGTGTAAGTAAAACCATCAGATTATCAGAAAGGAGATGCAGTGCTGCTGAAAGACATGTCAATTCATAAGTCTAAAACGCCTTATGAACCCATTCCTTACACTGTAACCTCAACCAAGGGTTCCATGCTAAATGTGGGGACAGACAAGTCACAAGAAACAGCAGTTTCTTCAAACCTGCACCTTGCCAACCCACAGAATCTCAAATTCAGGAGACTAAGGACACACTTGACATTGACATGCCAAGTGATGAGACATCTAATGACACTGTTCCTGAAGAACCGGTTCCAGAAATGGATTTGAATGAACAAATCCAAGAAGGAAGATATCCAACCCGAGAAAGGAGACTTCCGTCCAGATTTAATGACTTTGTTGTGTAAAGAAAAACAAAACAACAAATGCAAAAAGGATTTTTGCATAGTAATGTGTTCAGACTAATTCTTATATAGTGGTTTTCTTTGAGAGACTTTAAATGAATGTTTTTGGGGTCTGTAGTAAATTTAGTATTGTTTAACACATGGATGTTAAAGTTAATTTGAGAAATCATTTTATAATTTATGTCAAGATAACATTCTTATGTTTATTTTATTTTAAAGCTAATTTTTCATCCAAGGAGAAGAGGGATGTAGTGTTATAACGCTATTAGCGGTATTATTGTTTAACGGTTTGCAAAAACAATTAAGAGCAAGGGAGTTACCTCCCTGGGGAATGTAAAAAAACACTGGAATAAAAGCACGTGAATTCCAATGCACGTTTGATTTATTGAAATCAAGTGCCCTGATAACCCATCGGTCATCAAAAAACAGTACATCACTCATTATCTTTATCGAACTGATGTAAATGCAAGTGTGTTTTTTTTCAGTTTCAGCTATATGTATATAACCACCACCCCCACCCACCCCTCTCTCTCTCTCTCTCTCTCTATCTCTCTCTGTTTATGTGTAAGTGTGTTTGGTGGAGTTTTATTGAATTGATGTAAATACACGGCCTCGTTTTTCAGCCACTGGGGCGAGCCTGACCGCATCACCGAGTCAAATAACAATCGGGGGCAGTAACCCAACATCTCAGTTGACTGTAAGTTGCAGGCCAGATGCACCTGGAATCACTACATTGTATAACATAGTGATTGGCAAGAAGTCTTCTACTGGCTCTAATCAGCCTATAATACAAATGGGCATCACAGATACGTCAGTAACAGTAGTGGACACAAGTCTCCAGCAGCGGATCACCGCCTCGGGTTCTATCAGTGGAGGAACAGGCAGTATACAGTTCATCCTCACAGATCTGAGATGTGCTGATGCTGCTTCTACATACTACTGCAAAACGTCATACTTTACTACGACAGCTGGAAGTGATGAGACGACCACCAGCGTCACAGCTAGAAGTAAGTGGGAATATGTACATTAAAGCTGAACTGTGTTTGGTGCCCTCAAAATATGTTTGCGAAGTTCAAACAAATCATTTGATGTAAATATATACTTGTTTATCATATTATTATCATTCTTCCCCGCTAGCTGATCATTGCATAAATATGTTCAGACCCATTGCTTGTAATATATATTATTACCCATACGGGCTAGGATACACAGGTGATTATTTTTGTGATAATCGCACATGTGCTTGTCAGTGATTCTCAACGTTGATTGGTCAGCTAAGCAGAGAAGAAATATGATTGGTTGACGGAACTACTTTTCATGATCCAAATTCATTGACAACTTATACCGTTTCTTTGATAACTAGAACGTGCTGTACTCGCACATTCCGAGATTTAAAACAGAAACATAAAGGTTAAAGAATATGAATACTCTTTTTATTAGACATTATTATTTTGCAATAAAATTGCGTTATAGATAGTAGTCTTTTTAAAATACATAACCTTAACACAACAATTGTGGCTAGCCCACACTCCGGCGCAGAGATGACTTAGCATAACATCACTGCCACAGGCTAATTTGCATATCACGTGACCGGACTTTTCTCTTGTTTGTAAACGAACGCGCATATTAATATATTAAGAAGATCCTGGACTCACGAAAGCTTTTCGGCGCTCTCTTCATAATGTTTTAGATTGTTACATATATATTCTTCCACAGCTGCGACAGTAAAGTCTATGACAGTACATATTAAGCTATCAAACTGGCTGCATCGTTTGCTCTCCATCAGCTTCGATGACAGCACGTGGAGCCGTACAACCTATGTAAACAGAGGATCGCTACGCAAATCGAAATACTGTTACATGGTTTTGGATATTTTCTCAGTGAAACTAAACCATTCTACTAAAGATGTTTAGTTAGATGTGTAGACTCGTCAAAAATAAAAGAGTAAAAGAAATCTGTACATTATATTGAATGGACATTGCAAGATGTGATGAATCGTCACATTTTTCTGGCCTTTGGCAGAGGTACTATGCTGGCCGCATGGAACTCTGGGTAGGAGATTGTGGCTAACCCCGATCAAGGTCAATGACTTAGTTAAAGTTGACGGTGACCTAATAGGAAGAGTCATAAGAATTTTACAGCCCTTGAATTCCTACAACCTGTTTGTTGTTAAAACTGAATTCGGTGACATAGAAGCAGCAAGATACCGACTAAAGGTGTTCCCTGAAAGTGTGCCAAGTGAGTGTGCCATGGCGTCCATGCCTTAGAACCAGACACATTATTCCGGGCACAAAAATGTTCAGTCAATAAAAGGTTACTCTCCAGAGCCCTTATTCTCGAAACGTTCGTAACCTTAAGAATTCTTAACTTTGATCGTAGCCAATCTGTTAAGAATGGGCTTAAAAAATTCGTAGGGCTACGAACGTTTCGAGAATAGCTAGCCAGTTAATGAGCAACAACATCAATCCATCAATATATTGTTGTCAAACCCTTGTAACTCCACCACACTGCCTCAGACTGCCGCCTTGACGTCACAGTGTTTGTCGCATGCCGTTAATCTTCATTCTGTACATACACTATTCTCAGGTCCAATTTATGGTGGTGTATTCCACTTCAGCTTCTCGAATGACTCCTCTGTCAGTCGACCATCTGCTTCAAAGAGGTGTATTGTTCCCGCTGACTCGGATTCCGACTAGAGTTATCCTTCTTGGAACTGCTGTACTCTAATGAGACCAGTGACGTGACTGTAACACGCCTTCCACAGAATAAAATGTTGAGTTTCTTGACAGAAAACCTTTTCTAGGTGTATTCGTGGGATGATTGTCTTTTAGATTTTCCAACTTTTAACCGTTGCATTTCCCCAAAATTGACAGGATTTTGCCAAAGAGTATTTCAACACTATACCGTCACCCGTCACTAGGCGCACGCCAGTCGTGAATGAACGATCTTCCGGCGCACTGACTTGATCAAATAACGTTTTAGCTGTTATTAAGTTCAATCATGTTGCATTTAAAGGGTCATTTTTATCATATTAACACATATTAATAAATTATTCCATAAAAAATATTTTTGTTGTTTTTTTAAAGCGAGTTTACGAGGTACTAATTTCCATAGCGTAGTTATGTTATGTTATTACCGCTGCAGAAGTTACGTTTAATACGCGCATGAATACGAATAAGCTGTTTGAGGTCTTAAGTCCTGTCTCCGGGTGGTTTTTATTTCGTGGTTCTCCTATTTAAATTACATTATGAGTAATAAATAGAATAACCAACTCGGTACGAGTGATTACGGGAAATATGCCCTCGTTAAAATAATGTTCAGTGTCTCGCCAAAGCTCGGCACTGTGAACATTATTTCAACTCGGGCATATTTCCCGTAATCATTCGTACCGCGTTGGTTATACTCTAAATATCTTACAGCTTATCCAGAGCAGATAGAGATGTTCCCCTCTCCTGACAGGGTCCAGTATGACGATGGTCAGCTCTTGTCAATCAGATGTACAGGAAGGATCGGGAACCAGTTTGATGAGAACAACCTCCAGAACCTGTGGACATGGGAGTGGCGATCTGTAAACAACGAATTCACCACCTGGATACGGTACCCAAATGACCAAAACATCACCTACGACCCTCCTACGTTGGCAGCAGATTGTCAGTATACAGGGGCGTCAACACTGGTTCATACAGTCTCGAAATTAGACAATGGAAGACAGTTCAGGTGTTCTGTCCTAAGTGCAGGCTACAGTGCAAACAAGACTGTTTATGTTGTTGGTAAGTTTTATGTTTTATTTCACAGTTGTTTTGTATGTGGTACTATTTTGTTGCATTGGTCAATTCTCTATTGTCAGCTGTACAGATGAATGCATATGTGTATATCATGCATGGTGTCGGTACACCAATTAAAACAAAGGACCTTGTTTCCAGGTCAAACATCGCCAGCACCGCCCGATACGTCCGCAGGTGGTGAGTGTTACAAAAATGTAAAATAAAGCAACAGAGTGAGTATAGTTTTACGACGCACTCGGCAATATTCCAGTTATATGGGGACAGTCTTTAAATAATCGAGTCTGGACCAGACAATCCATGAATCTACAGCCCGAGCATCGATCTGCGCAATTGGGGACCGATGACGTGTATCAACCAAGTCAGCGAGCCTGACCACCCGATCCTGTTAGTCGCCTCTTACGACAACCATTGGTTACTGAAGATCAGTTTTAACCAGGACCTTCAAAAGCAGCGGAGTTTACTTAAATGTCACATGAAACCCAAAACACATTGTGTTACTTTTCACGACATATAATATACATTGCTGTTTCTGAAGAAAAAAATAAAAAAATTTAAAAGCATACAATCGCAAATCAAAAGTGCGATATTTTGTACTTGCGTTTTCTTCCCTCGAAACGAAGCACCCGGGAGGCAGAACCCAGTCAGAGCGGGTGGGTGTGCACTCAAGTGTAACGAAGTCTTTCATTGGGTGGTTCATTTGCCGATACGCTAAGGGCTCATTGTGTGTGTATATAGAGATGTTGGGTTTTGTAAATACATGCTAATTTTTTCTGCTTTTGCGTTCGATCCAATCAACAAATACTGGCATGGTGAACTACTGCGTGGCTGGAAACTGTCGTTCGTCCAAGTACAAAGCAGGACTTGAATTTTGATAATTTGTTGCTGTAAGGCCATACCGAAAGGTATCAGAATCTGCAAAGTTGTGTTTTGCGTTGCAAGTGACCTTTAATTATCCTGATTATATAGATAACGCTGGTATGACTGCTAACACATTTACCCTACATGTGATGCTGAAGCAGTTGCCCTGGAACATATTTCAGCCAACGGTGGTCATATACATTCGGACTGAAATGCTTCCTCTTTAACGTCATTCTTCTGTCGTGTCCTTCGCTCTGTTCTTGATTGTTGTTTCGGGTAAAATACAGTGTCATGGTTTGAGCATTAATATCATAACTAGCTATTCTCAAAACTTTCGTAGCCTTACAAACTTCTTAAGCCCATTCTACACATTGGCTACGATCAAATTCTTAGGGCTTCGAACGTTTCAGGAATAAGGGCCATGATCTTAACTCTACTTATATATATAATATGACCAGAAATTATTGAGAATTTTAAAAATATGTTTAATTGGAGATCTAGTATAAAAACCTTGACCGGCTATCAATTTGCTTGGTTTCATTCAAAAGAGACAACTCCGTAATGTGTTTCATTAGTTTGTGAAGAGTTATCCCCTTCTTTTACTTGCTAGCAAACGACATTTTCAGTGATCCTCAGTATGGATGATTTAGAAAAGAGGAAAGGAGGCGGATGTAGACCCAGAAAGTTGACTGTCGGTGACAGGAGGCGGCTTGGTATTCTTGTTTCTTAAAACAAACAAAGGAGTTTAGAAAACTTAAGGCTGGATATGATTGATAGAGGAACTGTGCCTGCCTGTAAGCAGACAATTAGAACTGAGCTGCACGCAATGGGTTGGCAGAAAAGTCGAGGAATTCCATCACCGATCATGAAACCTGAACCAAAGGAGCGAAGGTTGAACTGGTGCTTACAGCATAGAAATTTTAACTGGGACAATGTGATTTTCTCAGATGAAAGTTCTGTTTTGCTGTTTCCTTGTACACTGAAATTCTGGACCAAACAAACTGAAAAACCTTTTTATCAGCGCCCAAAGTACAGTCCGAAATTCAACGCGTGTGGTGGCATATCTGTTAGGGGCAACGCCCCTCTATGTATTTGAAGGGAATATGAACAGTGAACGGTACACAGATGTTCCCGAGGGACATTTACTTCCATCTGCTCACGTGTTCTATGGAAATTTTAGATTATTAGATTGGCCAAGCTATAGCCCTGACCACGACTTTCTAACTTCTTTGATCAGTAGTATGCCCCGCCGTATTGGGCTTGCATTGCTGCCCATGGTGACTTGACAAAATACTAACTGTTCACCTGTCTTTGAATCTGGAGTTATGTTCTGCTAATATTCACATTTAGTACGTGTGTAATGAGTGACAAAAATAAAACCATTACAATCTTTAAATTCCAAATAATTTCTGGTTGCACTGTATTGTCTCCGTCAGTTGTCTTAGGCTAGTGCATTCTGTTTATTCCAGTACAATGTGTGAAGCCCATTTCTGGTGTCCCCCGCCGTGATATGTAGTAAAGTAATTAGGACTGGGTCTCGGCAGTGACTGAACGAATTAACAAAGATCAGTGTAAACAGTGCACAGTGACATGTAACTCCCAGTGCCCATCCCTCGATCACTTTTAGTTTTAGTGAGGTCTATAATGACGTTTTAGACGTCACTCTTGTAAGGCGTGACTACCATACAAGGTCACGTTGAGGGGCAATGGTATATGCGACCAGAACATTTCCAAATGTTCTATAAAGAGGGTGAGATGCTTATCCTTTATTTCTTCTACAAGAGTGCTTATGGACAAATATATTGACTATTTGTAGTTTACTTACTTAGTCTTAAGTCTTAATTAAGTCAGTTAGACACGACAGGATCCGCGGTTGTGGGTTCAATTTATTTTAACATTCTTCCCACAGAAAGATAATATTATTTTACGCCGCATTGAAACAAACTCAGTTGTTCCTCTTTTTACCAGTGTATAGAGAATAGCCTCAGCTCTTTGTCGTATTTTAACAGGGTTAATAGCATTATACTGATAATATTTTTCTTCTCATTTTGTGATATTGTACATTATATTTGTCCATATATATGACATTGTGATGTAGTCATCATTGTTAAGGTGTACTCAACGATTGGTATTTAAAGAGTTAAAAAATATAACACATTCCTGAATTGTTAACGTTTCTTAGTGAATTTAACGTGATAAAAAGACAAATTTGTAATGCAATTGAGCTATTGTGTACACAGATGAGGTAAATTGCATATTCAAGAAACATAAGTAGTAGGGGTGTCACGATACACCAATCTCACGATACGATGCGTATCACGATTTTAAGGCCACGATACGATACATATCGCGATACATCATTTTCGCGCCTTTTCATAGCATTACCTAACCGGCAACGTTTGCGCTCGCTGATTGGTCCATCAAAATAGTCTAGCCAATCACAAAAGCTGTTAGTTTCCAACCTATTTTTAAGTAAAGCGAGCTACATCTATTTATCGGAGCGATCTCGTATAATTTTACTATCAAGACTTTGAAGGAGATGGATATAGCATAAAAAATTAAATCGATAAAGTTTTAAAATAGGAATCGATACACGCAAGCATGTATCGCGTATCGTATCGTCAATAAAAATGTATCGATGCATCGATACATTCGCATATCGTGAGTGAGTGAGTTAATATTTAACGTCACATCGGCAATATTTCAGCCATATCGTGACGAGAACATTCGATATTGAAATGTAATATATGTATGTTATAAAAAACCTGCCAACGAAGGGCAGTAAAACAACTAGAATATCACAGATATATATGTAAAACTAGTAATAGAGTCTAAAACATTTTAACTATAGTGGACAACACAATATAAAAATAGGCTATAGATTGCTAACAACTGAAGGTAGATCACCATACTAGGGACCATGGGGACTTACAGTACATTTGCTTCCTGCATGGGCCCTAGCTGGATTTATATCATCCCCTCAGCTGTTAGCAATTGAGATATATCTAGCCAAACATTAAAATTACACATATTCTACGATTAAAAAAGAAAGTTGAAATTTACTTTGAATGTTTTGGGACTTACGTACCCTCTCAGGAGGACAATAATTTCACAGTAATTTAACCCCCCTCGAGGATTCAGCCACTAACAATCTGTGTTACTGACTCAAAATTTCAATCATAAAATATTTAGCTATTTACAAATCTGTTAACAAATTTAATTCTTTTTAAAAAGCAATAATTAAATGAGGACGTATACTAGTAAAAAGATCCTTCATCGTTCGTGATTTGAAATAGATATCCCTTGTGATGGAGTACTCAACACAATCAAGCAAGACATACTTGACCGTGATTCGTTCATCACAAGGGATACAAAACGGAGGATCCTCACCTTTCAATAGGTAATCATGCGTATATCTTGTGTGGCCAATACGACATCGTCGTATGATGACCTCCTCAAATCTGGACTGACAACCAAAGTAAGTGTAACCGATATAGGGTTTTATTGCAGGTAATTTATTGATACCTACTTGGGTGTCCCACTTCTTTTGCATCAGATCACGGATGTAAGATCTAATGCAAGCTTTGTAATCAGAGTATGGGAGCAGAAGTGGTGTCACAGATTTGTTGAGTGCAACCTTAGCAGCAATATCAGCCATCGTGTTTCCAGAAATGCCAAACATGGCTGGGTAACCAACAAAAGACGATGTCGCATTGGCCAGTAGCAAGCTCATTATACAATTCAATAATTTCTAATAAAAGTGGATGTTTGCAAGAAATATTTTTAATAGCCTGAAGACACGAAAGAGAATCTGAAAAGATGATATATTGTGTATATTTACGGTGTTTATTAATATATTTAAGAGCTGTTAGTATTGCGTTTGTTTCTGCTGTGAAAATTGAACTGTCCTTGGGTAGTCTGGAAGATATTGTTTTGGACCCAATGACAGTGGCACAAGCAACCGCGCCACCATCCTTGGATCCATCTGTATATAAGGATTTATAGGTATTATATTTATTTCTTAATTGACTAAATTCTTGTTTATACTGTAAATCATTAGTTTCGGATTTTTTAAATGTGGTTAATGTTAAGTCAACGTCTGGCCTCACCAATTGCCAAGGAGCAGAAGAAAGAAGACGAGAAGGGATATATTCTCCAGCTCAATGCCGGCAGCAGAAAGGAATGGTTTAATTCTGTGCCCAAGAGGCGGAACAAGAGAAGGCTTTTTGTTATACAAATCCTCATAAAGAGGAGTGAAGATGCAGTGAAACGCAGGATTAGACTCGTTAGAATACAGCTTCGTAATATACTGTAATGATAATTTTATACGGCGTTGGGTAAGAGGAGGCTCATCTGCCTCGACGTAGAGACTGTCAACAGGAGATGTTCTGAAGGACACAAGACAAAGTCTCAGACCTTGATGGTGGACTGAATCTAAGAGTTTTAGGTTGCTTTTACAGGCTCCACCATAAACGATGGAGCCATAATCAAGCTTCGAGCGGACAAGTGATCTGTAAAGGTGTAAGAGCGTAGCTTGATCCCCTCCCCACCTTGAATTAGACACGACTTTCAATAAATCAAGTGCCTTCAGGCATTTAGTTTTGAGAGATTTGATATGCGGAAGAAAAGTTAAATGGGGGTCGAAAATGAGACCTAAGAACTTGGCCTCTTTTACAACCTTGATGGGAGTGCCATTTAAAAACAGTTCTGGGTCTTTATGTGGTTTATATTTACGGCAGAAGTGTATGCAATTAGTTTTTGATTTAGAAAAGTTAAAGCCGTTTTCAAGACACCATTTATGTATTTTATTTAAACACAACTGTAGTTGCCGTTCAATAGTATGCATATTCTTACCGCGACAAGAAATGTTAAAATCATCCACAAAAAGTGATCCATCAATTGAATCATTTAAAACCTTGGATAAGCTGTTAACCTTAATGCTAAATAAAGTGACAGACAAAATACTGCCTTGCGGGACACCCTGATCCTGATTATAATGGTCAGACAGGGTTGAACCCACTCGGACTTGAAATTGCCTGTCGGTTAAAAACTGTGATATAAAAAGAGGTAAACGACCCCTTAAACCAAAATCATGTAAGTCCTTTAAAATGCCATGCTTCCAGGTGGTATCGTATGCTTTCTCAAGATCAAAGAATATCGATACTGCATGTTGTTTATTTATTATAGCATTTTTAACAAAGGATTCTAAACGTACCAAATGATCAATGGTACTACGATTTTTCCTGAAACCACATTGAATATTTGTTATGAGATTATTGGTTTCTATTACTATTCGTTCCATGGTTTTACAGACCCAGCTCGTTAAAGAGATTGGTCTGTAATTTGACGGATCTGTATGATCCCGGCCAGGCTTTGGTATAGGTACTACTATGGCTTTACGCCACGAAGTTGGAAAATTCCTGAAGTCCATATTGTATCAAAAATATTTAGAAGTGTTTCTAAACATGATGCAGGTAAATGTTTCAAGAGCTGATAGTGTATATTATCAGCCCCTGTTGCTGTATCATGAGCTTGCTCAAGGGCAGTTCGTAACTCATGTATTGAAAATAATTCATTGTAGTCTTCTCCATTATCTGAGATAAAAGTTATTCTTTTCTTCTCCTGTTGTTTCTGATGTGCCTGAAACTCAGGGACGTAATTTGATGAAGACGAATGTTTGGCGAGAGTTTCACCAAGCTTATTGGCAATGTCAATCTGATCAGTTAACAAATTATCACCATCCTTCAGATGATGAACAGTAGATTTGGAACCTTTACCTTTTATCCTTTGTATCATGTTCCACACCTTTGAAATCGGTGTCCGTGAGTTTATCTTGGAAACATAATTTCGCCAAGACTGACGCTTATTCTGTTTAAAAGCACGTCGAGCCTTGGCACTAGTGATTTTAACATTATTTAAATTAAGAACTGTAGGATGCCGGCGAAAGTATTTCTCTGCCTTCTTCCTACACTTCCTGGCCTGTTTGCAATCATCATTAAACCATGGTTTACGAATGTGTGGTGTCGCAGAGGACTTAGGAATAGTTTCATCACCTATTATATTTAGCTTGTCCGAGAACAACTGAATAGGATCAATAACATTAACAAAACAGTCAGATTTCAATAGGTTAGAACAAAGAGTCTGAAATAAAGGCATTCTCATATCGCGACACCCCTAATCAGTAGGTTTGTTAGTAATTGTTACACATTTTAAGGAATGCACAATATTTCAAATCACAGCACCACAGAAGCAGGAGTCCTCGATTGGTGTTGGAGTGGCTATAGGTGTGTGTATAATGCTGGCTGTGGACGGCGTCTTGCTGTTTGTGGCGTACCTCTTTAGGGACGAAATAGCAGACTGCATAGGTAAGTATGAAACAAATGTTTTTTTTAGTTAAACTTTTATTTCAAATTAAATACAAACAAATATAGTTTATTGCAAGTTCCAGTCCGTCAAGAAATGAAAAATGACGAAATCTGCAGGAAATGGACCATTCTTTCAGGTTCTGAGAATTACAATGGATCTCATTTTGACATATACTTTAAAAAAAGAGTATGTAAGTTGACCCTTGTGCAATGACTTTCACAGTTGATAACATGTTGAGACAGCAGAATACGATGATGTTTAAATCCTCCACAGATCATTAGCGGTCATTAGTTTCTCAATACAATGGCAGCATGATACGGTACACGGGGGTGTCTCGGGATTTTATACTCCAGGCAGAAGCTGCACTCATCAGGGAAGACAACTTGGTGGCAGTTGTAGCCTCACTGACTGATGAAAGACTGGAGTCCTACATACGATCATCTCCTGAGTGTGGTCTACTCGTAGTTTGTGTATGACAGCGACGTTTGTAAACGCCTGGCGACAGTCTACATCAGCCATCCTTCTTCGTACTTTTGATAATTTCTTGCTCATAGTATTAATGAAACATTTCAATTTTTTCAGGAATCAAGAAAGCCAGTAATACAAATGTGCCAGTAATGTCCAAGTAGGTGTATCTTTTACAATTAATGCTTTGAGCCATTTATAACTACGAAACTAAAATATGAATGATTTATGAAATTTCGGTAATTAAAACTAGTGTGTTATTAAAATACTTTTAATATATATGCAGCTGATTTTAAATGTCAGCAATATATGAACATCAGTTGGATACAATAATACAAATGATCAGGTTTAAATAATAGACAGATGCGTCAGTTATGTCCAAGTAGGTGCATCTTTCTACAATGAATGTTTTGAAGCATTCATAAATATTTCATTTAAATGTGAATCATTTATGCTATTTCACAAATTGAAACTAGTTTTTTGAAGAGTTTGAACGCGTCCTAATTTTGTCGCCATTACACATATTCCCTCTCAACCATTACAGCATACAGTCTCCTCAGTCCACAGTGATCGCACCTGCCGAAATCCAAAGACAAGGTGAGCGCTGGTCAACGTACAAGATTACTATACACGTTTCCGATTGAGGAAAGCTAAATGGTGAAATAAGAGAGTAAAACGGCTCCCTATATAAGACATGACTGCAGAGGATTGAGTGGTTAGACGCTGATGTGTCCGACTGCAGTGCTTAGCTTTCAGTCTCTGCTTAGTGCTTGTTTAGGATAGATGTTTTAGATGCCGTTGTGACAAGCGGAAATGTTCCTAACAGTGGCATCACTCACTCACTCACTCAATCACTCAATCACCCACACACCCACACACCCACACACTCACTCACTCACTCACTCATAAATGTGTCTTCATATGTTCCGTAATACCTCCGTGTCATTTCAAAGATAAATGTGTCGGTGTGGCAATAAAAACTGACTATATGTGTCTATGTAGGTGGAGGCGACGAGTACGAAGTGCCAGTGGACAGAAATGATTACGAAGCCCTACAGAGAGAAACTGCTGACGTCCCCAACACTTACGAGAAAATACAGACATACCAGAATGTGTGAAACGACATTGACGATCAACTACCAACAGTCACCTTTACAATCAATGGCGATTGGACATTTGCTCAGAAGTCAATGGAAACTTGTTTGATCATAAAAATAGAAATTCAGTTGTATCAACTGAACATTAATTACTGCATTATTTTATGGTTGTTGTGACAACCAGTTGTCATTAATACATAATGATGCAAGGATTTCATAAAGCTTGTAGATATTAATGAGTGAGTTAATTTTACGCCACTTTCAGCAATATGTTAGCAATATCACGACGAGGGAAACCAGCAATGGGCTTCATATATTGTGCGCAAGTGGGAAATCGAATTCAGGTCTTCGGCGTAACGAGCGAACGCCTGAACCACTAGGCTGACACTAGGCTACACCTGGTAGACATTATATAACCCTCATATGTTTAAGGTCAAAACGTCCGAACATCACCATCATGTTCTATCATATAATTTGGTTTGTTGTAGTTTAAGGCTGTACTCGGCAACATTGAATCTATATCACCGCGGTCTGTCAATAATTGATTGCGGACCAGAGAATACAGTGATAGACATCGTGAGCATGAATCTACGTAGCTGGAAGGATATATTATCTATATCTCAATATAAAACGTACAAATGTGTAATCTACACGTTGAGTCTTGCTTTAACAAAATGTGTTCAAATAAATGTGTGTATTCATGAACCAGTGAGCGCTCAAGTTTACATGAACCATTCCGAATGCTTACAATCGGAACACTATACTCGGTACTGTCAGGTATACCGATGTTTCACAACGCAAGTTGTGAATCTTTGCCATATAACAAATGTCAATGACATTTCACTTGACTTCGTTATTTCGTTTGTTTCTACATGTACCATAAAACATAAGGTAAGCACCTGCTTGTATTGACACATCATAATTAAACGCCTGGACAACCATCAGATTCATTTACCTCATGTACCATAACTCATAAATTAAGCACATGCTTTCATGTCTTGATGAAACTCAAGGTCAAACGAGAGATGATACAAAGCATATACATACTGTGCTGGACTTTTTTCTTCAGATCAAGAATTCATTTCTCAAACTCATTCTTACGTGCTTTATGAATAGCAACAATATTTTACAACAAACTACACTTTGATCACTTCCCTTAAGATTTCTACATTAACAAGTGACAACGTTGAGGATATATTTATACATGTTTGTCGGGTGACAATTAAACCCTGTCTCGTATAATCAACAATTGTTCTCATGACCCCCTGAACTTCAATAAATGCCCCAACAATGATGTACGGTATTTTGATTTTTGCTGTTCGAGGAAGAGCTTTTTGAACGCAAACCATATATATTGTATAACGTTATAAAAATTACAGTTAATGGACAACACATTTCGATTACTTTCGCTTAAAACAAACCGAGCTTGACAGTCCTTCATACCATCCAGTATTCGTGTTATTATTGCAACAAGTGTTTTCGAAAAGTCATCATGTATGCGATACCTACTACTTTGGCCTCTTTACCTATGTGGTTAGTTGTATGGAATCACCAACATTCATTTTGTGCTTGTAATTATTATGTATATTTTTGTGAATTTTCTATATACCCTTTTTTGAGGCCGTTTTTAATACAAAGAGAATTTCCTCAGGGATGATAAAGTTCTCAATCGTCCACGTCTCAGAAGCGTTCAATATTTTAATGACCATCGGGTGAATGGAAACTTGGGCTATTGGTTTGTAGAGGCAGCAGATAATACGCTGGTATGACACTGGTTCGCAGAGTTGATGTATATACATGTATGATAGGGTTGGGTATTGCCCAAATTTTCGTATTGCGATATATTGCGATATGTGTTGGCGTATCACAATATATTGTGAAAGTTTTTACTTAAACCGTTCATATGAAAATATGACCCCCAAGTAAAAACGTATGGATATGCACTATTTCACAGATTGTCTTGATAATCTTGACTTTTGCCTCTAACGGTCTAGTTATATTTGATTGCCATTGGTGTGCATATATCACCATGATATGACCGGAAAATATATCCTTTCCAAGATAACACCACGTTCGCTTTAATGACAGCAGATAACATTTCATGTTTCTGGAAACGAATATTTTCGTGCTATTTTCTTTTTTACCTCTCCTTCCAATTTAAAAAGCTCCTGGTGAAATATGACTTGGCACATATTTTCAACATTGTCCAAGCTATGTGATTCCACACTTTCAAAACATGTCGAAGTTTAACGTTTTAATTTTGCAGCCAAAAAAGACAGACAATTTTCACAGTCATCAAGTTTAACCATAACTCCCATTCTTTTACATTGTTTTGTGAAAGGAGGACCTGTTCTTTTGTTTCTCGTTTAACATTTCACCAGGTGGTTTGACAGTGTTAACTACATATGTAGTTACTTTGAAATTACTTTGTTTAGTTCCAATTTATCGTTTTAATATCAGCTTACGTCGTATGAATCTCATATAATTGATTTGTAATTTCGGCAATTTCTTATTTTGGGGGACCAATATTGCGTCTAGAATTTGCAAAAAAATAGACATCCAGAAAAGAATGTAGGTGAATCAGCGACCACAGGTGAGAATGTCTCACACTTCTCACATTTCTCACATTTCTCACAGATCTCACAGTTCACAAGTGGACGTTTGATATGCTGCTGTGCAAGTGTTTCCAGTTTTCACATGGTGTTATTACAGCAATGGTATTATCGTATTATACAATTATAGACTCTTGTAGAGGTCGATATCGGTCTTTATTGACCTGAGTAAAACAATATCGACCGAGCTTGCGATGTCGACCTCTACAAGAGTCTATAATTGTTTTATTATAAAATGAAAGAGAAACGGGTTTTAACATAAACTTTTAATGCACACACTGTGCCATCTATCCGAGTGATCTGATTGGCTGAAAAACGGGGGAAGCCCCTTCGTACGGGATTCCTTGTCTATTTTTAGTAACCCAAGCCAATATCGTAATTTATCAGAAAACTCAAGTCAATATCGTGTGACGGTCTTTTGACCAATCGTGGTACAGGAAAAATACTACCCATATAATAATGTAGGATAGAAACAGTTTACCGGTAAAGCTTAAGTAATGTATTGCTATCTGTGACAATAAGTATCAACTATATTATCCCAACCCTAACCTATCTACTTCACTGGGCAGGTTGCTTTATATGCAATCGTAACCAGCATTCCATTTATCCTTTTCATATTCGTGTATCAGTTTAACAGTAACCCGAACAGAATTGTAATTTAAGGCATAATATCACAGATCTGACAAGGCTGTAGAATCCAACAAGGACGTATATCGGTTAGGTTCGGACTTCTAATGGCGGTAGAGATAACTGCTTGAGTACTTTTGTTGTATTGATAGTTTCGACACAACTTGCTAAGACTTGCTTTAGGTTTCGTGTAGGTATCCATATATTTACAGGCGAGATACGTGCTTAATGGCTTAAAGAATGGTCGTGACATCTGCACAATGCGTCAGTGGAATATCACGTGACAAGTAAGCATGATCTTGAGGATTGATCTAATCTTATACTAGAAGTATAAAAGAGACGTACATATTATTACACAATGCCATTTAGAAAGTGGTCAAATGTAACATGTGTTATATTTTGGATTACACTTTCTTAGTAAAGTACAAAATCTAGTACTTTTTGAGTTGAGCCCCATCCGGGATTCGAACTCACACCCTCAGAGTCAGGCACCCAATCGCCAGCACACAAAGTCAGCCACCTAACCCACTCAGCTACCGCGACTTCCACATGGAATTGGACAACTGGTAGTCTAGACTGCGGGCTTTGTGTACCCCTCTGATAAGTGTTAATTGGAAGTACATAGTTAGACGTACATATTGCCAAACGTGGTGAACCATAATCCCAAATGTAGCAGAGCTAATAGTGAGAAGATTATTTAAACTGAACGTAAAGCGTCTTGACTCTTGTTATCATTTGCTTTCGGCAACGTGCATCTTAAAGGTCACATGCAACGTAAAACACATCTTTGCAGATTCTGATACCTTTCGGTATGGACATACCGAAACAAATCGTCAAAAAATGCAAATTCAACTTATAAAGTTGAAAAATAACGCGATGAAAAAAAACGCGCGAAATCGGAGTTCAAACGTTTCACTAATTTTCCCCAGACTTTTCTGGGGAATACGGGTTTCAACAGCTGGGCTGCGCTCATAGCACGTGCGCAGTGAAATAGGTTCGCGCAGCTTGGAAGCGGGTTGTCGGTGAATACTCGGTGAAGGCTTTGGTGTGAGCTATTTTTCTAATGTTTTTGTTGATATCTCACAGGCGCGAGCTTTTTTATATGTTATGACAGTAAATTAACTGTTTATATAATTTCATTTGTCTATTTCACCACACGTTCTTCTTACCGAGACACTTTCTCAGTTCGATACTTAAAAGCAATGTCATTATTTAGCGTTGACAGAATTTCTAACTGTGAAATAGATATGTCGTTGTCACAGACGTAACTCAATGTCTTGTTTTATTGACATCTGTGTGTCTGCCTGCCTGTGTGCTAATGACAATATTCAATACACAACTGCTATCACTGACCACATGCAATTTGAACTTAACACCAATCAGGCTATACACCATAAACAAAACGCATTGATTTATGGCCCGAGTTCGGTCTCTGTCACATTATGTAATTACACAGACAGGCAGGTGTGATACTTGAACACATGACATGTTATGATGTCTGTTGATTGCAAAATGTTATACACAAAAAATGAGCATGTATTTACAAAACCCAACATCTCTCTATATATATACACACAATTAGCCGTGAAGGCGGCATCTGCTAATGAACCAGCCGTTACACTTGAGTGCACACCTACCCGTTCTGACTGGGTTCGGTATCCCGGCTGCTTCGTTTCTTGGGAAGTAAACCGAAGTACACAATTTTGCGCTTTCGATTTGCGATTGTACGCTTATAGTTTTGTTTATATATTTTTTCGTAACAGCAATGTATATTATATGTCATAAATAAGTGATAATTGTGTTTTAATTATGTTTGATTTTTTGGTTGCATGTGACCTTTAAGGTAGGGGGTAGACACATCAACAGAACAGCGGTAGCCCTGAGCGGGGATTGTTAGTTTACTGACATCATTTTTCTGAAGTAAAATTCTGCCTTAGATTATTCGTCAGTGTGTTTTAAAAGTTTCATCTTACAAAAGAAATACAGTTCATACAGTTAAAGAAATTCATTTCATGCACATGTATAGTGTAATAAAGTAGAGTTTTTCCTGAATTATTATAAAGCATGCGCTATAATAGTTCAGGGCCTTTAAACACGCACACCAGGATTAAGGACGGTCAGTATTCGTTGTAGTCAGAGTGACTGTATTCAAACAGGACCCAAAAGAAAAGTTACAGTTTCGGTTTTATTCGCTATTATAAAAGGCATTAACATATGTAAGGCAGTAAACATGTTACATTTCAAAGAGCGCAACTTCTCTTCTTTGGCCTTTCAAAGAGTATCGTTCTAATACTATTTCAGTCTGGCGGTAATGTCTTATCGAGTACAGTGGAAATGGTTCGTCCTGTATAGCCCTCAT